ACCTCTAAACTCTTTCACTATCAATATGACTTAAGACAACTCCCTCTCTAATCATAAAATATTATTTATTTCAACTCAGAATTAAATTTTTCTCTATACATTTCTCAAGTACATGTTGTAAATGATTTAAGTATTCATAAAATAATTCACCAAAAATAGAAAAATCGATCAAAAAAACTTTCATATATTTTCCAGTCATATCATTAAAAATAGACAATATACATCTTTGAAATGTGGTTGGAGCATTACACATCACAAACGGCATTCATTTAAAATCAAAAGTACCAAATGGACAAATGAAAGTTATTTTTTCTTGATCTAAAGGATTTTTAATTTGATTATAACTAAAGTATCCATCTAGAAAAAAAAAGTTTTTTTAGCTAATTTTTCTAGAATTTGATAAGTAAATGATAAGGGAAAATGATCTTTTTTAGTAATTGAATTTAATTTTCTATAATCAATGTAAACTTTACAACAAATAGTTAATCTTATTTGTAATTCATCTCTATATTTTTTTTATAACCATGATCCCTGATTTTTTTGTAGGATTAACCTATTTACTATCTGGAATAAAATAAAAACATTAACAGCTAATCACTTTAAAATTTATTTTTTTATAATTTTCATCATATTAGGATTTAATCTTCGTTATGATTCTGTGCTAGTTTTAATCTCCTCCTCTAGATATATACTATGCATGCATACACACTCATATCAATGTCCCTAAGATCATTCATTTTTCAGTTAGTAGCTTTCTTATTTTTTCAAAGTATCTCTAATAATTCTTCTTCTTATTCATCACTCAAATTAGCTACAATAATAACAGAAAATAAATTATTTTCCTCTAAAAATATATATTTTTAACTAGAGGGGAGAGGTTTCAACTCTAAATTTAGATGATCTTCTTCTTTATTTTTTCCTAAATTTATATTCTCTATTTTCACTAATTCTTCCAGCACAATCATCAATAACATTTAGATCATCAAAATCATCTAAAAGATCTATAGTATGACAATCATATACTTAGGATTTTTTAAGATCATTTGATGCCTCCAAAATTTTAATTTCTACTCATTGATCTTCACATAAAATGAATATTAATCTTTGTTGTATGTAATAAAAGGTCTCTCTAAGATGATTGATGCATCATAAAACTGTCCATTAAAATCATTTCTAGCACTAGAAAATTAGCTAAAAATTTACACTCTTTAATTATGCTATCACATTTTCTAAAATACCATTATGATGTTTTATGAATCTATTAATAAATTATAAGATAATAGTGGAAGGTTTAAGATTAGAAATTAAATTTATCATAAATAGTTGTAGGCAATAAATTAATACTAGCACTAGTGTTAAGTAATACATTTTGAAAAATAAATCCATCTATATCACACAAGATTAAAGGGGCACTAATATCTCTCAATTTGTATGGTAATGATTTAATAATAAAATATTAGCATACATAAATAATTGTTTTACTCTAAGTGTACTTCTTAGTGTACACATTTCTTTCAAAACTCTAGTATGTTTAGGAATATGTTTAATGTTAGTGAGTAAAAGAAGACTAATTTACACATTTTGTATAATTTTCTTTATTTCTTCATTATGTTCTTTTTTTCTTTTTTTGTCTAAGCTCTACAGCTTTACAAAATAGAATGGTTGTCCTCTCTTTTAGAATTTTGTTAGTAGAATCTATAAAATCCTCTTTTACTCTTATTTGATTTTATTTTGGGCTTTTTACATTTTTCTTTCTTCTAATGTTTGGAGATAAGGATCAAGTAAAATCTTCTCACTCCTTAATGCATTCACTATCTTAATATATTCATTTTATGAGTTTTTTCTTAAATTCATGTTACTAAACTTACTTTGCTGAAATCTTATTGTTAGGTGATTCTGTAGATTTTCTATAGGTTGACTAGATAGTTGTCCCTCTTCTCTCTTATTCCTAAGAGCCTCTATAAATTATTTTTACTTCAACATCATTTGATTCATAGTTTGCTACATTATTTGACTCATTTTTACATCATTTCTATAGCATCATGTTGGGTTTAAATGGCTTATTTTTCTAAAATCTATTTTCTTATTTTGGATGAAATTTAAAATTTTAATTGATTTTAAGTGCTTCTAGATTTTGAATATTATTTGGGTCTCCCACGAAAATTATTCATTCAATTAAGATTATAAGAATTAGAAAAATACTCTCTACTTCTATTAAAATCATAGGCTACTTGCACTTGTTCTTGTATATGGTGAAATGATTGATCTAAATTATAGTATTGAAATTCAAAATAATTATTTTCACCATACATAAGATAAGTACTATTTGAAATAATTATGGTAGCACATGGATTTAAAATAAAAATAAATATTCATTTCATATAAATAATAAAAAAATCATAAAATTAGATATAAATTCATCACATTATATCTCAAATGAATATAAATATTTTTAGCTTGAATAAATTTATTTTATGTTAATTTATGTTAAAAATACTTTATTTCAAATTAAGTATTACATAGAAATAAGACAATATCAAGTGGCTACAAGTTTTATCTTATAAGAAGAGTCTTTACTAAATGAATATTAACTATGCATCCCTTATGTGAAAGGATTATAGAGAAATTTCAATGTAGAGGACAAGGTAGCCATTCTGGAGTTTGTTGAAGTGATTTGTTAAAGAACTCTATACATTATTGCATTGTGAGTGGATTTTGTCTTTATGGCAAATAGACTACTTCTCAAAAAATATCAAAATCTATTGCTCACAGAAAAGAGAGAGAATTAATGTGGATGAATTCAATTTTAAGGTGCTAATTGGTTAGCATTTAGTCCTAAATTTTTTATTTCTCATCTCAATAAAAAATAATGGAGTTTTGATTCATATATGAAATTAAACATAATTATGTTTGTTTTGAGAAGCTATAAGAACTATGGGGAGGCATGAAGGGGGCTTTTCTAGAGCACTACTAAACTTTTATTTTGCATATGTCTACACAAGTTATGCAAGTAGACACAAAAATTGGCTCATGATGGTAAAATATAAATTGCAAATTTATATTTATCATCACTCCAAGCATGTCTCTTCTTTAGAGGCTTCATCCACAAGGTTCCACAATCTCCTAGTCCATACAATGATAACAATATTGGATGGCTTGTAAACTACACACTAGAAGAACTTAAAAGGTAAAAATTTCCTAAGCAAACCTGATAATTTTAAGCAGTTCATAAGGCAAAAATTACATATTTTAGTAGGGTCAAATATATTTCTAAAGTGTGTTTTATGTATGCTATTTCTGGTCATTTTTTCTTTTTATGAACAAGTTCAAATCTACTAACAGATCCCATTGATTATGGGATATAATAAGGTATTTTTATTATTATTTAATGACTCATCCTTTGCAAGAGAAGGCACTTCTTTCATTTCAATTAAAAATTTACATACAATTGTTGAGGGTTCAAGGTACATTTTTGTTCATCTAGGCCTCCACTATGTCACCTTCTCCCCACCCACCTCTAATCCACTCTAACACAATAAAGAAAAATATGAAATAAGAAAGCTAAACCAATATCACTACTATGGTGTTAACTATGCTCTCTCTCTCTCTTGCTCTTTCTCTTAGACAGTTGGTTCTACATCAAGGCACCAAAATGTTTTAAAATAGGGCTATTTCTATGTCTATATATACCTTATGGAATTATAAGGTAATAATAAATAATAATCTCTTAGAACACAATCCCTAATGACATCAATTACTAACATTTCTAAACATTATTTAACAACAATACGATGTTCTTGCCCAATTTATATGAACATAAAACACAAGAAAATCACTTAATAGAGCAATTTATTAGGTGCTATCTCAAAGAACTAATCAATTATATGTTTATTATAAAAATGTGTTACAAAAATTAAAAGGTTTAAACATTTAATAAGAAAACATAGATATTTAATAGAAATGAATATGCTTGATTTTTAGTGATTTAATATAAATTAATAGTTTTTGAAATGATAATTAATAATCATAAAATTTAGAACCCAATTGTTGGACCAATCTTGGTCACCTTAAGTAGAAGATAAATGAGCTCATAGCTTCTACATGGGAATTTGTGAAAATTCAGATAACTCCCAAGTTTTTCATGATTTAAAGGGCTGGATGTGAAGGCCCAAACATAGAGAAAAATAAGTCACCTCCATGGACAAAAACAATCCCATTACTACCTATCTTGACCCATATTTGAACATGCTCTTTGGTATCTCTCTCTCCCTCTCTCTCTCTCCATCTTGAGATAGGAGGGAAAATGGAATATTCCAAAAATAGTAAGAGAAAGAGAGAGATATACTACCTTGTGATAAATTGGGTAGAAAGGAAAACCTTAGTCTATAGGCTAAAATTGGATTGCTATAGTAAGAGTTGCCCCCAACCCTGAAAGATGCAAGATGGGTTCTATCGCAAAAATAAAATGAAGCTCAAACTTGAATTTGATAAACTTTGCACTATACATAATTTTCAAGATATATATATATATACTATAGAGGGAGAGAGGATAATAAGTTACATCATAAATAATATAGTTTGTAAACATAATGATAGTTTATGATGTTTAGGAAAGTATTGGTCATTAGCTGGTTATCATGATATAAATAAAAAAAATGATTTTGATTCTATGAGGATCAAATCTTAAATTCCCCATTGTTAATCTGAACTTGGATCAAATTTTTATGACTACCTTTTTGTGTAGGATTAAACAATATTACAGCCAAGTATTGTCACTCCAATATGCAATAGTACATGTGTAATCTTTCAACAATATTACAAATTGACTAAATGCCTCTCAAACCACAATTATCTAATAGCATTAAAGTTGTGGTAATGGGGATAGAGAAGATAGGAGAGGAGAGGAGAGGAGAGAGAGAGAGAGAGAGAGAGAGAGAGTTGTCTTATCATACACATTGTGATATGTGACCATACAAAGAGAAATTGTAAACACTTTGTTATCACCGATCCCTCATATTATTGACCCACTCTAACCTCAACTCCACTTCTCCACATTCTACATCCTTAAGCCTCAAGATCATGTCTTGGACAACTTTCCCATTGTAGATATGGATCTTGCTCTCACCCACCAAGCAATTCCTTAAGTTGGGACTTACTATCCTTATAATGCCATTGTTCATGAGAGTCCCTAATTCTTTCCTTCCAGCTTCCACAAGTGGTTTTATGTCAATCTCTGCATTACCCATGGGGTCATCAGGGGTGAAGGTATCCTTGTCAAAAACTTCCTGAAATACTCAAAAAAAATCTATGTCATTATGAATTACTATAATAAGATGAACTTAACTAAGTGCACTTACAACTATAAATTTCAATGGACTGATATGATTCTCTAGATTTCATTATCTTGATTGAAGGGTGGTGTTATACAAAAAATCAAATAATGTAATAGTTGATTATTTCTACAATGACTTGGAATAGTATAAGACATAATGTAATAGTTTGTCTATTAGTTTACTAGATGGTCTAATGATTTACGATATTAATATCCTAGAAGTGACATAGTTCAGACAATGATCCAACAATCAATGACTCATTAACTTCAAATAGTATAGGATATAATACTGCCTTAAGTAGATTTAGTTGCTAAGAATTTTCTAGTTAGTTAAATTGTCAGTTTTAATGAATCAATTAATATATGAGATGATTTATGAAATTGTAATGATAGCTACAATGAATTTAACATATAGATAGTATCATTCAATAATTTGGAATGCTAAACCAGCACACCCAAATAGCAATTGAAACATCTCACTAGCGTTCAATGGTGTCCAAAAGAAATTTTCATGGCATGATAGAATTGTATGCAATATTATTGAATTTGTCAGCCTATGGTATAATTCCATAGTTTACAATATTAGTGTCTTGTAATCAAATGATGATTGAGATGATCATAATGAATTTAGAGGGTATGTGGGATGATCTGATATTATTTTTTTCTAGCCTCTACTCAAAAAGTACTAGAGTTGGTTTAATTGTATTATCATTCCAAAATCATCAAATTAAATGGTTTATATATGAGATGAACATAGTAGCTAATGATGGGGGCATCATGTGGCTAAATTGGTCAACACCTAATCTAATTGAAATTAAGATTGGAGACCATGTTGGCCAATCTAACTCTGCTTTTCAAACTCCTTTTGTACAATGATGAGAAGCTTAGAAGTCAATTAACCATATATTAAAAGAGATCCATGGACATTATTATGACTCACAAAGAGCACTTCAGGGACTCACCAGCTTGATATTGATACTTGGATCTTGTACGAATAAGGTCAGGTCCTCATTCCACTCTGGGTTGACATTTTTTTTCATCACTTTTGTCTTTACACGCTGTAGGAAATCATAAAAGAAAAAAGCAAGGACAAAGGAAGAACATTAACCATGAATAATTGTAAGCCTCGTACATTGTTAAAAAGAATAAATTCTTCTGTTAGTAGTAAAATTCGCTTCTCAACCTAGTAAATAAGCTGCTGATAAACAATGAAAATAAAACTCAAGCCAAGGCTTTGGGAACCAATAGTCACTAAATTTCCAATACAAACCAAAGGTTTAAAGAATATTCATGTACATATATATTATTATTATTTATTAGAATACCCCCAAATCAGGCCGGCAAAGCCAATTTGGAATCCTCACCAGTTTCTATGATGGTTCCTTTCCTCAGGGTGGTCCCACGGCCGCCTTAGGGAATACGCGCTTCGGCGTTGCAATTGGATTCGCAAGGAATCTGACCACCAGAAATCTAATTCCGCCCAACTCGGCCCATTTCCCGTGCTCACACGTTTTCAAAGTCAAATATATATTTCTCTCTCTCTCCCTCTCCCTCTCTCCCCCGCGTCCGCCCTCTCATCCGGGACGCGTTCACCGATCCAAACCTTTAGGAATCACACTACACAAACGGCCGAAGAGGAAGGAGAAAGATAGAGAATTTGGGGAAGGACCTTGTTCATCCAGCTGAGGACGGCAAAGATATATAGAGAGAGAAAGGACGGAGATGGAGAGAGTTGGGGGAAGGAACCTCAAACTGACGGTGGCAAAGATTGACAGAGAGAGAAAGACGGAGGTAGAGAGAGTTGCGGGAAAAACCGTGTTATTTCCAGCTGAGGACGGCAAAGATAAATAGATAGTGCGAGAGAGAGAGAGAGAGAAGTGGGGAAGGAACCTTGTTCCTCCAGCTGAGGGTGACGTAAGGATCGCTGCTGCGGATGTCTCTGATGGCGAGGTTCCTCCCCCTGATAACCCGCACCTTTAACGACCCTTCCCTTCTCGGCCCGTCCCTCATCGTCCAACTCCTCTTTCTCCTCTTCTTCGGCCACCGGTGTCTTGGGGCGGGGGGAGCCTCCGATATTATATCATGAACGGGCGTTGACTCCGCGTCCATTTATTTGAATGGTAAGGCCTCTCAATCTGTGGGACCTACTTCCTAGCCCCCCGCCTCACGGTCTGACCTCTCTGTTAATCGGCCTTAGATTCCGCTGACCTCGTGAAGGCACCATTATAAATTTTTGCGGGGCCCACTTCTTGTAACCTGACTTCTCGTCTCAGGCACCTTAGACTCCGCTGATCCCGGTGAAAGTACCGGTATTAATGGTCCTCGTAAAGAAGGCCCAATGAACCTCCTACGGAAGGACTGGTGGGGAGGAGGATAAAACAGGTCCAATAGCATTGGCCCGCATTAAGCCCGTTCCAGAACCCAATAACGTGAAAGAAATCACCTTTGGGCCCGAATTCAGCCCTCCTCCCTCCTTTTGGCGGAAGGAGCGAGGGAAGGAGAGAGAGGGAGGGTTTGGCCAACGCCACTCTTCCTCCTACACCCGCAACGCCCAAGCAAGTCAAGAACGGGCGATTATAGAGAGAGAGAGAGAGAGAGAGAGACGCAGTGCGTCCCCCGGCGAAACAGTAAAACAGGCCGGCAGCAATACGGAAGCAGATTGCAAAGTAGAGAGAGAGAGAGAGAGAGAGAGGAGGAGGAAGGAGATGCCTTAACCTGGGTGGCCATGGTGAGAAGGACGTAGGGGTCGCTGCTGAAGAGATCCCGCGCCGCGAGGTTGGAGCCGTGGAGGACCTTCACTCTCACCAGCCCCAGCAGCGGCGGCGCCACCGAGCTCTCCCCTCTCATCTCTTCGCCGCCGCGTTCCACTCCGAGATTCCCTGCGTCCCACCGATTTATGTACGCGCTTATGATCGAGAGGAAAGAAGAGGGGAACGGCTGCTGGTGAGCGGCAAGTCGCCCTCGCGAAAAGGATCAACGATCACCAGAAAATTGAAGACTTTCACTCTCTGGGCCCGCGATCCTTTTGAGAATGCACTGGCGGGTTAATTTCCTGAGTAGACTTCAAGTCAATTGGAATATTCTAGAATCGGTGTTCCTTTGTTGAGGTTAGTCAAACGAGTCAGACAAAGCTCACCGCCCAGACCTCAATCAGGCCGACCGTGACAAAACTCGGGCCATCTAAATTTCTCTTGAATATTTAAATTAATAAAAAAGGGTGCATATTTTAAAAACACACGCACATGAAATTGATATTTTTATATATCTTTTGTATATAAAAATATTCTATAAAAGTCATTTACGGGTAAACTTTCTCCCTCTCTCTCTCTCATCTTCTCTCTCTCCCCTCCCCCCACTTTCCATCACTCTCCTCTTTTCAGTAGAAAAGGGTTTCACAAAAACATCATGGAGAAAAATAACATAGAGGGTGGCAAATCAGTACAATTTATAGTGGAAAACATTATTTTATTTGAAAAATTTTCTAATTGACTGAAATAATTAGCAATTTACTTATCTTAATTATGAAGATATAATTAACGCTATCTATTCAGTAGCACATTTTTTCTTAAAATATTCCATCAGACCACCATGTCCTCTACCACCAATTTTTCTGAGGTATTTTCTTGGCAACACTCCTAATGACTAAATAGAATGGACAATCATATAATGGCCTAAAAAGTATTTACTCTCACTTTAGTCTATGAGCAAGATCAAAGTTGTATGACTAACCTCATTTATAAAAAGATGAACTTAACTAGATGCACTTATAGCAAACATAATATGACTCATAAATTTTTATTATCCTGATTGGGGGACGATGTCCTACAAAAAAAATATAATAATTGGTAATTGGTATTATTTCTATGAATGACTTAGAAGGGTACAAGAGAAAGTGTAATAATTTCTCATGCCAGCCCTTTGGAATTCAGATAGCATGTAAGATGATCTACTAAAAATCAATGGATTAAAATTAGTTTATTAGATGAGCTAATGATTTACAATACTAATACTCAGGAAGCAAGATACTTCATGCAACGATCTAGTAACACTTAGTGATTTGGTAACTTCAAATAGTATATGATATAATACTAGGTTGAGTGGATTTAATGGACAAACGAAATTAGGTAGTAATGTACAATGTTAGTTTTAATGAATCAAGTGATATATGAGATGATCTATTAATTTTTAATGATAGCTAGAGTGAATTTAACTAGTATATAGCATCATTCAATAATGTGGAATATTAAACCAATACACCCAAATGGCATTTGAAACATCTCAATAGTATCTCATGTTATTCAAAGGAATTTGAATGGCACAATTGACTCAGAAGCAATATTATCGAGTTTGATAGTCAATGATATAAATCCCATAATTGAGTATCATTTGATCAAATGATAAATGAGATTATAATAATGAATTTAAGGTGTGTGGGGGATGATCTAATAAGATATTTTTCTACTCTCTAATTAAATGTTAATAGAGTTGGTTTAATTGTGTTATCATTTTAACATCAAATTAAATGGTCTATATATGAGATGAACGTAGCAGTTAATGATGGGCACTATGTAGCTAATTTGATGAATGTCTAATACAAATTCAAATTGGGATTAAGACCATGTTGGCTGATCCAAGCCCACTTTCCAAAGTCTCTTTCTACAATGATGAAAAGTTTAAAAGTCAATTAACCATGTATTAAAAGACCTCCCATGGACACCATTATAACTCACAAAGAGCACTTCAGGGACTCACCAGCTTGATATTGATACTTGGATCTTGTACGAATAAGGTCAGGTCCTCATTCCACTCTGGGTTGACATTTTTTTCATCACTTTTGTCTTTACACGCTATGGGAAATCATAAAAGAAAAAAAAGCAAGGACAAAGGAAGAACATTAGCCATGAATAATTGTAAACTTGATACCCTGTCGAAGAGAAAATTTCTTTTGTTAGCAGTAAGTTTACTTCTCAACGATAAATAAGCTAGTTATAAAGAATGAAAAAAAATCACAAGTCAAGGCATTGGGAACCAATGATCAATAACTTTTCAATATCAAGCAAAGTTTTCAAGAGTACTCATGTACATATACTATTATTATTTATTAGAATATGCCCAAATCAGGTTGCCAAAGCCCAATTAGTATCCTCACCAGTTTCTAATGAGGTTGACTTTCCCTAAGCTCATTTAGTATCTTTACCAGTTTCTATTGGTGTCGCAGTTGGATTCCCAAGGAATCTGACAAGAAGATATCCAATTCTGCCGAACTCGGGCCATTTCCCTTGCTCACACGGTTTCTATGTCCAAGAAAGACTGGTCCAACATCTCTCTCTCTCCCCCCCACTCATCCGGGACGCGTTCGCCGATCCCGAGCCTTCAGGAAGCAGACTACACAGACGGGGGAGTGGGTGTGTGGAATGGACAGGATCGGCCATTGAATCGGAGGAATCGAACAGGATCGACCAGAAATCAGATGGAGACCGCCGATCCGCCCTTGAACCCTCAACACCTCCCTCCGTCTCCTCTTCTTCCTCCCGGCCACCCCTCCCTCCCGGGCCTCAGGAAGAGCCGCAGGCAGCGGCAGCAGTGGACGGTAAAGAGAGAGAAAGACGGATGTAGAGAATTGGGGGAAGAACCTTGTTCTTCTAGCCGAGGACAGACAGACAGGGGGGGACAGAAAGAAGTGGGGAAGGACTTTGTTCCTCCATCTGAGGACGACGTAGGGATCGCTGCTGCGGAAGTCTCTGATGGCGAGGTTCCTTCCCCTGATAACCCGCACCTTTAACGACTCTTCCCTCGTCCGCCCGTCCCTCATCCTCCTCTTCCGCCGCTGGTGTCCAAGGGCGTTGACACCCGTCCTTTTATCTGAACGTAAAGCCTCTCGGCATGATCTGTGCAAAGTCAAGGAACTGGGTCCCACAGTATTGAAAAATCTGTAACCCACTTCAGTCGCCGCCTCCATTCCGATGATCCCGGTAAAGTTTACATTGGAAAATTATGGGGTCCACTTCCTCCTGACTCTTCCTCTCAAGCGCTTGGATTCCGCTGATCTCGGTGCAGTAACCGGGATAACGGACATTGCAAAGAAGGCCCAATGAGCTTCCTACGAAGGATTCGAAGGGGATGGGGAGAAAACAAAACAGGCCCAATAGAATCGGCCCTCATTGTGCTCGTTTCGGAGCCCAATGGGGTGGTCTTCTATTCGAACCACCGGCAGCCCAATGGTGTGGCCAGAAAAATCAACGACCAGAAAAAGATAGCGGTGCTTGTTTCGGACCACCAGAATAGATTTTCCGAACCCGCGATCCTTCTGAGAATGGACCGCTGGGTCAATTATCGAGTGAACTTCCTAGTAAATTAGAAGAATCTAAAATCATTGTAGCTTCTTGAGAGTAGTCAAACGAGTCAGACAACTCACCACCCCGACCTCGATCTGGCCAGCCTAGACAGACTGGGGACATCTTTTTTTAGTTTGGATAATTAAAAACAAGATGATATTTTTTAAATACACACACAGACGATAGTCGATGTTTATATTCATATTATATGTATATATATTCAATTAAAGTCATTGACAAGTAAACCATCTCCCTCCCCTCCACTTTTGCCTTTTAAGTAGTAACAGGTTTTGTGAAAAGCATGCAGGAAAATATCTCTTGTATCATTAAAATGAATAAAAATACTAATGCATAGTTTTTAAAATCACACACGAAAGTTGATGTCTATATATAAAAATATTAATGCTTATTATAAATATAAATATTCAATAAAAGTCATTGATAAAGTAAAGTTATCTCTGTCTCTCTCTCCTTCTCTCTTTCCCATTGCCCCCACTTCTCCTCGCTCATCTTTTAGGCAGGAATGAGTTTTGTGGAAAACATCATACGGAGATATAATATAGATGGAGGCAAAGGTCACTCAAACCTTTTCTAGAAAAAAATAATCAGAAATTTGTGAACTAAGTGGAATGATTAGCAATTTAATTATCTAAATTAAAAGGAATTAGTTCCATGATGCATCGTCTCTTAAAATATTTTGTTGGACCACCATGCCCTCTACCACTAATTTATTTTTATAAGATTTTTTTTTTTGGTAACACTCCATATGAGTAAATGGAATGGACAGTTCTATATGGGCCTGAAGCAAATTTCTCTCTTACTTTAGTCTATGAGCAGGATCAAACTTGTATGACAACCTTTTTTTGAAGAAAAAAACACTTGATGGTCAAATATCATCACTGTTATATACATGAATATGTGTCTAATCTTTCAACAATACACAAATTGAACAAATGCCTTCCAAACCCCAATTACAAAATTGCATTAAAGCAATGGTAATGGGGATTGAAAGAGGAGAGAGACAGAACCAAAGTTGCCTAATCATGCACAATCTAATATGAAACCGTACAAACATATTTTCAAAACCCTTAGTGACCTTAGTTATCACCAATTCCTTCTAGCATTGACCCACTCCAACCTCAACTCCACTTCTCCACATTCTACATCCTTAAGTCTTAAGATCATGTCTTGGACCACTTTTCCATTGTAGATGTAGATCTTGCTCTCATCCACCAGGCAATTGATTGAGTTAGGACTCACTATCCTTATGATGTCATTGTCCAAAGTCCCTAAATCTGCTCTTCCAGCTTCCACAAGTGGTTGTATGTCGATCACTGCATTACCCATAGGGTCATCAGGGGTGAAGGTATCCTTATCAAAGACTTCCTAAATGACCCAAAAAAAATTGAATGTATAAGTCGTTATGAATTGTTATAAAAAGATGAAAATAATAGGTGTACTTACAGCTAACCTAGTATGATTCATGAACTTTTATCATCTTGACTGATGGGTGTTGTACAAAAAAGATATATAATACTTGGTATTATTTATATGAATGACTTAGAATGGTACATGAGATAAGGTAATAGTTTGTCATGCTAGCCGTTTGGAATTCAAATTGATCTACTAAAAATCAATGAATTCAAATAAGTTTATTGGATGATCTAATGATTTAAAATATTAATACTCAAGAAGTGAGGTACTTCATGTAGGGATCTAGCAACCAATGAATTAACTTCAAATAATTTATGATCTGATACTGGCTTTAGTGGATTCAATGGGCATAAGAAATTAGGTAGTGCTGTATAGTGTCAATTTAAGCAAGTCAAGTAATATATGAGAAGATGTCTAAATTTTTACTAAGAGGTATAGTAAATTTAACTCATATATAGTATCATTCCATGATTTTCAATGTTAAACCAACACATCCAAATGGCATTTGAAACATCCCATGAACATCTAATGTCCTTCAGTCCAATAATGAATGAAATGATCATAATGAATTTAAAAGGTGTGTATGAAGATCTAATAATCGGTTTTTCTAGGCTCCAATAAAATGGTAATAGAGTTGGTTTAATTGTATTATCATCCTAACATCATCAAATTAAATGGACTATATATGAGATGAACATAGCAACTGATGATGCACATCATGTGGCTAAATTGGCCAACGCCTAATATAATTCAAATTGGGATCAGAGAACATGCTGGCCAATCCAAGTTTTTTTCAAACTCTCTTTTTATGATGATAAAAAGTTTAAAAGTCAATTAACCGCGTCTAATAAAACAATCATGAGAACCCATGGACACCTATAATTCATAAAGAGCAGCTAAGGGGACTCACCAGCTTGATACTTATGTTTGGATCTTGAATGTATAAGGTCAACTCCTCATTCCACTCAGGGTTGACATTGTTTTTTATCACTCTTGTCTTTACTCGCTGTGGGTAATCAGAAAAAAAAGGGACAAAAGAAGAACATTAGCCATGAACAATTGTAAGGTTCATACCTTGTTGAGAAGAAAGTTTCTTTTGTTAGTAATCAATTTACCTCTTAACTTGGTAAGTAAGCTATTCAGAAAAACTGAGAAAAATCTCAAGTCAAGGCATTGGCAACCAATAGTCACTGACTTTTCAACACCGACCAGAGGTTTCAAGAATATTCATGTAAATATATACTATTATTCTTTTATTAGAATATACACAAATCAGGCTGGTAAAGCCTATTGAGGGTTGGTTCTATGAAGGTTGACCTTTCCTGGGGCAGTCCCACTTTGGTGTCGTAGTTGGATTCCCAAGGAATCTGACAACCCGAATCCAGTTCTGCCCAATTCGGCCTATTTCCCTTGCTCGCACGACTTCAAAGTCAAAGAAAAACTGATCCAACATCTTTTTCTCTCTCCCTCCGTTCCTCTCATCCGGGACGCATTCGCCGATGCTGAGCACTTAGGAAGCAGACTACACGGACAGAATTCACGGAGGCTCTAGGAAAAAGGGGGGCGGGGGATGGAATTGGACACTGCAGAACGCAAATCGGATGGACACCGCCGATCCGCCCTTCAACCCTCACCAGCCCTCTCCTCTTCTTCCTCCCGCCCACCCTTCCCTCCCGGGGCTCAGGAAGAGCTGCTGGCAGCAGCAGCAGCGGACGGTAAAGAGAGAGAAAGACGGATGTTGAGAATTGGGGGAAGAACCTTGTTCTTCTAGCCGAGGGCGGCAAAGATAGAGAGAGAGAGAGAGAGAGAGAGAGAGAGAGAGAGAGAGAGAGAGAGAGACAGACAGACAGACAGACAGACAGGGATAGAGAGAAGTGGGGAAGGACCTTGTTCCTCCATCTGAGGACGACGTAGGGATCGCTGCTGCGGAAGTCTCTGATGGCGAGGTTCATTCCCCTGACAACCCGCACCTTTAACGACCCTTCCCTCGTCTGCCCGTCCCTCATCGTCCTCCTTTTCTTTCTTCTCCTCTTCCGCCGCCGGTGTCTCAGGGCGGAGGAGCTTTCGAGATATGTCATGAACGGGCGTTGACACCGTCTTGTTATCTGAATGGGAAAGCCTCTCGGCACGAACCGTCGAAAGTCGAGGAACTGGGTCCTACAGTACTGAAAAATGCGTGACCGACTTCCTGTTACTAGTTAATTTTCCTAAACTTCCGCCCCCGCCACCATTCCGATGATCCGGGTAAAGTTGACATCAAGCAGCTTAGCTTCCACTGATCAAGTGAAGTCACCGGCATAAATGGGCCTTGCAAAGAAGGCCCAGTGAGCCTCCAACGAAGGGATTGGAATTGGGGGAGAAAACAAAACAGGCCCAATAGCATCGGCCAGTATTGTACTCATTTCGGAGCCCAATAATTGTAAAGAGATCACTTTTGGGCCCAATTTCAGCCCTTCTGCTGCCTTACCCCACTCCCCCCCTCCCCCTGGTCACATCCACTGGAGGGAGCAAGGGAAGGAGAGAGAGAGAGAGAGAGAGAGAGAGAGGAGAATGAAACTCCCTGTCAGCTCTCCATGGCAGTTCTCTGCTACAGCGAGAGAGAGAGAGAGAGAGAGTGTTTGGTGGAAGAAAGAGAGATGGGAAAGGAACTCTCATCCTTCAAGATCCCAGCGGTCTCGTCCGCAACGACTGTTAAGAAGACAAACGCATCTCCAACAAATTAGACGGCCAGCGAGAGAGAGAGAGACGCAGTGGCCTCCTCCTGCTCCTCCTCCGGCGAAACAGCGAAGCAGACCGACGGCAATACCGAAACAGATAGCGATAAGAAAGAGAGGAAGGAGGAGATCGGTGAACCTCGCTGGTCATGGTGAGGAGGACGTAGGGATCGCTACTGAAGAGATCGCGCGTCGCGAGGTTGAAGCCGCGGAGGATTTTCACTCTCACCAGCCTCAGCAGCGGCGGCGCCGCCATGCTCTCCACCTTAGTCCTCCATCCCATCGCCACCGCGTTCCTCCCCGAGATCCCCGCACCCAACCGATTTTTCTGTACGCGCTTTTGTTCGAGGGGAAAGAAGAGGAGAACGGCTTCCGAGAGGGGCTCGTCGCCCTCGCGAAGAGGATCAACGACCACCAGAAAAATTGAAGAGAATACATTCTAGAGTTTCAGGAGCCGCGATCTTCTTGAGAATGGACCACTGGGTTAATTGACCGAGCGGACTTCCAAGTAAATCAGAAGATTCTAGAATCAGTGTACCATCTTCAGACTAGTCAAACAAGTCAGACGAAGCTCACCGGCCGTCTTATTTTTATTATTGTCTAAACTAATAGAAAGTATTAATGAATATTTTTTAAAAATACACGCAAAGAGGAAAGTTGATGTTTCTATACATATTATATATATATATATATGAATATTCAATTGACAACTGAATTCTCTCTCTCTCTCTCTCTCTCTCTCTCTCTCTCTCTCTCTCTCTCTCCCCCTCCCTCCTTCCCCCCACTTTGCTCTTTGAAGGTAACGGGTTTCGTGGAGAAACACACACGAAAATCTCTCATGTATTATTAAAATTAATAAAAATACTAATTCATATTTTTAAGAAACACATGAAAGCTGATGTCTATACATATATTTTATAAAAAAAGTATTCAATAAAAGTCATTGACAAGTAAAGTCGTCTCCCTCTCTCCCTCTCTCTCTCTCTCCTTCTCCCACTTCTCCTCACTCCAATTTTAAGTAGGAATGGGTTTCGTGGAAAACATCATAGAGAAAAATAATATAGAGGGTGGCGAAACCATTCACTCTTTTTCAGATTTATTTTTTTTTTGCAAAATTCGGGGACTGAGTAGAATAATTACCAATTGAATTATCTTAATTACAAAGAATTGGTTCGATTATGCATTTTCCCTTTAAAATATTCCATCAGACCGCCATCTCCTCTCCCACCAATTTATTTTTATAAGAAAATAATTTTTTTGGTAACACTCCTAATGAGTAGATGGAATAAAAAAATTTGTATGGGCCTGAGAAAAAATTTATCTTACTTGAGTAGTCAATGAGCAGGATCAAACTCATATGACAAACTTTTTTTAAAATAAAAACACTTTATGGCTAAATATCATCATTGATATATGCAACAATAGGTGTCTAATCTTTCAACAATATAAAGATTGAACAAATGCCTCCAAAACCCCAATTACATAATGGAATTAAAGTAGTGGTAATAGGGATAGAGAGGCAAGGAGAGAGAGAGATAGAACTAGAGTTGCCTAATCATACAATCTAATATGAGACCATATAAACATATTTTCAAAACCCTCAATGACCTTAGTCATCACCAATTTCTTCTAGCATTGACCCAATTACATAATGGAATTAAAGTAGTGGTAATGGGGATAGAGAGGCAAGGAAAGAGAGAGAGAGATAGAACTAGTGTTGCCTAATCATACACAATCTAATATGAGACCATACAAACATATTTTCAGAACCCTCAGTGACCTTAGTCATCACTAATTTCTTCTAGCATTGACCCACTCCAACCTCAACTCTACTTCTCCACATTCTACATCCCTAAGTCTTAAGATCATGTCTTGGACCACTTTCTCATTGTAGATATAGATCTTGCTTTCACCCACCAAGCAATTGGTTGAGTCAGGACTCACAATTCTTATGATGTCATTGTCCAAGAGAGTTCCTAAATCTGCTCTTCCAGCTTCCACAAGTGGTTGTATGTCAATCTCTACATTACCCATGGGGTCATCAGGGGTGAAGGTATCCTTGTCAAAAACTTCCTGAATTACCCAGAAAAAATAAATGTATAAGTCATTATGAATTATTATAATAGGATGAACTTCATTAGGTACACTTACAGCCATACATTCTAATGGACAACGCATGATTCATTTTTATCATCTTGTTTGAGAGATGATGCCGCACAAAAGAAATATAATCGTTGGTATTATTTCTATGAATGACTTAGAATGATATATGAGATAGTGTAATATTTTGTCATGCTAGTCCTTTTGAATTCAGATAGTGCATAAGACGATCTACTAAAATCAGTTTATTAGATGATCTAATGATTTACAATATTAGTACTCCAGAAGTGAGATACTTCATGCAATGATCACTAACTTGAATGATCATCAACGAACGACTCATTAACTTCAAATTGTATTTGGAACAATATTGGCTTTAGCAGATTAAATGGGCATAAGAAATTAAGTAGTGGTGCATAGTGTCAATTTCAGTGAATCAATTGATATATGAGATGATATATGAAATTGTAATGGTCGCTACAGTTAATTTACAGGTATATAGTATCATTCAATAATTTGGAATGTTAAACCAGCACACCAAATGGCATTTGAAACATCTCACGATCATCTAATGTTTTCCAAAAGGAATATGAATGAAATCATATGCAATATTATCAACTTTGGAGGTCTATGATATAATCCCATATTTTATGATATTAATGTTCTTTAATTCAATGATGAATGAAATGATCATAATGACTTTAAGGGTGTGTGGGATGATCTAATAATATATGTTTCTAGCCTCTACTCAAAAAGTACTAGAGTTGGTTTAATTGTATTATCATTCCTACATCATCAAATTAAATGGTCTCCATATGAGATGAACATAGTGGCTAAATTAGTCAACGGCTAAGATAATTCAAATTAGGATTGGAGAACATGTTGGCCAATTCAAGCCCAATTTCCAACTACCTTTCTATCATGTACTAGGAGTCAATTAACGATGTATTGATAAACATCCATGAGCACCCATGGGCACTGTTATCATTAACAAAGAGCACTTCTGGGGACTCACCAGCTTGATATTGATGCTTGGATCGTGTACACATAAGGTCAAGTCCTCATTCCACTCCGGGTTGACATTCTTTTTTATCACTTTTGTCTTTACTCGCTGCGGAAAATCATTAGAAATCAAGGACAAAGGAAGAACATTAGCAATGAATAATTGTAAGCTCCATACCCTGTCTAAAAGAAATTTTCTTCTGTTAGCAATGCGGTTACCGCTCAACTTGGTAAATAAGCTGATGATAAAGAATGAAAAAGCTCAAGTCAAGACGATGGCAACCAGTAGTCACTAACTTTTCAATACCAACGTAAGGTTTCAATGTATCTTTACTAACTGTTATTTATTAGGATACCCCCAAACCAGGTTGGCAAAACCCATTTGGGGCAGTTTCTATGAAGGTTGACTTTCCCTAGGGGAGTCCTATGGCCGCCCGAGGAAATACCCGCTTTGGTGTCGCAATTGGTTTCCTAAGGAATGTGACAACTGACAACCGGAAATCCAATTCTGCCCAGTTCGGCCTAGTTCCCTTGCTCACACGATTTCAAAGACAAAGAAAAACCGGTCCAACCTCTCTCTCTCTCGCCCTCCCTCCCTCTCATCCGGGTTCATCCGGGAACGCGTTCACAGATCCCGAGCCCTTAGGAAGCAGACTACACAGATGGAGATTCACCGGGGGGAGGGGGAGAGGGGGGGAGGACTGAATCGGACAGGATCGACCCGAAATCGGATGCAGACCGCCGATCCGCCCTCGAACCCTGCCACCTCCCTCCTTCTCGTCTTCTTCCTCCTGCCCACCCTTCCCTCCCGGAGCTGAGGAAGAGCGGCAGGCTGCAGCAGCAGCGGGCGGTAAAGAGAGAGGCCTCGCCGAGGATAGCACACAGCGCGAGCGAGAGAGAGAGTGAGAGAGAGAGAATTGGGGGAAGAACCTTGTTCCTCCAGCTGACGACGACGTAGGGATCGCTGCTGCGGAGGTCTCGGATGGAGAGGTTCCTTCCCCTGATCACCAGTACTTTCAACAGCCCTTCCCTTGTTCTCCCGTCCCTCATCGTCCACCTCTTTCTCCTCTTCGGCCGCCGGTGTCTTGGGGCGGCGGAGCTTCTGAGATTATATCATGAACGGGTGTTGATTCTACGTACTTTTACTTGGATGGGAACGCCTCTGCGGCATGATCAGTCCAAAGTCAAAGAACCGGGTCCCGCGGTATTGAAAAATCTATGGGACTCACGTCCTGGCCGCAGCCTCATAGATTCCGCTGTAATCCCAGTAAAGTTACCATTACAAATTTGTGGGACCTGATTCCTCCCAAGCAGCTTACGATCAGCGCGGTGAAGTGGCGGAGGAATGGGCTCGGTAAAGAAGGCCCAATGAGCCTCCTACGAAGGGAATGGGGGGGGGGGAGGGGAACAAAACAGCCCAATAGCATCGGCCCGCATTGTACTCATTTCCAAGCCCAATAATGGTAAAGAGATGACTTTCAATAGCATCGGTCCAATTTCAATCCTTCTCCTCCCTTCGTATCGCCACCCTTCCCTCCTCTGGTGGTAGCATCCGGTGGTGGGAAGCTAGCGAGCGAGCGAGAGAGAGAGAGAGAGAGGGGCGCAGTGGACGGCAATACCGAAGCAGATCGCGAGCAGGAGAGAGAGACAAGGAGGACGGAGGAGATGGCTGAACCTGGCTGGCCATGGTGAGGAGGACGTAGGGATCGCTGCTGAAGAGATCGCGCACAGCGAGGTTATAGCCGCAGAGGACCTTCACTCTCGCCAGCCCCAGCAGCGGCTCCGCCGGGGCTCTCCCCTGTTGTCTCATCGCCCGCCTCGTTCCTCTCCGAGATCCCCGCTTCCAAGCGACATATATAGAGGCGCTTTGAAGTCAGAAATTGAGTCCTTGGGCCTGCGATCCTTCTCGGAATGCACCGGCGGGTCAATTGACGACTGGACTCCGTGACAACAGAGCATTCTAGAATGAATGTACCGTCTTGAGCTTAGTCAAACAAGCCCAAAAACGGTCGCCGCCCCGACCTCCACCAGACCAGCCTATGCAAAACTCCAGTTATCTAAATTTCTCTCGAATTTGCAAATTAATTAAAATACCAATGCATCTTTTTAAGTACACACACACACACACACGAAATTCTATATATATATATATATATTCATTTAATGTCATTGACAAGTAAACTGTCTGTGTCCCTCATAAAACACATATGAAAGTTGATGTATATATATATTATATAAAAAATATTCAATAAAAGTCATTGACAAGTAAAGTTGTCTCCCCCCCACCCCGCCCTCTCTCTCTCTCTCTCTCTCTCTCTCTCTCTCTCATCTTCTCTCTCCCCTTCCCCCTACCTCCCTCCTCTTTTAAGTAGGAAAATATCATAGAGAAAAACAATAAAAGAGGCAACAAAGCACTCAAAAAGTTTCTGGAAAATGCTACTTTTCTCAAGCAATTTTCTGAATTGAGTATCCAAGAGGAGGCTACGTACCTCGCCAAGGGGGAGCTGATTGTAGGCCAGCTGCTTGCTCTCCCACTTCCACCAGATGGGCCCAAGCAGGGTGGTCCGTCTCTTCCTCTTGGTATTCTCTAGGTTAGCACCAAGTGAGATTTAGTCAACAAAATGCCTATATTACCTGAATAAATAATTAAAAAGAACAAACCCAACGACAAAGATCAACTCCATGTAGTGGTTTTATTCATACATCCATATTCTATACATGTCTATAAAATATGTATGACTATAATGATTAATTCCCATCTTTAGAAACATCTCACATAATATATGTCAGCCTCTCCTAAAAAGGAAAGGAAGTTCAATGGAACCTCATTGAAATAGATGCTAAAAATCTATCTCTTCTCTCTCTCTCTCTCTCTCTAGCTCTCCTCTCATTTTGGCTTTAACATAGGTAGCATCTTACCATACCAGCTTTGAAATGAACAAGATCTCTACAACATCTAAGATTCCTTTGTTAAATTTGAAAGATCTAGTGTTAAGATAGATGGAGAATGATTAAACATAATGAGAATAGATTAGAGCCATATTTGAATCCATAAAGTCATAAGTACAAGAATGACCTTTTGGATCAGCACAAGGAAGTCATGTATGATTTACTATACAACGATTAAGTCACATCAAAGAGCTTTGACAATCAACCATGAGAATCAAAATACCTCTCTTCAAAGGGTCAAATCCGAAAGATCAGATTTTCTATGTTGAGCTCTTCTTCTTCACTTATCAAATTGGTCATGTGAAAAGATTTCCCATTGCCATCTTGAGTCTTGCATGAATGACTCTAGCTTGATATAAATGGACTAAGGTCTAAGCACCTTTTTGCAATTTGGAGGACCTTCAACATGAAATTTTAGAAAAATTTTGCTCCAACCCAACAAAAAGTATGGGTTAAAAATCCTTAGATATTAAAAACGTCTTGAACTATCATTGAAAACCATGAAGAGTTTGACAACATGATTGTTTTCCATAGAGGTTTTCCCAAGTAAATATTAGAAAACACTTTTTTAAAGCATCTCTAACAAGACATCTAAGTTGAAGTCAATATGTTTGAACCTATTGGTTTGGACACAATTATGTGCATTACACATAAGATAGAGAGAAAACTTATTATTTATCAAGGTAACAACAAATATACTCTAGTAAGGCACACTACATCTTTTGGCCTAAATTTACATGACTATCTCATAAGGTTTTGTGTGGATTAGTACATAGTTAATCATGCTATGATACTTGATTAATTAAAAATTTTAATCGTGGATGAGCTCTTAGACAAATTTTATGACAACTATATTTTCAAAGTTGAACCTCTATTGTAGGTATCATTAGATACAAGTTTGCTATGAAGACATCTTCAAAGTATCATTCTATACACATTAAGAATATTATAAGTTCTTTGTAATCTCATTGAGTGTTTCAAATACATTAACAACCTTTCAAGCATTATGAGTTACATCTTCAATAAGTTTTTGAAAAAATTATTGTTGATATTCTTTAGTGATATTCTCATGTATAATTCAAATTTTGCATGACATTAGAAACAATTAGAACAAGTGTGTGGTATCATTTGTTAAAATAATTTATGTATCAACCTAAAAAAGTATTTATTTACATAATCAAAGATGACATATCTAGGTTATGTAATCTCAACACAAGGAGTGAGGATTGACCAAGAGAAGGTGGAAATAATTTTCTATTGACTATCACCAACAAACTTCTACAAACTCTATAGGTTATTGGGCTTGACTAAGTATTATCAGCATTTTATAGGTGGTTTGGAATGTTTGCATTAACGTTTTACATCATAATTGCATTTGGAATCCTTTGGCTAGAACTTAGATGTGGGTTTTCTGGTGATTAAAAGAATCTCTCACAACTACCTAATTTTGGCCCTCTTAGACTTTTCACAAAATTTTGAGCACGAAGTAAATACATACAGCCATAGAGTGAGAGTTGTTCTCTTATAGAAGAAGAGATTCTTGTATTTTCCAACTAGACAATCTACCTTGGGAGGAATTAGAATAATTTACCAAATATAATTGACGTCAATCATTATTTCAACTCTCAAATAGAAGCATTATCTTATAGGTAAGAGATTTATTAGCTTCATGGATCAATAGAACTTGAAATTTATCTTCAAGTAACAGCATGTCTTACCAAATTATTAAAAGTGGGTATCAAAGATACAAAATAGGCTATAAGAATAAATTGACTTTGATATTCAATACAAAATAAGCTCCAAAAATAAAGTGACTAATGCTTTGTTCCAACAATCAGAGTCAGATCACTCACTTCTCTTGACTTACATCAGTTAAAACTAAACATTGACTTAATCATCCAAGAATATCAAAAAGATCAACAAATTATAGTCATCATCGAAGACCTACAATATTTGGAAAAAAACATCTAAAATATTCTTCTCACCATGGCTAGTTATATCACCAAGATTACCTCATCCTCTCTCAATAGTTGGTATTTATACCTCCTATACTCAAAGAATTTCATGATTCAACTATTGAGGGATATTTAAGTTTTCTATAGACCTACAAATGGCTTGGACAAAATGTTAGTTGAGCTAGAATGAAGAGTAATGTTCACAAATATGTTGAAGTGTGTGCAATATGTCATTAGAACAAATCAAAATCACTCTCTTGTACAGATCAACTCAACAAATGCTATCTTAGTTGTAGTAGACCAACTCAACAAATGCATCTATTTTTACATCCTTCAACATCTATTTATTGTCAAAGTGTCAAAGTCATGTACCTTCATGAGATTTCAACTTCTAGTCTAACAAATAGAGATCATATCTTCATGAATATCTTATAGTATGAACTACTTTAATTCCAAAGAACTCATCATTGGCACTTTAGTATAAATCACCTATAGATTGACAAGCAAATAGAAGTTGTGAATCAAGGGGTTGAAACATGTCTCCACTATTTCACTAGTTAATTCATGTCAATGAATTCATTAGCTTGCTTAGGCAAAATATTAGTATAACACAAATTTTCACTCATTCGTTGGAACCACTCCCTTCCATAGTATCTTTGAATGAACCCCTCCAACCCTCCTTCATTATGATGTCCCATGTGCACACTCAAACAAAATAGACTAACTTCTCCAAGACTTTGATGCCACCTTGGATCAACTCAAAGGTCATCTATTAAAGGCACAAACAAAAATGAAAGAATCTGTAGACCAATGTTGAAGAGACTTCATTTGCAATATGTGGTGCTGTGTTTACCTCAAGTTAAGATTGTATCAACTAAAGTCTCTTACTTAAAGGCCATATGAGAAGCTTGGCCCATTATTTTTTGAGCCATTTGAAATCTTAAAACAGATCAATCAAGTTGTAGGATTGCTCTTCTGCCATCTGTTAGCCTTCACTCATTTTTTCATGTATCTCAACTCTTGTGAGATAACAGACCTTCCACTACTCAAAAACTATTACACATCGACATAGATCTGACTTGGTGCATTGAACTAGAGGACATTATCAACGTTTGGAAAAGCTCTAGTGTCATTAAAGTATTAATTAAATGAAAAGGCTTGCCTGTCTCTAAAAATATTCGGGGAGTTTATATACAGCATCAAACAACTTCCCTCCTTTCACCTTAAGGACAGTGAAATTCTGAGTGGAGAGTATTGATGAGTTACTCTTACCCTTTGATGTGCAATATGAAAGGTGTACTTAACGTGGAGTGGTCAGACCTTGAGTCATTGTCACTTAGCAACCATCAAACAAATGAAAGGAAGCATTAGTTCAAGGAAGGGAGCATTAATTGAAGAAAGTGTATAATGGAAAAAGTTAAAGAAAGGAAGAGAAGATGCCCATTTTCTCAGTACAAAGAAGTGACTCTCGAATGGGTGAGGCAGGTTGTATTATGGACTGATTCATGAATCAAATAAGAGATTGACTGTCTCTAATAAGTCAGTATGCAATGGGTCTAGGGATATGTGTCCTTTCTATTCTCTCTTTCTTTTCCTTCCCTTCTCTATCCACCTCATGTTTTCTCTTTGTCACTGATAGCAGTTTCCCTATTCTCCACCTTTGCTATCATCTTTCTTTTACACCTTCAAGGCATGGGTCCCATCAGAGGGCCCAAATAGAGGTGTTCTGACCCGACATTGTCAGCTGCATGGAGGTCGTCAAAGGCCTCACTGGCATCGTCGACTAGCTCAGCTTTGACAGCATGCTCCAGCCTGCCCAGCAAGGCCTTCAAGTCACTGGACAGCCAAAAGCAGGGCGATTCTGTGTTGCCTAGCATCATCATGGTAATAGAGATAGTCGGATTTGTATGTCATCTTTCATTGAAATTATATCTATCAAATAAGATGCCAAATGACGTGCCCTGCATCATCGTGGACTCAAAGAATGAAGTATATGCATCCAACCAAAGTATATATATCCATAATTCTATTGGAAACTAATAGCTCTGGTTTATAAGATGCCCATAAAATCTAGTAAAGAAAAACATAGGAACGAAAATATAGGAAAGAGTGGAAGGAAATGATATAAAGCTTGATGATTCAGATGTGCTGCTGTACAATTGATTTGATTTACTGGCCACCAGATGGGAGAAGCAATTGTGTTTTGTATTCTCCTCTTACATAGTAAAACAAAGCACTCTATGCAATCAGGACATGACTATCATATCATGATCACAAATATTTCTCTCTTTTTCAGGACAAATATTCAAGATGCTAGGTTTCTTCTTCTATTTAAAGCCGTAATCTATGAACTTTATCTGTCAGACTTTGCGCTCAACTATTTCATCAAAGGTCTATTTTGATCATAAATACTAGGCTACATAATAGTAAACACCAAACAAAATGATAGTTTCTTGTGGGCTATTGCTCATCATCTTCTGGGTCGACATCAATCTCCTCTTTCCCTTTCTGCAAAACCTTATTCAACATAAACTGCAGACTATCGCCTTCTTCAAGAGCCCACTGTCTTCTCAATTCATCAATAGCTTTAGAAGCAGCAGCTGCAACAGCTGGATTGCGGTCTTCTGCCAACCTCTGGAGAAAGAAAAATAGCAAGGGTTATGGCATATTTCTTCTGAAGAGATCAAAAAGATATTTTTACTAATCTGACCTTTAATGCACCCATGCCAGCATTCCCAAGGGTCCACATGGAGGGGGCAGTTGCTAGGGCATTCGCTAAGGCTTTCCTACGGCACAAAAACATGCACGTCAATGATATCACAAGTGGAACACAGTTCAAAGGAACAATAAGAGCTAATCAGTGGTCACTCCAGAAAACTGGGATTTTGGACTGACGTAGAGAACGGTGATTCTTAAGATACAACCAGTATGAAAGTCTATTTTTACTTGCTCCCACAGTGATTGAACTGAATTGAATAAGAAGCTCATGGGATTGACGTCATAGAGTAGGGATATATTTTTCATTCAAATGCAAATACTCCATCTAATAAGAAAAAAATAAAACAATGAATCAATTCTGGTTTTCAGAAAACAATTTCATCTTTTTTCAAACTTGATTGCATAGGCAAGAGCAAGAAAGATTGAGAAATAGAACTTACATATCTTACTGCATAGGCAAGAGCAGGAACATGAAGCCTTCATATCTTACTGCCTGTACTTGATTTACTCAGAGCTACTAGAGTAGGAACCACAGTTAAAACTGAAGTAGCTAATGGAAGGCCTGATTAGGAGTCTGGTTCTTAGTTAGATCATTTCGTAGTTTGTCAGTTTCCTAGTTGTCAAGGGTTATCTTGCCTTGTGGCACTGTTACTTGTATATAACAGTCATTTATGATATGAAATACAAGTTGAGATTTTCCTCTACATATCCTCCTAAGGTTTGAGCCACTGTTCCCTACATGCTATCAGAGCAAGTTTGAAGTGAGTCTTCTAGAGAATCTAGGCTTTGCTTCCTTCTGCCATAGTCTAGGGCTCAGTCGATGGTCGCTTGGTTCATGACTCGAAGGATCCCATCATTCTGGGTGCTCAACTACAGAGGGGGATACTCGACGACAGAATTAATTGCCTTTTTTCTTCTGCTCTTTTGTGTTGGATGTAAGAGAGCAGCCTAGCGTTGTCATTAATTGTGTTCCTCGCACTCACAATAGCTTCATATTCCCTACTCTTGCTTGAAAAACCCTTTTTTGATCATCGATCTACATTGTGAATCCTTTCAGCCTTGATTGCTGATAACCCCTTTCTTTATCATCAGCTTTCATCGTCAATGCTTTCAGCCTTGTCTGTTTCTTTAACAACACCATTAATCCTGTCACTGAAGGTAGCTGTCAGTTTTTCTACAGATGCCAGAAACTGTAGAGACCATTGCTACAACAGTCTGAGGGGTTCTATAGTTTCAACAATCTGGAGACTTGCTAAGAATTCAAGCTACTATGCTTTGCTGAAATCTGGAGATTGGAAGGCAAAATAATTCCTTAAATGGTCACAATTTGTTCGCACTGTGCTAAAAGGGACAGGGATGATCAGACATCTTCATAGGTGCACGGCCAAAATCAGGGAATCCACAGTTTGAGGCATGGGATGAAGAAGACTCCATGATTATGACATGTTATGGGATTCCTATGACCTCTGAGATCAGTGACACATGCATGTTCTTGACTACTGCATAGGATATGGGATGCAATCAAACATAAATATTCGAAAGCAAGAGATGCAGCACAAATCTATGAAGAAAAGATAGAGACAATTGCTGCAAAATAGGGACGCAAAACAACTACGGAATTCGCAAATCAGCTGAAAGCTTTCCATTATAGGGTAATTAAAACCAAATGTCCTAAGGATTTCATTGAGCAAGACAGAGTCAATGATTTTATTGTTGGGATTAATAAAGAATTTGATCAAGAACTCAGATTCTCAGCAAAGAGGAGGTTCCATGCTTTAATAAGATGGTAGCACTGATTTGAGGAGAGTGAGGCAGAAGAAACCTGATGCTCGAACAATTGTGGTATGGTGATACAATCCTCTTTAGAAGGATCGGATCGGGGCAAATTAGGTGAGAAATCCGGTTGTATTGATCAAGCAAACTCGTAACAGAGTAGTATGGATAGGACATCAAAGAGACGGTTCCTACAGGAATACCAAAGAGGGAAAACAGAAAAGAGAAGGTAGGAACGGGATTTGAGAGGATCCCCTACAAGAATAAGGAACTTTCCGTCCCTTATTCTTTTCCTCAAAACACTGTTTATATTCCTCTGTCATTCTCATCTGAACTTTCTGATATGTGGAAGTCTCCAGAAGTTTCTCCTCAGTGCTTCGCATGTGACCTCTTTTTCCATCACACGTATGCTATCAGTGGGGTCGTAACATATGGACAGTTCAGCAATGTTGACTAGTGGTAGCAGTTATTCAGCCATAAAAGTAGGGAGAGCACAAGTTAATGGGAGTCGAAAATATGGATAACTGAAGGCCCAGAGTAGTGACCATAAGGTTATCATGTGCCACACTGATTGTAAGAAGGCACATCATAGTTGTGGATGGTGTCGGAAGCTCCATGGAACACCTCTGAGTCAATAATGGGGAGACAGAAAAGAGAGCAGCCAAGGAATAGCGGTCAAGTATTTTCCACAAAACGTGTCTACCGACCATATGGGCCAGTCATCAAATCCCTTTTCCACGTACTCTCCCTGTCTGAGCAGTGAAAAAATATCCGCAGCTGAGGCTTCTAGGTGCAGAAAATGTTTAACTCAACTCTTTAATTATCTTAAAAATTGTTCTTCATATCCTTATATTGTCCACAAACATTGTGTCTATCTAAAAGCTTGGTCAATATTTACATGAAATAGTGGTTCTTTAACATAATCGTTAAGTATTTAATCACGTGAACTTAATGAGGATTATTGGACATGCTAGAGAATGGGATGGTCATCTTCTTGAGGTAACCCCCAAGCTTCTCTGTTCCAAATAATGTGCCTAAATATTTTTAGGGAGAAACAGTTCTGACTGTCACTCATCTCATAAAGCGTTTGCTTTCTAGTCCGACAATTCAACAATCTGATGAAAACATTGTCATTATGTTATCGAATCTTAGAAATTACAAATAATCTTATCCCCAGGAGATTTTGGTGTGTATCATTTGTTCTTATTTATGATCAACATATAGGGAAATTAGATCACAGGGGATTAAATGTATCTTTGTGGGCTATTCTCCAACTCAGAAACCGTAAAAGTTCCACCACCCTCCATTAAAGAAATTATATATTTCAATAGATTTCAATGAACAATAGTCTAAATTTACCCCACCTTGTCTTCAGCGGGAGAAGTTCTTTATCTGTTGTCACTTCGTATGTCTCCCACCATTCTCTGTCTAAGCCTATATCAGAGTCCATATCAGATCCCAAATCTATATTTGACTCCATGCCAAATCCTAAATTTGACACTCTAGAAAATCCCAAAGAAAATTCCAACTCCGCCCTTGAAATTGTGGGATTTGGCAAAGGAGAGGTGTTTTCACGAAAGAAGACATTTGTTCTTGAATTTGCACAAGTCCGCGAATCCAACCTATACAAAGAATAAGGTACCAATTTCTAGTCCATTGCAAGCTGTAATTGAATCACATATGAGTAATAATAACTAGGACTTTCCCAAAGACATTAGGAAAGGGACTAGAGGATGGACAAAACAACCTTTATATCCCCTTGCAAACCTCATCTTTTACATATTTTCCATCATCTCATAGTGCATTCCTTGTCAATTTAAACATCATTCCGATACGTACCACCTTATCTGATGCTTTATCTAATAAGAAATGGAAATAAGCTATGAATGAGAAGATGGTGGTGGTAGAGAAGAACAAAACTTGGGAATTGGTAAGCCTGCTAATATGCTAGCAGGATTTTGTTGTGATTAGCAGCTATGATTGGGAGTCGTAGTAGTTTGATATTAAAATTACCTTTTTGCACAGTAAACCCTAGTATTTCTAAACTTCTCGTATAATGAATTCCAGGAAGAACATTATACAGAGGTCCTGTTAGGTCATAGAATAATTTAACTGCTCATACAGTGTGCAATTGAACAAAGCCTTATATAGACTTAATAAATCACCCAAAGTATGGTTTGGTAGATTTGTAAGAGTTAATGCCCATGGGGTACAAACAAAGCTAAAGAGATCACACACTGTTCAGTAAACACATCCTAAGGGAGAGTTTCAGACTCTTCGTATATGTTGATGAAGTATTGATTCAGAATGAGGATAAAGACAAAATATCTGAGCCAGTGTTTGACTGAGTTTGAAATCAAAGCATTAAGAAGGTTGAAATATTTTCTTGGGATTAAAAGAACTCACTCAAGACAAAGCATCTTCATCTCACAACAGAAGCATGTTTATGATTGATCTTCTTAGAGAAACAGACAAAACTGCATCCAAACTAGCAAGTACTCCAATAGATCCGAAACTAAAACTTGGAAAGGCAGAGTAAGATGTTGCAGAAGATGGGAAGATGTATCAACGCTTGGTAGGAAGATTCTTTATCTGTTTCATTCGTGACCAAAAATAGTATATACATTCAGTGTGATTAGCTAATTCATGGACAGCCCAAACAAGGTCATCTTCAAGCAACTTAGCAAGTGCTACAAGATATCATGTTTAGGAAAAATAGACCAATCCTTGATGCATACACATGCTGAACCTCTGGATATTAAACCCTTATTGGTAGCAATCTCATGATGTGGAGAAAAAATAGAATGTGGTAGCATGGTAAACTGCATGAACTACTTTGGTTGAAGATGATCTTAGAAGGCATGAAGATTAAGAGAGATGGCAGTAAGTCTAGAATTAGCACAGTTCACAACCCAATACAACAAAATCAAACAAATGACATCAAGATTGATAGACACTTCATCAAGGAGAAGCTAAAGAATGGACTTATCTGCACGCCCAATGCATCTACACATGGCCAACTGATTTGTACACCTAATGCATCTACTCAAATTATTGTATCCAAGCTGGGAATGAAGAATGCCTAGCTGTTCATAGTTGAAGGGAGGTGAGGGAAAGAACATATAATTAGAAGTTTGGTTCTTAGTTGAACCGTTTCCTAGTTTGTCGGCTTGTTTCTGAGTTCGTTGGTTTCCTAGTTGTCAGATAGTTTCCTCATTTTGTGGCCTTTGCCAAGTTGAGTTTTTCCTTTGCATATCCTCCAAGGATTCGCACCACTATTCACTACAGCCATATAGAATCGACAAGTTTCCAGGAAAATTTTAAAATGAAGTATGAAAATGGGAAAATAAAAATGCTTATTCCCATTTGTGATATTCCTGAAAAAGGATTCGTAATAAATGGAAAGAGGGAACATCTTGTATCCAACATTGTAAAAAAATACAATGATGGTTCTGTTGCATATAATTGCTTATTTATCTCATCTTTAATTTAGCAATCCATTTTTTTCTGGACCAGTCAAAAAATAGGGTGGTAAGGAAAAAGAGATTTTATTTTTTATTTTCTTGTTTAAAAGGGATTTAAACTCTAAGTCTTAAGAGAAATGATTGGGCTGGAGTCAACACTACTTGAGATAGTTAGGTAGAAATAACTAAAACATGTAACATAAATATTTCTACACACTATCCAGTGTTGTGTTGTAGACTCTCAAAAATAAACAGACACTCAACCAATGTGTTGGAGAAGCGGATTCACATCTCTTGTGATCTACACAGTCCTTTGGTCCTCAGAGCATATGGAATTTTTTTAGTTTTCCATCCATCCCAGGGTATCATTTCCAAAACATCCAATTATCAGACGAAGATTAGACCGAAAATGAGAAGGCATTCTAGGAAAAAGAAACTTCCATTGAAGAGAAGAAAGTAAAATGCTTTCATATAAATTCTCGTACAATCAACAATCAAGTCATTATTGTTTGTTCTATTACTGGATAGAATGGTATGACAACTAAAGGTCCATGACTTACTGTCTACAAATATCAAATGTTTATTGATAACTAAAACCTCATATTTTTTGAAACGTTCATAGCCCCTCTTTGCAGTAAAACTCTAGGAAAAGCCCACATTTTAGAGATTTGAGCAGCCAAATAAAACTAATATGCACAGTCATCTCCTAGATATCGTTTGCCTCTGATAAAACGAAAATCAGGGTTCTAAGCTCTTTGTTTCATGTCCAAGGAGATCAGTATAGAGGATCCGTCTGCTTCTAAAGTCAAGAAGGATACAATAGAATGGACTGTAGGAGCTATAGAGTAAGATCTCTAAGGGAGGAATAAAGGCCTCACAAGTAGGAAGTTGAAAAAGGAGATCTCACAGGCAGTGGAGGAAGGTATGAGTTATGATGGAAAGTAAAATACTCAGCGAAACAAAGTTCGGAACATATTAACACAAGAAATAAAATAGATAGGTTCCTGGGAAATATCAAACAGCATATGCCTAGGTACCACTAAGACCTGGTTCAGACCGCTCCCCTATCTTCCTAATTGGTTGGGTTTAAGAAGTGAAGTCAACATGTCTTCTGTTGCATAGTCAGGAATAGACAGATTCTTGGAGAACATTCTGGGTGTTTTAGAACTGAAGGAATGTGAAAGAAGATTAAAATGGAGGGTAAAGAGCTTTACATAAAGTCTTTCATTAATGAAATAAAAGTTGAGGATGCGGGGTATAGAGAAAATGAGTAATTAGGTAAGTATTGCTAGAAAGAAAAATCAACGGACTACTCTAGAAAGAGAGAAAAAAGAATACCCATTGATGTCCAAGTCAATCAAACTAAATAAAGTACCTGATATTGAATCTGTATTATGCTCAACAAGATGAGACCACTTTCATTAGATATGTGATCCTTTACGTTCCCAATAAGATGCTAGTGAATGAAGCTCAATTTCAAAAGGAGAAGACATTCAGAATGTAAGGAAGCCGCATGCAGGACCTCAGTTTCCCAAAAATATGAAATTAATTATCAAATATATTACCATATATGATGCATGTGATAAGCCTCCCATCAAGACATACTCAAGGAAGCATCCACATGTGAAGGGGAGGGCTGAGGGCTAAAAATAAGGGAACTCAGTTGTATAGGGGGTCAGGAAGAAACACTCGGTCCTAGAAGTTTCCAGAGATCCTCTGCCTATCGTGGTAGAACTAATTTGGTCTCCACAACTCAAAAACCTTTTCCCTAATCTCTGTTTCCCGTTCTTCTCGAAAGAAATTCAAGTCTTTTTCTGAATCAAGGTTTTTTAATGGAACTATGCTTATTAACAGCATTCAGTGACGACACTGTCTCATATAGTAGTATACCATCCTGCTCCATCACATTTCCATTGTGTGAATTGAGCTTGTGATCATCACTGTGTAATTGCATTCGTTTTGAATGAATTGGAGGCAACAAAGTGAGAGAAAAAATAAAATCAAATGAATTGAGTTGACAGAATATTTCATTGGTGTCATTAAAATGACACAGGTTAAAAATCATTTTATTCTTCCCATCCTTAAACCCGCACTGTACAAACCAATACCACTGCAAACAGTTTCTGCGCGAAAAAAATGTGACACTCAAGAATAATTTAAAGAGTATGAAGATTCATAATTAGGAATAAACAGTAAATATTGACGTCTACAAATGTCTTGTTCCACACCATGTGCATAAGTGGCCCACCCTATGGCACCATTTTAACATCATATGATTATATAATAATCTAAGTAATACGTGATGTCATGATAAAACTACAGGAAAACAGACATTTTTTATATGTCCAACAAACAAAAAAAATCGTGTCCAAGTTGACAAGCGATACCTTGTATTAACATCAGGAGAGCTAGAACACTCAGCTAGCAGTGATACAGTACTTTTACCATCCATCGCATCAAGGTCTATGAGCGTTGCTACTAGCAATTCAAGCTAAAAGTGGAGATTGCAAAGTAGAGAAAATATGATCAGTATAGAGATTAGGAACAAAATGTCAAAATCATTAGAATTCCAATTTAATGTTCGGAAACAACACCTCATCAGGATCTGTGTAGTCAATTCCATCAGCTTCAGACAAGGCAGATGCCATACTCCAGTACACATCCTGAATGTTTTTTATTTAATATTCATTCTCAGTGTTTTATGAATAGATGATAAGCTTCTGAAGTTTAGGATCATTAATAATAGAATGACCTGAATAGCAGTAATGCGGTTAGTAGAAACTTCTCCAGGAAACAGATCAGTAGCTTTTCCATTTCTTTCAAGGGTTATAAACCCAGTCACTTCATTAACAGATAATGTATCCTCTTTCCTCTGCCTAAAAATTGATAAGTAAATCAGAATCATTCCAGCAATTCTCATATTAAAGAATCAAAACAATTTATTTTATTTGAAGAAAATAGTCGTCTAACTAAAACAATAAAAAATATATAAACATACTGCTGATCCATCTTGTTCACCATCATGTCATGAATGTCACTGACAAACTGCAAAACTCCAACAAAGAACAATAGTTTATTAAATGAGTAAGAAGAGCATGCAGAAACTGAAAGTGAACAAGCTCGCTCATCTGCACTCAAGGACATGCAAAACTACAGATTCAAAAATCAATATTCTATTATCACAAGTCATAAAAGTGATGACTCCAACAAAAAGCTGTTTGTTAGGAATAAAGCTGATTGTTCTTGCTGAGAAAATCATGTAACATGAGCAATAATATGCGCACATCTGGCCTATGACTCACTGGCTAATTCAATTTGGAAAGAAGAGGAGAGCTACTTCAACAAATGATAGACGTATACCAAAAATAAAATCATGATCATTTCAACCGGTATTCAAGATAAACAACCCTATTTCATTCCTCCTATCACATTATGAAATGCATGAAAAAATGAGGATATCCAAGCTGGGAAATTAAAATTATTGACGATAAAAAAACGAAAAGTGCATGTCCCAGCGCAGTAAGTTTATCAATTTATCAAAGAGAAAAAGAGATGATCCCTCAATTTCATATGACTCCCATATATGAGGCAACTCACAGAATTTGTCCCTCGCAGTAACTTGGCATATTATAGAAACAAACTAGGTTCACAAGTCTACCTTCAATGCCATAAAAGCATCTTCCATGGCACGCCGTTTAACAAGGAAGTCTACACGTCGCAAATCTGCCTGGAATAAACCAACACTGATAAAATCCATAACGAACTAAAAGGGGAAATCTAACTGTAGAAACGTCAATGAAGTTTTAAAATTTACTACTCTCACAAAAAAATTAATCCTTTGCAGTGCATTACTTTCATCTGTGAGACTATAATAATGAATATGATAGTTGGTTCATCAACTAAATGGGATATCCCTGATATGATTGTCATAATTCTATAGCGACTGTGAATACAGAGAAGTAGGGGGAAGATAGAGAGAGAAAGAGAGGACATTCAAATTGTTGTGGACAAATAATATCTACAAACATAAGCGCTGATGGAAAAATAAGCTAACAGTATAAAACTCAGGCAATTGAAAATTATAACTGATCCCTTCAAATTTCCAGCTAGTTATAAGAGGTACCAAACATAGTAGCAGCAACAAAAAAAACGAAATAAAATGAGGTATAAAATCATCTCTTAGTTTGTCAGAGGCACAATTACAATTATCATGTAACTATGGAGTTCGACAAAGCAGATAATTCGTGTGAGAAATCTATAACTCAACTCATACTCTAAAATAATTACGTTACTTGTTATGTATGGATAAGGCAAGGTAAAGAAAATCACATTGAAATGACAAATCAACCAGTCTCTAGCAACCACACCTGTACACTACATAGCTCATTTAGAAGACTCTGTTTGGAATAAATTCGAAACTAAGTTAAAGTTATTTTTATCATGTGTCCTAGGACTAAAATAATATCCTGATAACCAAATATCAAAGAAAAATGAACAAAATAACATGGAAAAAAATCACTCTATTTGCATAATGAAAATGGAAACTAGGTACTTTTCTCCAACTCATGGCTAGGGGAACGTAGAGTATTTTCATATTTCACGTATGAAAATCAATAAATTTAAATGGCAGTATGCCCCCAAAATCTGATTCAACTACTATCATAAAAAAGTGAAAAGTGGAGAGATTAGTAACGAAACGAGAGCTAATGCAGCAAGGGTGGGTTGCACCTAGGGAGGAGACCAGTTGGCACGTGGATTGGGATCCATGCTATGTGGATATTGGGGAGTATTTAATGTGCAGAGAAGAGGTTACATGACCACCAGATCTTCTGATGAACATTTTCAGGAAATTTTGGCATTGGGTTACTTGAAACGAGTTTAACCACCGGTCTTCCTATTCAACCTACTGGATCCTAAAACTTAATGGGCAAGGTTAGAGTACTTCGGATAAATTTTGATAATTATTGGAATCTGGGGTCCATACCTAACTTAGGCTTTAAGGGGAACTAAAACTGAAAAAACTTATATTTTACTTCATAAATTACAGCCTGAAAATTGTGTGAATGCATATTATTGTCACAAAGAGCAGAAATATCTTATTTAAAGTTATCAACAACAATTACATTCTGTAAAAGTTGCACAAAAATTTTGTTTGAGGGAAAAGAAGAGTAAATGGCCATGTTAAGCAACACTTTAGTTTATGCAAGGCAAAATCGACATCAACCATGTAAAAATAAAAGGTACGATTATCCAAGCGCTAACATTTTACATGATCGGAGAGAATCAAAGAGCAGACTCTTATCAATAAACACTCTAAGCAATATGCAGATGAAGGAACAGTTCATTTCATCCACGCCATCAAAATAACAAACAGACAAGCTTTTAGATAACTTACAAGGTTAAGCATATAAATCACATTAAATATGAATAATACATGAAATCATAAGTCCATCCCAAGTATTATTGAAAGAATAGTATAAGAAGAAATCGAAAGGAAAATATAGGTACCTCCAAAGCTCCATCACTCCAATGCTGATCTGCTACTCTTTTCAAGTCAGATTGGGCTTTGTCTTTAAGAATCTGTTAGCATTTAGAAACCTTCCTAAATTATTCATATGAAGGCATCACAATAACATAAATTTCTAGCATTGTCCTGACTCATACACAATAACTTTTCTACATTTCTAGAAAATCTGTAAAAGATATTGTGAATCTGGCCACGTCTTGAAGAAACAGAGTATAGCTAGAATAAGTTACTGCAGCTATATGGTTTAAATGGGCAGCTTTCTTCTTCACATTGGTGTCAATTTTTCCTGTGTCTTCTCTCGCACGAGCTTCCCCAGGTCAATTATGTTCAAATAGAAAAGCAAAAGTTAGCAGACAAATTTAAAATTAAAAGATGAACAATTCTTCAAGCACTTCAACAAAAAAAAGAGTTATTTTTTCATTTCAACATGAAGAGTAACGATAGTTACCATCAAGCTTAAGAAACTCGTGTCCAAGAACTTGAACATCATGGCGGGCACGATCATTTAACTTTGTTAAGCCACTAAATCATAGTAGAAAGACAGACAGAATCAAAATAAATACCCCAATGTAACAATAGAAGTGCAATAAGCATAAGAAACTCATGCCCAACCATGTCGACATTATTCTATGAACACACCCAAAATTTTATTCCACTAAATCGCAATAAATAGGTAAATAAATCAACTATACGAAGATAATGGTGTAATCAGGCAGTGTTACACCAGGTACTACGTTTAAAAACGGATAGGACAAATCTGGCATCAGAATGAATGAAACACAACCTACCAGATTGGAAATGAGCCATAATAGTAACAGAAACCAGATCCTATGCAGGCGCTGAGAAATGGAGATTGATAGACCAAAGGAAGAGACAAAAGAAGAGAAACCGGATGCACCAGAAAATTAATCAGAGGGACATAAGAGAGATCGAAAGAGATTGAGCAAGAGAGAGAAATAGTACAGTAAGAGCACGAGTTTGAGAAAAAGACAAAGGAAAGAGAAACATCATGGGACTCGTTGACTAATGGAAGTTATTAGGTGCGGTGCTCCATGAGAAACAAAAGAAAAAACTTGTTACTGATGCATATGCCACTCAGTTAATGACGAATTCCAGTACTTCTAATAAGAATGAAAAGGAAACATTACTGTAATAAGATCAGATGTTGATAAATACCGTGAAAGCAGCACAATGTCGTTCTTTGCTCTTTCATTTACGAACTTTGCATCATTGTATACAAATCTACATGCCTCCACTAAGCCATTTCTGGAATACACAGAATTGCTTCTGGTCACAGTTTCATCAAACTGAGAACCAGTATTGACATTTCCATCTTCATTTAGACAGCTGACGAAAAAGATGGCAGAGATTCATGAATACTGATCGACTGATAGACTTCCAACTAATCTATGACTCTTCAAAATTGGATAGACACGATAGAAATCACAAATGTTAAGTGGGATTTAAAAATGTATGGCTAGAAACCATCTGAAATTTATAAAACAATTGTCTCAAACTTTCTATGTGCTAAAAAGTCATGGCACACATTCATCATTTTCCTTTATGATTAGACAAATCCATGATTAGTGATTAATAATTTCAGGAGCTAATCCCTGATTCTAGCAATTTTCCACATTGAGAGACCAAAAATCAATGACAGAGGGAAAAGGTCTCTAACGGATTATCTTGTTCAACAACATCTCAATAATCTCAGATATACAAACTCTAAAAGAGTTCAACAATTTGAATACAAGGCTTAGTTAAGGAAACTTCATTCACATTGGCAAAGATCATATCAGTTTATCTGTGAAATCTTCTAATTATACAGGAATGTTTCAACGTCATTTCGTGATGGGGAGCAAGAAAAATAGAATTCACTCAGTCATTATTATCCCCTCGACTTGTCCTTCAGGGGAATCATTTATTTCCACCTAAAGAGAAATGAATATGGCTGGGTAATAAAAGAAACGTTGTTTGGCCATTAAATACAAAAAGAACACAAGCAGTGGATTGAAAGGTTTAAGGTACTTTTTACAATGTTTATTTAAAAAAAATTAGTTAAGATAACAATATAATTTCTAACCATTAAGGTGATCATGGTTCCCCTGAGAAATAATATTGTGTGAATTAGATCTGACTTTATTTCTACAAAAATATTTACAAGATTACCACTAGTAATTATCTTGGGCAGCAAAGTACCCTTCAGCTTTTGGGAAAATACTGGGAAAATTGGTTGATCTGAGTGCCGACATTTAACATACAATGCAAATCCCTGATGTTGAAAACTCTATGTGGTTATCAACCATTTTTTATCAACTTTGTTGGAACAGCCTTATTAGCTTAAATAGGCTCTAGGCTGTAGAAGACTATATGTTTATAGCCATTTGTTGAGCCAAAAATTGGACTGTTAAAATATCCAAATAACTAGTGTTAGTTCTTATAGTTAAAGAATATGCATTGATGGCAAAAAATAGTTATCATTAAGAAGAATTGTGCAATACAAAATTAGTCCTTTTCAAATGATTTCTGAGGTTTTATGGATCTGGAATATAATGAATGGTAGGCCTCACAAGTAATGTTATTTTGAAAACGAACAGACAAAGATTTATTTTACGGATGAAAAATGCAGAAATAATAGATAAAATAATTCCACCACTCACATTCAAGGCTTATGATGCCCGTGAGAGTGTGATGCTAGTTTCTAATTTCAGTGTTGTAAGGAGGATTCTAATCCTTTTCCTTAACAAGAGAGATTTCCCCAGTTGGTCTGTAGTGTTATCTGACACCATCTATCTAAGACATACTTAGGAACCATTAACTCTAATCAAATATAATTCCATAGGTCTTGAAGACAATAGAAAACATGAAACTGTTTATGACAAAAAAAGAATAATGTCACAATTGAAAGCTGACCTAAATCACAAATATTCTAAAAGCTTTCTTAAAGACAACAAGAGTAAATGCCACACTCAAATAATCGTTCTTCAATAAGCCTATGTTGTGTAATAAAGGACAAAAGAAAAACTTAACGAACAAATGAATTTCACATTGCTACTTCTATATCAACTCCAGTAATACAAATTTCTCATCATTTATTTAAAGCCATGAGATACCTAAAACTGAAATACACATTAGTGAAATATGACAAATCTCAGAGCGAAGATATGACAATGTTGTGACTGAAATTCACAGTAAGAAAATCTTTTTTTAATCCTTCACAGAGATCAACACTAAATGTCAAGAAGATCACAATTTGAATCACACTTTTTGTAAACTTATGAAGTAGCAGGTAACAGAGCTTTTTCAGTATGGCTATCACCACAAAAGGATGACTTTATGCAATCCAATATAACGATTATTTACTGACACCTACTAATGAAAACACTGGGTAAGTGTGACTTGCATAATGCTGAAATTACAGGAAGAAAGCGAATAACATTTGAAACAGCTTACCTAGATAAGTCTGGACAATCCTCTGAGTGCCTGATACATTTTTTCTGCATCTCTGTAGCGAGGCATGAAAATTGATGCCCTTTGAAGTTAGAGGTTTGATAGGCACGCCATGAAGAATCACAGGAGAAATTTGGTTTCACTCCAATAACAGGCCCACAGCCAAATTTCCGAACGCAAACATTATGGAATGAGGAAGATAGCCCATAGTTTTGTAACAATTTAGACGAGTGTTTGACATCTGTTGCTATCGAACCAACAACCAACTTGTTTGATGCAATGGCCATTGGAGATGCGATTCACATGCCTCCTTGAAGACCTGAAACAAATAGGAATTAAAAATCATCCAGATGCCCATTCAGACTCAAAGGTGCCTGACGGAATAAGATCCGTATTGAGAATAAAATTTCTTAAATGGTCACTTGATCTTTATTCTATATTTGCACGATTCCTCAATTTAACTTTCAAGCACCAGTTTAAAAAATCCATAAATACCAGATGACAAAAATGTTTTTATGTACCAGTTTTAAGAAAGTGGGTTCATTGGTCAACTCCATAACAACCTTTTATGGTCAAATAAGAAAACACCAAACAAAACCAATTTTAAGCCTTCATTTTTTTTTCACAATGCAATCACTTCGTGCTTATTACAACAAACAACAGAAAGAGGAATAAAAGCTACAACTTGATGACAAACTGGGCAACAATATATTGATAGGCGAGCCTATTCAATGAAGTTCTCATCTCTGTGCAGTAATATTCAATCCATCTATTAACCAGCTGGCAATAAAAGCTCGACAAGATCAGGGATATATATGTACGTGTTCAAACCTTGAACATGAATAAAAGTGTCGATGATAAAGAAAGTATACCCAACGCAAAGGAAATTGTACATTTTTTTTCAATTGCAAGCTCTCTTCAAATCAAGGCGGCCAAAAGACAGACACCTTCATTTTCCTTTTTAATTAAGTTTGCAATAATAACAAGCTTAAATAAATGGGGCTAGATTGAATCCTCAATTCGTAGCATTCTTTATGAGGCTAGATTGAGTCTTCAATTATTAGTTACAATTCTAAATGCAGGTATTCTTTGTGAGGCTAGATTAAATAATAAATATCATAGATCAATCCCTTGAGCTTACAAATAAAAATAAAAAATGTATTAAGAGGTAAATATAATCTGATGATGTACGCTACTTAAAACTTAAGAGCGCCCATTTCAGCAAGTGGTCATAAAAAAAAATTGCATATTTTCACTCATTTAAATAAATGCTCTTCAAAGTAACTTAAATGCCTAGTCTAATTTCACTATGTTGCATCCAAATTTATATACTAAGCATAGACTCGCTAATCCGGATCCCAGAGATAATTGTACGCCAATATTGATAAAAAAAATTGCGGTAAAGATAGAAAAACATTGTAAACCATTTCGTCACTATTTACGTAGAATAAAACTCGTTATATGAAGTGAACACGAAGTCCTACGATGTCTCGGAAAGTTTTGCTACAGTTGGTTCTCTGAAATGACTTCAGTGAATGAGAAATTGCCGTTACGACGCATACGAACTGGATGTCACCACGAGGACAGCGGCAGCCCGACGCACAATGAACTATCACTCTTCCACTCAGTAGATTTGAATCCAGACGCAATGTCAGTTCAAGAATACATGAGACGACGATGAATCATAAACTATCCATCATCAGGCAGGCAGATTCAGAATTAACAGCAGGATTGATAAATAGCGCATCGACAAACCATCGAGCGTCCCATTTCAGAAAGCATTCCCAAAGAGAGGTCAAATTGATCCTAGTCCATGAACAACAAACCTAATTCCTAGAATCGACCAGGAAACCACACAACAAATGGGAAACGAGGCGCAAGTGAGAGATTGCATACGTAAAATGGAACCCCCGCCGGTAATCGTCTAAGGACGCGAAGCCCTCTCCCAAAGCGGCAGCCTATCCGAAGGGAAGAAGCTACAGCGTGACGGGGGAGCAACGGATCACCCGAAAGCAAGCGTGCGTGACGGGGGAAGAGAGCGGCAAGGAAGCGGGCAAATAGAGAAAATGCGCCGGGAACGGGCGAGGCGAGCTGTCGATTCAGAGAGAAGCTACAACATCCACAAGCTGACGAGTGGCCCCCATTTGCGCCAAGCCCACGGACACAGAAGAAGGAGATAATTGGTTGCCGGAAGCGGGACCCACCCGGGAGCCTCAACTCTCGACCCACTGCTTTCGCTCAACATGTGGACCAGATCGTATTCTGCAGCCTCGGTTGTCGGATCATATCGACGTGCCCTCCCTCCTGTCATGTTCAGTGATCCTGGAGTCTGCGTTCATCTTACAGCTCAGCTCCGTGATTTCTATATATCTTATCATGAATTTAATTATTTATATGACAACCAGTTCAAGGGTTGACGATCCGGTCCAACCTGATCCCCCAAAATTCAACCAAGTCTAGCACTCATCATCCGACGGTCATCGTCTTCCTCTGCTTTGATCCTTCATACCCGTCTACAGAGTCAATGCTCCTACAGTGAGAGGCGATAATACTTCCTTCTTTACGTCATCTCAGGATAGTTAGTCGTCAGGGATCTTCCTGGGCTTCTTGTAGCGTTGGCTGTTGACTTCTCGGCTGTTTCCCGCGGCCTCTCCACCTTCGAGGAAAGCTCCCTTTCTGCTACCCGCTCGATAAAGAAACGTTGCGGCCTGGATTTGGATTTGGTGAGGATTTAGGGCATGCCATCGCCGAGACCTGCCGTGTGGGAAACAACGCAATCGAAACCCCCCCCCTCAGCCGTGATCTCCCCCCGCCGAGTCAATAATGGTGAGACAACTTGGATTAGAGAGCTCCTGAACTCCAAGCCACATCCCCAGTGAGTAGAGTATTACGCCGAGGGAAAGGGACGGAGAGCGGGGTCGTATGGCTACCACCAGCATTCCTGCGACGAATTCTTCCCCGGGATCCACCCCCACCGCCGCCGTCGGCGTGGCAGAAATCACGGCGACCGGCGTCCCGGCGATGACGCAAGGCCATGTGCATGTGTCCCCTGCGTTCCAGCACCCGTTCGTGACGCCTTCCCCCTTCTACAATAATTCCATCCCCTCGACGGGATGGAGTTCGAAGCCGGTGTTCCTCCGCCACGCAAACCTCATCCTGCGGTGCCTCGGCTTCGTCTTCTCCTTCGCCGCCATCCTCGCCGTCATCGCCCCCAAAGATGACTCCAGTAGACCCAAATTTACGAAAACCCCGGAATTCAGGTGAGGACATTGGTATTATTTTCATCCCTGTGTATGCGATTACTAGTTATTATTTAATCCTGATTTCTCCAGCGTATTTGGATTTTCAGGTAGGAATTTTCAGCTGGCATTTTGTTTCGTTCATCCCAATCAAATTCACCTGATGAAAACTCAATACCCAAGAGCAATATTATCATAATATTAGCATGATTATGAGTTCCAAACTTTAATATTATCAGATTCTACAATCATAGTAATTCAGTCCTGGCTAACTTGAAATCTGGTTCTCTCATCTTATTATTTTTTTTTATCAATTTTATTTGTTTCAAGCTAATAAAATTAAAGTCCTCCACTTACATATGAATAGATTATTTCTCCCCACTTCAAGATTAACCTGATGTAGATATCCATTTCATGCTCAGGTACTGGCTAAGTGTAAATTCTATATCTTCACTTTATTCAGCGATACAATTGTTCAAATGTATCTGGGACATATCCTTCAAGAGCACTTTTATCTCAGATGTGGCGTATGATTACATCACTTTCAGCCTTGATCAGGTATAATCATGCTATTATACTGTTCTTAATCTGACTGAAACCCATAAACACACGTCTGCGTGTGTGTGTGTGTGTGTGTGTGTGTGTGTGTCTTTTGAAAGCTAATCTAGGAAATCTTTTTTGTGTTACAGATGGTGACTTACCTTCTATTATCCTCAACATCAGTTTCTATACTCGCCACAGTGGAGAAAATCGACTCAGGGAACTATAGGAATACTGTTGCTTTGGCCATATGTATGTCATTCATCGCCTTCGCTGTGACCACCATCTGTTCTCTGATGTCTGGTTACAAGCTATGTAAGAGAATAAGTTGGTGACCTCTCATTTGTATCATTAGTCCTGTGTGAATCGTTTCTGAAATGAGAAAGGTGGCTCATCTGTACATGACTGATGCGCAGGCCACTAACCATTTGCTCCTCTTGTCTCTGCGGTAACTGGAACGGGGATAATGAATGCATACTCGCATGGATGCCCGTAGGACAGATCCGCCAAAAGCAAGCTAAAGCTACCCTAGACAATGTGCTTCGCCCTCGCCGCGAACAGCGTGTGCGTTCACATTTAGAGGGCATAGCTCGATTCGTCCTCAGTGATCGTCTGCGGAAGACTCCTTCGCAAGCGCTGAGGCTGTGGCGGGCGGAGGACGCCGAAGACGCCGCGAATCTCGTCCTCCGCTACTGCGGATCGTCCCCTGGCTTGGTTCTCGCTGCTGACGGTGGTCAAGGTGTCGAGGGTTCAGAAGGAGCGGAGGAAGAAGAGCGCGGGCAAGGGGTGGTGCGGGAGCCGGCATCGCCGGTCAGCTTTATGCACTGCACGTTATGAGCCCCTGCTTGGTGCCGAGCATGTCGGCCGGGGGGTACGCGTGCAGCTCCCGAACGTGACATGGTGGAATTTCGGCTAGTAAATGAAAAGTGGTGCCTTATGAGATGCGAAAGGCTTGGTGATTATGTTCTGAGGGTTTGATGGAATTTTTATGATTATGTTCATCTCTAGTAGTAAGTACCCTAATCTTATTTTCTAATTACACCCTTTATTCTATAAAGAATCGGAAGATCGCGCTTAAAATGTTTCTGATGATTGTCTTAGATGGGCATCTCCACTGTTGAAGTGATACATCTCTATTGCATGAGGAATGTTGAACACAAATTTCATGTCTACTTCTTTCGATGTGTGTGATGCACTATGTATATTAGGAACTTTATTTTTTCAGGTAATTGGCTTATTAGTGTATTCAGCCAGCCCTTTTGGATCCATCAAATTGATATCTTCCAGAATTATTATGTTACGGCCAAAATTGTTGGGCCCATTACTAGGCCCACTACCTTGTTAAATTGATGCAAGGAATATCGTATATTGTGGTCTGATAGGATTTGTCAAAATGGGATGCAGGAAGTTATTGAGGTGGTTGAAGAATGCAGTCACCAAGAACACTACCTATTTTCTGATTCTTAGTTCCTAATTGGCTAGACTAATTCTTTTCTATTTTCAATGTCATAATGCTCCCCCATTTTGCTATAAATGTTGAAAAATATGACCATATGGTCAGGATGTAATTTATTGTCCTTCTAGTGCACCTTATATATATATATATATGGTTGCAGCTCCCACATACTTAATTATACTGTGCAAGATTCCATTAGACTTTCAGCTAAACTTTTTTCTACATCGCGAAAGAGGAAAGACTGTTGGGGATAATTTTCCTTATCAAGAAGTGTGTAGATGTTTCCATCAAATTGTTTGGTATGATGAATCATAGATATAGGTGGACTGGCTTACATGATGAAGCTAAAGTATTTTCTAATATAATTAATACTAAATTAGTTTTTATTCATATCTTTCAAAAGCATAGGGCCTACAACATTTCAAAACATTGTAGGATTGAATTTGAGCGTGATATGATTTTTGGCTTTTCTTGATCTTACTCATCTTGGTAGCCCATCCTTTAAGCTTCTAGATAACTTGGCCCACTTGCGTTAGGTCACTTGGGTCAAAGATAATTTGCCCTTTTCTTTTTTACAAGAGATGCAGTACATCACTTTAGGATTTCAAACTTTATCGAAAATTCACTGAACCTCATTTTCGACAAGCATGATGTAAAACAGCATCAATAGAAGCCCAAAATTGATGGTATTAACATTCTGGAAATGTGAAAAGTAGAGTGGATATGAAAGAGGCCCAAAACTAGCTTAGGCTTGCATAGAGTACAAAAATATTATGTTTTGAACTAGTCTTAATTTTTCGTAACTTTTTTCAAAGGTGTTTTGATATTTTTTGTAAATAATTTTATTTTTAGGAGTGTCCCAATAGAATTTTGGCATATTTAAAGATTACCCATTGTAACCTCCTACTATGAGTATGTATAATTTTTTCATTAACATTTTCTCTCTCTATGCTTGTGGATTGAAACATCCCCTTGTGGATTCAAGGAAATATTTGATCCTTGTTGATTCAAAGATTAAGAAATTATGATTTCTAAAGACAAAAGTTTCAAAGTTTCTAAAATTAGACTCTATCAACTCTTTGAATATCTAAAGACAAAAGTTTCCAAGTTCTATGATTTAGAACATGATTTTAGCTAGTAAAACATGTAAAAATAATTTTTATTCAAAACAATTTTTATCATATTTTTAATCTTCATCTTCTAATCAACTTATTAGATTTCTAAAAGAGGAAAGATGATGATCCATCATAATCATTTCATTTAATAATAATTTTTTTGTGTAAAGTATTTTTTTATGAGCATTCTTAATGTATGAATGATGTTTTAATGTAGTAAGAGAAGTGATAGAATCTATTTAATGTACCATTCATCTCTTCAAACTTCTGATCAAGATATTTATGAAAACTGATAAGCCATGTCCCATAATCATCAACCTCATTAATCTGCACATCTTTTTCTCATGACATTTTTTTTGAGATGAATCTAGAACTAGAAGTCTTGCTCTTACACAACTGAAGTTGCAAAAATGGCAGGTTTGAACCTATCACAAGATAAAAAGCTAAAGCTTAAGAGCCTGAAAACTATGTCTTGGTCCACAAGACTTAGAATCTTTAATCACTAAATTTACAAGAACCGATTGTATGTGATTCTTGAATGTACAAAAATCTGTATTTAGTCTGTTGAATCCACAAGAGAAAAAAAATCAAGTCCACAATTAAAGAGACACTCAAATAGATAAAATCTTTACTATTCAAGATGTAAAAGTGATGCATGTCAACAACTCAAAAGATGATGTTCTCATATGTACTTAAATGCACCTCAAAGGATATCTAGTCATCTTGACATGCACTTTTTACATACCTATCCATAGCACTAAAATGATGCAGTGTGAAAATCGATCGGATTTTTCTGGTTTGATTTTTTTTTCTTGAAAATGAAATCGAAAACTGGTTCTTCTCTTCTTCATGCTATGACTTTAAAGGAAAAGGATGGAAAGTAAGGCATCCCGGGTAAAATATCCTTTTGACAGTAAGGGAGACTAATTGGCTTCCGTTGTCATCCGGGGGTCATCTCCGTCGTCTCATGGGGCGGGGAAATGCGAGCAGATCTGCCATCCTCCCTTCCGCTGCCTCGTCTTCCCGCGCCTGAAAAAAACAACTGTGACACCCCTCGCGTTGGCCACCCCCCGACAGCGACCGTCAGGGATGAGCGGCGGAATCCCTGACTGAGACAATGAGCATTAAGGGAATGGCAGTTGAGGCGCCACGGTCTGTGAGGTGGGGATACTTTCGAATAATCACGGGCACCATTCTCGGAGGCGTTCTGGGCTTCTATGTTATGCACAGAGTCGAGACGGCGTACAAGGCAAGGGGAGGGTGTTTTCTTTCTTAATTTTTTCACTATTCCTCATGTTTTTGTCATTTAGGATTCTCTGCATATACGCCTCGACGTGGTCGTGTTTCTCTGATTTCCTTTTTGGATTCCATGATCCTTGCTGTTACAGGAGAAGATGAAAGAGAGACTGGCCATATACGAGAAGGAGATGTTGTTGAAAAAGCAGAGGGAGGATGGCAACAAGCAGGAGTCGTAACAGGCGCTTTAGCTCTCGCCACCCTCCTACTCAACTCAAAGAACTCTCTCTCCTCCCTCCAAACTCCCGCTACAAATAAAAAAATAACAAAAAAGGGACGCAAACAAGACAATAAAGTACTTTGAAGTTATCTCCCTTTTGCTTTCTTTTTTTGTTTTTTGTTTCTGGTAGGCTTTAGTTGTGGGTGGTGAAGGATGTTGCTACGATTTCAAGACCCTGTGAAGCTCAAACAAGTAAGGTGAGGTGCTATCCAGATTCAATCCATTGGCGTCATCTTCAGTTTGGATTACAAATACGTACAGTTCATCTCTTTTGAACATGTTTTCCCCCCGCTTTGTATACTCTCCAGGTATATGGTAACAATGGATGCCAAATTCAGATACCTCGTAGATTTAGTTTACTCTGAGGAATAAATGAATTTACTTCTACTCTGATGATCATTCTCCGAAATTCTTGTTGGATGGGCATAGATGCTTTTTGGCCTTCAATTGATTATTTTATTTTAATGATTCTCTTTTAAAGTTTTATTATCACGTTTTTCTTGAAAGTTGGTTGTATTCTGTGTTGTCCTTTTATTAGCCATGAGCTTGAAGCTCTCTGCTTTAATCCTCAGTTGTTTCCACTCAGTGCTTTCAAACGTGGAGGGCCAAAATAGTGCTGAATGTTGAACATTTATTTACCATCTCCTAGCCCAGCGAATAAACCATATCGACCAACCAGCATGAATCATGTTGTTGTTGACTCTGTCATTACTTGGTTGGTTGAATATTTCTCCTCTATTTATTATTTTTGAGAGCATATTTCGCCACAGTTCATTTTTCTTCTTTCTATTATCTTTTAATATTATAGGACTTGGATACTTGATATTCGTTCCCTTGGACAACTTCATGTGGTACACAGCATAGTTGGCATGTGGAAATTTTTCCAAGAGGGAAGTGTGACACACCACATGACATAAAGATCACAGAGTTGCAACCCTTGTTGGTATTAAAGGGGAAGAAGGACCCAATGTTTGATCTTATATGTCCCAACTATTTATCTTATCCCTATGACAGAAATTGTGGCCTTCTTTTTTTAGTGTGTATCTTTACTTTAAGTTCTCTTTCTGTTGTATATTCTCAGGATTATTTCCCCATGGTTTTAGAAAAGGAGCTGTAAGAATAATGTGTCGCCCAATTTGATTGTGATAAAATTCTTTAGAGCTCAATATGTACCATGATACGTCTTGAGATTTAAGCAAGGTAATAAAGGTTTTCCTAGTGACAAATAGGGAAAAATGAAGGTAATATGATGAGTACTTTAAAACCAAAGATAGAGGGTAATATATGTAGAAAATAACCTGTTATGAATTTAAAAATATGAACCAGAATAGAAGGATGGACCTTTGTGAATAATAGAAAATAATAAATGGAAGAGTCAACTCTTATATTGAGCTGTACAAGAAACATCAAGATGTGTAGACAATGGTTAGCCTAAAGTGCACTCATCTGGAAAAAAGAGAGGCTTTTTCACAAGATTTTACCCGCGTGAAAACACAATTCTTTTCAAAATAGAAGAAAGTATGAGGTGGACCTTTGCCAAAAATAACATCTTTACCCTAGAGTCGACTCTTAGTCCCTTGTGTATAGGAGGGTTGATGTAATGTGCCATAAGTTAGATATGTCAAACCTATACTTTTGTAGTTTACCCTTGTTTTGCATTGGCTATTTTGTCTAAAGTGAAGTTACCTTGAAAGTTACAAGTTTAGTTGTTTTCTAATTGTTGAAGGAGTAATCCTTTTCAACAGCCTGTAAAAGATCTCTACTTACACAAATATTGAGAAAGCAAGGGAGATCCTTAGGTTTAATCTGATCAATATTGTTATCCCAAGAAACATAAGTCTAGGTGAGAGCTCTGATACTGTCGCACACCTTCTTTTGTAAAAAATAGTAGCAATCTTATATTTCATTTATCAGTATTTCTCCAAATTTTTCATTAAGTAAGGTTTGAGACAGGTTTGATAGATATTAAGAGAAAGCCAAATTGGTTGTACAATATTTGGTTGGTATCTTTGGGGGTTTAGTCTGACACAGCAGAAAATGACAAGATGACGATTTGATAGATTTGGAGTTGCGGAGAGGCTAGATTTGAGCCCTGAATCTTCAAAATACAAGTCTGGAGGTGCAGAAGAACGAAAGTAGAATTTTGAATCCATAAGCCATGATTTTCTTCAATCATCGCTTTGATACCACTTGACACATCCTGAGTTATGTAGGGTTAAAATCTTGTTCTTGAATTCAAAGAAACGAGATTTCGTTGAAGATTTCTCGTCTTGAATTGACAGAATGAAGAAACTTCGACCCTTGAAACCAAAAGGGTTTGATCTTGAGTACACAAGATCAAATAGGTTCCTCTAAATCCACAAAAGAGGTGCCATAATCCACCGGTAGAGTAAAAGAATCTTAGAAAAGGGAAAAATTTCGTAGAATTGATTGCATGTCTCTAGGACTACAAGAGGGCCTTTAAATAGGCCGAAATCTTTTATAATGTCCCTATAAATGGGGCGTTCTATTAGAACATTCCTAAGAAAAATGGATGTTCTTTCAGAACGCTCTTAAAGAAAAGGGGGTTAGAACATTCCTAAGGAAAAGGGGTTCTGTTATTGGGCCATTCAAACAAATCTAAATCTTATCTTCTAGAAAGTAGGTAACGAAAATAAAAAGTAGGAAAACTACATAAGGACGTGTTTTATTGTGGGCCAACTCATGCCATCAGTCCAGTATTCTGGCTTTCTGGGCTTCTAGTCCACCTGAATTGGGCCGTAGATCGGCTTATAGTCTCTAGGTAAGTAAATTTCTGGCACATTTGGGACGTCTAAATATGGACCGAAAGTGATTTGGGCTTTTTGAGGGCTTCCGATCATTCTAATTCATCTTTGGATCACCCTGGATGCCTGGTCTGCTAGTTTTTTGCCACCTGAATCAAAATCTTTTCGTTTCGATTTTGATAGAACTGGACTGCCTACATCATAATCCAGATCCAAGTTTGTCACTGTTAGCTTCCCAGATCTACTTGCAGGTGTGTTTACCAAGTCTCTAAATGGTCATAGGGTACAATTTCTATGTAACCAGCTAGGTGCATATATCATATACGCTCCAGCTAAGTTTGTTGAATATTGTTGGCCCATCCAGGGAATGACCAGATCAGCCCATATGAGTATGGAACCTATCGGCCCATATAGGTCCCTTGAGACTCTGGTATAAATACCAGAGTCTCTCAATTAGGGTTTGGTCGAGTCCTCTCTCTCTCTCTCTCTCCCTCTCTCTCCGGGTACTCTCTGTTTCTATCAGTCACCAAGGCAAAAGTTCACACAGAAATTCTCGACTGTGATTTCTTATCGCAAATCCAGTCAGAGATCAGTTTTAGGGTTCTTTGTCATCATATGCTGGCAATAAACACCAGGTCCTTTTATTAAACGAGAGGGTGCTAAATGGTCTTAGATTACTCGTAATTGATGGTTTCATACTAATGCTAGTCAGGTAGGATAATATTTCAAAATTTTCATGGTTACAGCTCAGATTTGGATTCTCTATTGATAATAAAACTTTGCTTATCTCTCATTTGTTGCCTCACAGAAATAATCGTATCTAAGAATTCGATGCACAGAGCTGTTATAAAACAAAACAGCCGCATGCCATTCCTTGGTCAGCAGAATAGAATCTAGCTAGAGTGTATGGTGATTAATCATAGAGCTGCCTAATAACTCTGGCTTTATTACTTACTGAGCATTTTGTCCTCGTCAGGAATAACGATTTCATTTAACAAATGCAGTAGCTATTTACTGTATGATAGAATATTATAGATTCTGTACCTAGATGTACACAGTCAAGTCTGTGGCATTGGCACTGATGTGTTACAGATTTCTATTATACTGGAGTCAAGTCCTAACATACTGGAGTCATGCAAGGAACTCTGTGAATATCTCTTGCACTTGTCTTTTCTCAATCCCCTAGTTGATTGAGGAAGGATGAGTCAGTATCAATTCTTTTAGCATCAACTAATAAAACCATTTAGGCTATGCCATCCTTGTTCAAAGCTTCATCCATAAGGAGATATAGTCTGTAGGCTTTGCACTCAGGGATGCATCTTACATTGCTCTGCGAAGGACTCGTGCTCAGGAACTGCATGTTAAACTGTTACTTCTTATTGAATGTTGCAGAACACTTATTCAACCGATTTTGCTGAGGGCTGTACGGAAGCTGTGCTTGCTTTCCCTGTGAATGCCTGATGCATCAGATAATATTTTACTTTTGATGAAACCTTTGATGCAAAAGAAAAATCTGCTTTGAGAAATGTAAATTTTAATGTAAAAAATAATTTTCTGCTTCAACGTGCTTGAACTAATCTCTCTTCTACTTTTTTTAGAAGGTGGTGAAAAAGCACCCAGTTTAACTAACGAAATTATTTGAACCCAAAGTAGGAGAGAAATTCCATCTCTAAGCTCCAAATGAAAATCGAAATCAACCCCCACTTATATGCATAAGGTGCCAAAAGTAAATATGCTGTCCCTATTAACAGCTTCTACCTAGATGGTAGAAAGTCGTCATGTGATCATCTTCTTCACAAAGCTACCCTTTAAGTAGCTTTTGGTGGAAAGTCTAGGAGTGAAATGAATTCGGAATTTCTTGATCTTATTTCTCTTCCTCAAAATATTCTCAAGTTGGTTGGGAAGATTGCCCTTAGTACTCTTGTTTGGCATGGAGACGACAAGTTAACTTCTCACCATTTTAAGTAGTCGAGTAATATGGTTGCCATCGATGTTTAGAATTCTGGCGAGTGCTCTCTTGGCATAATCAGTAATCCTGCACCTTGCTTGTAAGTTATTGATTGTTACCTTGAATGACCATGAAAGACAGCTTGCTTCAATTTATATAACTTACAGTTGTTAACGTTGACACTATTACCTAGTTGCTTCATCAGAACCCTGCCACATGATGTTCATAATCTTGGTTAGGAGACCAGTTATATAGAAGACGTCCAATGACTATTTTTTTTCATGAGATGCTGCTGGAAGAATACATGCTTGGTGCCACTTTCACACCTGTCCTCACTGTACATTGTCAAGTATTTCACTTAACTTTTCTTGGGGTCCATATCTTGCTGCTCTCTCTACTTAATCTAAGAGATAGTTACATAGCTAGATCTGAGATATTGTTCCAAATTCCCAGTGGGTGGGATACTAGATGCCATGAAACAACACATCCCCCAGATCTCATTCATTTTTGCAATTGGCTGTCGTCTTAGGTAGGGGAATACGCAAGAGGAGCTCAATGGTGGGAGGCTTCTGATGGCCCCCTGGTGGGCATAACATACTCCAGAAGGAGTAAAGATAGAGTGACCACCCATAGGCCCAAGGAAGAAAGGGCTGTTAAGTAAATTCCATGGGAAAGCGAGGGGGGGTGACGCAGTGAAAATTGAGGAGGAAATGGCTTGAACGAGTTGTGATCAACTCTAATGTTGTGGGTGTCAAAGACACATCTTGAATCCTTGAAAAATGTGTTCTAGTGGTTGTCCCTTCGCTTTGAATCCACAAGTTGAAGAAGACAGGTCCCTTGAGTCCACAAGGGAGTGATTTTGAATCCACAAAATCAAGAATGGGGCTCCTTGAGTCCACAAGGGGTGCTGGAGTCCACCAGCAAAAGAAGAGAACTTCAAGAGAAGAAACTCACGAAATTGTATTGAAAAAAAGTAATATGCCTCTGGGGCTATATTGCCTTTAAGTAGGCTAAAGAGTCTTGATTTGGGTGCCAAGATTTGAATTTCAAGTGAAATCTGAATTTGGAAGCAAATTCGACTTGAAATTTGAATTTTAGATGAAATTTGAATTTCGAATGAAATTTGAATTTTAGATAAAATTCAAAAAATAATAAAAATAGATACATGGGCCTAATTTCGTAATTAGGCCAGTCAAGTAAAGTGGGCTTCAAATTTCAATAGTAATGAGCTTCAAGGTGCATCAAGTAAAGTGGGCTTCAAGCTATAATAGTAATGGGCTTCAAGGTGCATCAATACTAGGCTTCAGACTTCTTCAGTAGTGGGCTTTAGGGTTTGGGTTACATCAATCTCCCCTTCTTGAAAAGGACTCATCTCGAAGTCTCTAACTTGCTCAGGATAATACTCATAGATGTCCATAACATTGAATGTAGATGATATTCCCATTGTCTCTAATAAGTCAATGACATATGCATTGTCATTAATCTTTTGAAGGACTTTAAATGGACCATACTTCTATGGGTTGACTTTGTGATAATTTCTTATCGGCAATCTTTTTTTCTCAAGTATATCATAACCAAATCACCAACTTCAAAGATCTTCTTTCTTCTTTTTTTGTCTACCTTTTCCTTGTATTTTGCATAATTGGTTGTAAGATGTTTCTTCACATTCTCATGTATTGTTTGGATGTATTCTACCATCTTATTTGCTGCTACACTAGTACTAGGTTTTCTTGGTACTTTAGTTAAGTCAAGAGAAACTTTTGGTGGAAAACAGTAGACAATAGAAAATGGAGAGTAATTTGTAAACTGATTTATCATAGAATTGTATGTGAATTCTGGTTGAGCTAAGGCAAGATCCGTTGTCTTAGTTTGTCTCATGAAATATAACGGATTAAATTACCAAGTGTCTTGTTAACCACTTCTGTTTGACCATTAGTTTGTGGATGACTTGTAGTACTGAATTTTAGGCATGAGTCAAATTTATTCCAAAGAGTGCACCAGAAATGAGAAAACAATTGAGTCTCTATTAGATGTAATAGTCTTAGGCACTCCATACAAGTGAACTATTTTCTTCAAACATAAATTTGCTACTTGAATGGCATCATTAATCTTTTTACATGAAATAAAATGTGCCATCTTCAAGAATCTATCCACAACTACAAAAACAGAATCTACTCCTCTTTGGGTATGTGGTAATCCCCCTGAAACTTCTATGTTTTATCTGGAATGGATAGTGGGGTGTACAAACCTGTCTTCTTTGCACAAAACATTCAACTTCTTTTTTAAGTTGTGGCCAATAATATCGTTCCTCCATCATTTTCAAAGTCTTGTCACGACCTAAGTGCCCCCCAAGTCCCCCTACATGTAATGCTCAAATTAACTTTTCATGCAAAGAAGTTTCAGGGATACATAATTGATTTTCTTGAAATAAGTAATCTTCAAAATGTGAAATCCTTTAGATGGTTTGTCTTGTTTACACATACTCCATACTTCAGCAAAATCTTCATCTCCTATATAGAGTTCAGATATTTAAAACCACTAACTTCTCATCTCATTGTAATCAGAAATGTTGATTTTTGGCTTAATGCATCAGCCATTTTATTTGATTTTCCTGATTTGTACTTTATCACAGAAGAAAACTTTTGAATAAATGAAATCCATCTAGCACGCATTCTATTGATAGTGGTCTGATTGTTAACTGATTTCAAAGTTTAATGGTTAGTAAATAAAATAAATTTTCGTTGAATCAAGTAGTGTTCCCAAGTATGTAATGATCTAACCACATCATAAAATTCTAATTCATATGTAGTCCACTTTCTTTTGGTTTCTATTAATTTCTCACTATAAAAAAGCTATTGAACGACCTTCTTGAGATAATATAGCTCCAATTCCAGTAATTGAGGCATAACATTCTACTTCAAATAATTTATCAAAATTTGACAATACTAGTATAGGGACAGAACTTAACTTTTCTTTAATTAGAATAAAACTTCTATCTACTGTATTTGTCTACTAAAAGTTTCATTTTTTCATGCACTTAGTGATGGGAGTCATAATTGAATTGAAATTTTGAAAAAATCTTCTATAAAAGGATGCTAAGTCATGAAAACTACGAACATCATGTATATTCTTTGGAATTGGCCAGTCTTTAATAGCTTCAACCTTTTCTTCATCCACTTTGATGCCATTTGCACTTACAATATATCCTAGAAAAACTAAACTTAAAATAAGAAATTTACATTTTTTTAAGTTGGTAAATACTCATTTTGTTGTAAAACAGTCAATACAGATCTCAAATGATGATGATGTTCTTCCTCTGTGGTACTATATATCAACATATCGTCGAAATAGACCAACAAATTTTCAATGAAAGGCTTTAGTACTTGATTCATCATTTGCATAAAGGTACTCAGAGCATTAGATAAGCCAAATGGCATAACCAACCATTCATATAATCCTGCTTTCATCTTGAAACCGGTCTTCCATTCATCACCTAGACAAATTTGAATTTGAGGATACTCACTTTTAAGATCAATTTTAGAAAAGATTCTAGAACCACACAGCATGTCATGATTATTATCAAGTCTTGGAATTGAAAATCTATATTTCACTGTGATTTTATTAATTACTTGACTATCTACACATATTTGCAAAGTTTCATCTTTTTTTGAAACCAATAATGTAGGTACTGAGCATGGGGTCATACTTTCATGAATTAATCCTTTCTCTAATAGCTCTTCAACTTGTTCTGGCAAAATCTTATTCTCCTCAGAGCTCATTCTGTAATGAGGTAAATTTGACAAACTTACTCCAGGAATTAAGTCTATATGATGTTATATGTCCCTGAGGAGAGGAAGATTTATAGGAGAATCTTGTGTGATAGGAAACTCATTTAACATATTCTGTGCTGCCTCAAGTATAACACTAGAATCATGCAAAGAAACATTCTCTTTTTTAATCAGCATAAATACTCTATAATTTTCTTTCAAAGTATTAAAAAGTTCTTTTTTGTCAATCATCATAACTTGCTTCTTCTTTTCTTTAACTGTGTTGAAAACTCGTTTTCTTTTATTAGGTGTAAAACAAACTTCTCACCATTTAAAAAAAAAAAATATAATGATTATCTCTGCCTAGGTGAGTTGCATCTAAATCATATTGCCATGGTCTACCCAGAATTAGATGACAAGCATCCATCTCAACAACATCACAGTAAATTTCATCAAAATAAACTTTTTCCATTGAGAATTTAACTGAACAAGTCTCTGTAACTTTGGTTTCATAATCTTTCTTTATCCACCCAATTCTATATGGATGTGGATGTTTTTCAATTTTTAGCCCCAATTTCTATACCATCAAAGAAGAAACAATATTTTCACTATTGTCAAAATCAATAATCACATCGCATACCTTCCCATCAACAATGCACTTTGTTCTGAAAACATTATGATGTTGGGGAGGTTCTTCCTTCTTTGGTGCATACATCAACTTTCGAATGACTGGAGAGTGACCAAAGTTTTCTTCTTCTTTGCCTTCAATAACATTCTCTTAAATTTCTTCTTGATCTTCTGCACCTTCAATTTCATCTTCATCTATGGCCTCTGTGAAATTCACAGCACCACGTTTTGGACAAGCATTTGTTTTGTAATCTTCTTCATTACATCTATAACATTTTAGAACAGAGTTAGGTGCATATGGATTTCTTTGAGAAGAATTTCACTCACTAGGAATAAATCTACTAGGTCTTGGTGTAGCTGAGGTTGCTGGTCTTCCATTACTGGTAGTAGATGAAATATGTGCTGATCTTGATCTGTCTAGCTGAAATGTTGACACATTAGTAGAATTCGAGTTCTAAATTTTCCTTTCTCCAATAAAGCTTCATCACGTTCTGATGTCATAACAACATCATTTAACTTGAAGAATGATTGTAAAGTAACTTTTTCTTCAATATCCCATCAAAGTTCACTTTTAAATCTAAAGATCATATAAGATTCAGATTCAGTCAAATTGACTCTTGAAGAAAGTCTGTAAAATTCCTCAGCATATTCAGTGACATATCTACTTCTCTATTTACAACTTTGATATTTGGTGATATAAAATCTGTTCATAATCAAGAAGAAGAAATCTAGATTTTAATAATTTCTTCATCTTATCCCAACTTCGAACTTGATCTTTTCCTGATCTTGTACGGGTGGATTGTAGTTGATCTACCAGGCAGATGCTCCACCCTTGAGCTTATAGGCAACTAATTTCACTTGTTTCTCATAAAAAATCTTCATATATTCAAAAAATGTCTCAACTTCAGAAATCCATTCAAGAAATTCTTCTATTTTCAAATGTCTATTAAAACTAGGCAAATCAATTTTCATTCGAAAATCTCTGCAATCATCATAATTAGATTTACCTTTTGAGCTTCTTGTATCATTTGATAAGTTTTTCTGTGAGAGATTACAGAAATCATTTTATTTTTGACTAGTTTGATCACGAGATTGACATTCTATTACAAACATTCGTGCTAAGATTTGCTTCAAAGTGTCATTCAAATCTTCAATTTTTTGTTCCATATGAATCTTGAAATCAGCAAATTTTGATTTCGAAATAAGGCATACCTTAGAATTGTCATTGTCATTGATGTGAATCCCTTTACCTTGTGACATCTTGTAAATCTAAATTTAGAACACTAACCTTGCTCTGATGCCACTTAACGTAGCGAAAATTGAGGAGGGAATGGCTTGAACGAGTTGTGATCAACTCTAATGTTGTGGGTGTTGAAGACATATCTTGAATCTTCAAAAAACATGCTCTAGTGGTTGTCCCTTCGCTTTGAATCCACAGGTTGAAGAAGATAGGTCCCTTGCATCCACAAGGGGGTGATTCTGAATCCAGAGAATCAATAACAGGGCTCCCTGAGTCCATAGGGGGTGCTAGAGTCCACTAGCAGAAGAAGAGAACTTCAAGAGAAGAAACTCACGAAATCGTATTGAAAAATTGGTAATATGCCTCTGGGGCTATAGGGGGTGCCTTTAAGTAGGCTAAAGAGTTTTGATTTGGGTGCCAAGATTTGAATTTCAAATGAAATCTAAATTTGAAAGAAAATTTCGACTTGAAATTTGAATTTCGGATGAAATTTGAATTTCAAATTCAGATGAAATTCAAAAAATAATAAAAATAGATATATGGGCTTGATTTCGTAATTGGGCGAATTAAGTAAAGTGGGTTTCAAGTTGCAATAGTAATGGGCTTCAAGGTGCATCAATACTGGGCTTCAGGCTTCTTCAATAGTGGGCTTCAGGGTTTGGGCTGCATCAGGGGGGGGGGGAGAGTATTAGAGTATCGTGAATGTGAAAGAAGGGGGGATTTTGGTGGTTTTGCATCAGGGAGAGAGATAATCCTCTTAAAAGACTATCATTTTGCTTGTAGGTTCCTGTTCTAGGGTTATTTCTGGAGCCTAATCTTTACATTCTTCTAGTTTCTGTTATTTGTGCTGTTTGCCTTGCTGTTTCGGTTCAGGTTCTCATCAGCTTCTTTAGAATAATTTGCTTGGGGGTGGATGATGTCTCTTTCATTTTTGATGCACAAAAGAGCATGTTCAATAGTGAGACTGAAAATTCGATAAAGAGGTATTTTAGTCCATTGTTAGTCTGTGTGGAATGCATACCTTTCTGTTGTAAGCGTGTTGGTTTTATGACTTGTGACATGCACAAGTCATAGCACAAGTAAAAGTAAATGCATAGCACAACTATTGTCGCTTTTTAGCTTATAAGTAATTTTATCTAAAAATATTCTGCAATAAAAGTTCTTTGCTTTGCATGGTTTCTGCAAAAGATTACTTTATCAGTTATTCATTATGCAGTGTTGTCTAATTTGGCCGTAACAATAAAAAAAGCTGAAGAAAGAAAAGGAAGCCCAAATCTTTTGGTGAAACTGCGTTTTGGAATAACGCGGATGTGTTTTGGTGGAAGAGTAGAACGAATTCTCTTCTAGGCTTATGGTATTTTGCTTCCGTTTTTTCATTTGCTGTGTGGAATTCCATGCGTGTTCTATCTGCTGGGGTTCTCTTAGTCGAATTTCATTCTATGAAGTTTCCATTTTTTTTTTTTAAAGTTGGCAAGATCCTTTATACTATAATGTTTGTGTGGACATATAAAACGCATTTTTTTATTGAGGAAATTTATTGTAATAAGTGCTCTTCTGTGGCCTCAAACGTTTTGTGCTATTTCAGAATCACAATTCCTTTTTACCATCAACCAGAATAAACCTCATGCTCAGTTAATAAGTCTCTCCTCGCCTATAGATTTCATTTCCTCTTTTGTAAGGGAGTGCATGGCTCTTCAGAGACATTGCTGTTATCCTTCCATTAAGTTAGTGATGGTTTGGACTGTGTTCTCCTCCTTGCAGTGTAAAGATCCTTACAAGTTTCCTGTTTCCTTTGCCACCCAGGGGGTTCATCTTTTATTGTAGCAGCCTCCATCAACCCAGAAGTCGGAGATATCTTGCCGAGGGGCTAGGTACTGGTGGTGATTGACACTGTGGGTCACCAAACAGGAGTAGCCATCGGAGTTCTCCACTATGCTGCCATGTCCAAAGTGAGTGTGAAAGCTCCTAGGGATGAATCTTGGTAATCAGTATGCAACAAGGAGATAACCCAAGTTCCCCGTTTCTCAGGAAACTAGAGTATGAGAATGAGCTCATGTGCGGTGATAAGATCCCTGGTTTTGAATGAGTGCTGATGCTTCAAGGATTGAAAAATTGGATGCTGCACTTGTTTTCAGGATCTGAGGATACATATCGAAGTACAAGTAGCAGACGTGCAATAGAATAAGAAGACTTTGAGATGGAAGTGAAACCAATAAACTGTGTGAATGATAGGAGATACGGTCATGGGACTTTGAATTGATGGGGGGAAATTGAGGCAATCTTCTTTCCATGCGTCCATGTTAATTGAAACATTTCTCGTGGTTAATAATTTTGACATTATTTGATATCATATGATGCATTTGCCAAAGCTTTCCTTTGGATACTTGTAACTTATTGAATATTATTGTGTGTCCATTTTCAAGAGACAGGGAACATGTTGTGTTATGTACTAAGTTTGGATGAATGTGAATGCTCTAAAAATGCTATGTTTTGTAGGAGTCCATGAAAGTTTCTTCACAACTGATTTGCTTCCTGTATTCCGATTTATCTATGATTCCGCTAATTCAGTTTACATGTTTAAAAGATCATAAATCTTTTCCACTAAAGTCGCGTATCATTTTAGTTTGGAATCTCGGACTCCAGCACATATTACGATGTTTCTACAGCCTTGACAATTTCATTCTCTAATGGTGATAATTCAAGAAACGATCTTCAACAAATAAAAATCGATTGTTGGCTTCCTTTCTTTAACTTGTTATTCCACTCATGACCGAATTGAGACTGAGTGCATCGGATTTCCTCCAAAACAACAAGCTATTCTACAGTGAAGTAGGAATTAAATACCTCTCGAAAGGAATGCTATGAGCATGTATGGCGCCATTTATGTAAGCTTAGATAAAGCAGCGATCTTCAAATGAGGATTGAGGCCTAGATCTCTCACAAGAGTGGTTCTGATGTCTATATAGTTCGTGTATCATGCACATCTTTCTATATAGGAACCGGTTGAACTCTTGTAGGGTTTACTCAGTTTCTTTGCCAGCCTTCCAAAGTTTGAGTTTAATTTGCATAATCCTTGTCAGCCAACATTAATTCACGACCTCAATTTCTGAAGGCTGAATTCTGTACCCACCAGCCAAATAGCATAGAAAAAGATTGAGCCTTGGCATATTGAGCCTAGCTAAATATCTCGACCCTAGCATGGTTTGTTCTAATTAATTCTTCGAAGCTATGTAATATACTGATTTCATTGTACTTGTCAATAGACTTTATTTCGTATATGGTTTGAAAGAATTGAAAATATGATGAGAAGAAGATTTTTTTAACCTTGTATAGCATCTTAACCCTTCACAAAGAGCTAGTATCCTTGACATAATTAAAAGACTCGCTCTCTAGTAGGCTCTCATGTCTAGAGATTCACTAGAGCAATATTTATGGTTCTTTGTGAAGTGATTTATTTAAGGTTTTCTCATTGCTAATGAAGCAATTGGGCAACATTATCCACTCTAGTCAAGAACTTGGGTTTCCTCTGGGCAAGTCTGAAATCAGTGCTCTTCTCAAAGATTGGTTGTACCAGCTCGTTACCAGTCGAATTGAGTGGCGACTGTCCCACTTTCTATGGATAGTATGGGGCCGATATTACGGACACTACCTCACTGGCGAAAATAATATCCTTCTAAATGATAAATGATATCTAATTAAAAGCGTCTATATATATTTAACTAAAATAATATATCTCAGACGGATTTGGGGCAGACAAAAGAGGACAGTTTTTGGTCTGCACTCCACATTAATTCTCCCTCACACAAGAATTACCGTATCTTTTATCCTTAAGCCCTTTGGTTGTTAATGCAATCTAACTTTATTTCAAATTGGGTATTAGCTATCCAATACACTAGTCTACTCCCACACACCCAGTGCATCAGCACACGACATCTAAGGCTCAGTTTCGTTGGCCCTGTCTACGTGTGAACGAAGAAGAGAGTGAGCACGAAAAGGAGTCAGCACAGGTGATTCGACATTACAAGGAAATGGCTTTTATACTTTGCTGTGATTTCCTTGACAACAACAGAAATGATGTACACCAAAAAATGAACTCAGCTCGACTTATTCTATAGATGAATCATTTACTCGTAAATCACCAATTCTCACCTGCATGCTTTTAATTTCTTCAAGTAACTCAAGGGATTAGTCTGTAACTACACTAAAAAAATAGCACGCTTGTTTCTCGCTGGATGTAATCCTGAGAAGATCACCATATTTTTGAGCTGGAACTGCAAACATGACCGAGGAACTAAAAGAAGTGCTGATCAGAGAGCTTTTTATGGCGTTCTTCCACACCGCCAGGAAGCTGGTTTCTCACAGTGAGAACGGCTGGGATCTCTCCTCTTTCTTTGCCCGTGGCCCCAGAACCTGGCATGCTGACTGATGTTACTAGAGGACGTCTTTGCCTGTTCCTCTGGTGTAGGAGAAAATTTATGGACTTCGCCGCTGGAAAGGCCGTGATGATTTACAGAGGATAAATTTCTTTTGTGAGATGTGACTGGCTGTGCACCCAGATGATATCTGATCTACGCAGCCCAACTTGTCACAGACAGACAACGGTAGCCATTGCACATGTTGGTGTAGATCTTCCTCAACATTCAGACAGAGAAAGGCTGTAGTTCTGGGCCACACAGGGGCAAGCAGAATTGATACCATTTACCAAAGCGCTCTCAGCGTTCACGTAGAACTCTACTATTTTCTGATCCAATTCGTAGTAGTAAGGCATCTTTCTAAAATGCTTCATATCAAGGTCGATAAAATATGCCTAAAAAGGTAAAAGAAGAAAAATACAAGTCACTGAAAAAAATCCAACAGTATGAAATAAATTAGCATAAATTTACCATGAAAAGAGGAATGCCCAAAAGTAATACGACCATGGGAACTAAAAATTAGATAAATAACAAATACAATGGACGTTCAAATAAGATGCAGCATAAAAAGGCTTAGATGTTCAATCATCACTATAAAACCAATCCGCCTTAAAATTCTGGTCGAAACTTCGCAGATACAAATACGAAATAAGGGAGACATTCAGCCCATATGATTTTGTTGCCACCCTTGCTGGGCCATTAAGGCAGAAGCAGCAGGAACAATATGATACTTTGGTAAAAACTCCGTTTTTACACAAGTCAGTGAAGTTATGAACTGAGAACTGATGGAAATTTGGTAGTTGGAAGCTGGACATAAATTGGCCCTACACTGGAGGTCTAAATAAACTGTTGTAAGGTCTGCACAAGCCTGAGAAGGTGATGGCAAATACGCTGCTGAGAGAACTTTTGAGACAAACTTTCAGGCAATCCCACAAAATAAGCTCAATTCCTAGACTCCTGATACTAGGGCATGTTTAATGGCAGACAGTGTGATCTTCTCAAGTAAGATATACACACACACACACACACATTGTGTGTGTGTGAACAGGAAGATAGTGTTACAGCCCCGACGGTTCCAATGGGCCTGGTTTACACCGGAAGACGAAGAGGACGATGTTAGGCCCATAAGGGGCCAAACGGGCCTAACTTAAGGCCTAGAAGGAGAACCTAACCTAAGGTCTCCTACGTAAGAGATAGAAAGACCATCTTGAAAGTTCTCCACATTCCGGTGAGAGGGTTACCACTGAAGCCTGATCCACCCATTTTCTGGTACTTCTATTTCCCTCTTTTATCTCTCTCGTCATCCGAATCTAAGGTTTCTATCAACTGGTTCCAGAGCCAGTTTGATGGCGCCCAAAATCAACCACGGCAGACTGGAAACCCTGGAGAAAGAAAATAAAGAAATTCGTGAGGAGTTGCGGCAGCTACCAGAAATAGAGAGCCGTCTACAGGAGGTGAGTGGAGCAGAGAAGAGCCTGGAAGCCCTGGCGCAAAGAATGGTACAAACGATGCAGGCCATGGAGGAGATGCAACACCCGAGTCAACAAACAGATAGATCTGAAACAAGAGGGAAGAAACCCGTGGAGGACGGTAAAGCGAACACAGGGATGCACAGGAAGACTCTGGGTGAAGAAGACCAGTTACAGAAGTCGGAGAAAGCAGAAAATATGCACAGTTGGGGAAGTTAGTGCTACAATGTTCCAAACCGAGTGGGAGAGACCTGCTGGTTTGAAACAATCTTCAATTAAGAAGGCACTGTCTACTCTCCAAGAGGAAGAAATTGAGGAAAGAAACACCATGAAGCGATGCAACCCAAGTGTTGGAGTTGATATTTCCAGTTGTTTTTTTCTGGAGAGACACTGGCAAGACCATCAACATATATCTCCAGGTTGTGTCCAGAGAGCTAATGCATTGTTGGGTTTGGATGAAAATCATGTCTCTCTCACTGAAAGTGAGAAAGATCAGACCAATCTTGACACCAATGATGAAAGAAAAAAGTCATTTCAAGTGTTGAAAAACAACGGAACTTCTGAGATGTGTTTTTAAAATCCTTTAGGTGAGGAACCGGTTGGAAGACAATCATTTATCTATCATTGTAGTGAAAATATTTCCCTGATGGATACCAGTTAATCCCTTCACTGTGAAAATATTGATTGCGGGAAAGTATTCGAATATTTTCGAGAAAATGAAAAGTAAATGTCTGAAGAAGGCAAATTCTGAGAAAAAGTGCCGAAGCCAAACAATATATTTACAAAGTTTTCTTTCGCATGATTTGTGGTGACTTTCCAGAGAGGCAGAGAATAAGAAATCCTTCAAGACAGAAGGCAGGAAAGGTATACCTTGTAGTCAAACGTTTGACCAGTTGACTTGAGAAATACAGAACCAAAATCAGATGTAACATTCCTTTGTCTTGGTCGAAAGCTGACCATAATACTACAATCCTTGGCAGTAGTAGCTATAAGATAGCCCCTCACAATTTTCAAGCTCTCCTCCAGTGATAAAGAATGAATCGAAGAGCATCTATTTAGAAGGTCGGCATCATTCAAGTTCTGGCAAATCAAGCACGGTTGTGAAATAATATTGTAGTAAGCATGGATTGCTCCCTCTATGTCAAAAATATCAAGTTTCTGAACTTCCAGAAGGCGATCTATAATCCCTGAGTTGAAGATGGCATCTCCAACAAGTTCAAGGAAGCTCTGGACATGTTGGGTGTGCTCCTCCTGGATTACTGTTTTGAGCATATTTTCAAATGCCTCATTCTTTTCATGAGAAATATCATTCACAACATCTTTGTCCATACCGCCTCCCAAAGCCCCAAAAACAAGGGAGCCATTAAAAAAAACACGGAAATTGTTCTGAGGACAATGAAACAGTGCCCTGATAGCTTGATTCATTCTATCTCTGGATCCAGAGAAAAGATCAAGAGGGTCATATTCGCTTAACCACGATATCTGAGTATTGCATTGAAAAAAAAAAATCAATAAAAATTATGGTAATCATATTTCACAAAAAACACATTTGTCAAATTCGGTGGAAGGCATTGCCAACAGAGTATTATATCACAGTTCAATTCAAAAGAATGTAATGCGAAGAGATAAATTAATTGCAGAGATAATCAGGGACCAACAGATAGCCAGAAGCAAAGATACCTGTCCTTCATGAAGTTTCAAGACCTGATGCATTTTGAAACGCGTTACACGGGTCTTTACAATTGTTTCCCGCTTAATGAATTTTGAGAACGGGAGAAATCCACATTTCGGCTGATTCCTTAAACAAATTAGGCCAAATACATATTAGGCCAAATACATATTAGGCCAAATAATAACAGAGAGATTTTCAGTTGGTATGAAAGGGTCACCTTTATCTCAATAGCAACACAGAGATCCTCATTCAGAGTACCTAAAACAAGGAAGAAAAGGACTAGGACTGAATTGTTAGAAATTCTACATCAGCCTGAATCCACAAGAGTAGAAGGGATGATAAAGAGCTTTTTCGATCGCATAATACTGAAATAAGCTCGATTTGCAATTATCACATACAAAAGAATATTTGTACTTTGGTCAAAACACTAACTGACTGAGACTACTCTGACGTGTAATATTAAGATCATCCCAATTAATTTACGACTTAAAGATTGAGAATCATAGACCTTAATTAGTATCTGACTATCATGGCAGGATCTCAGCACAAATGGAATCAATCTCAATGGTAAAAAACGTGTGAAAAAATATACATCCGTGAGAGCAAGTTTCTCTAGGTTCAAGTGCTAAGCAGAGGACAAATATGAGATGGGTATCAAATAGAGATGATAGCAGGTTCTTCACGTTTTTCCAGCCTTTTTTATTTTTGAGGAAAGAAAATCAAATGGTGAAAAGGATGAAGTCATTAAGCGAAAAAAAGATATAAATAACAGAAAATCTGCCACATGGCTCTGGGTTAGCCCGAACAGCACAAGCAAAGTAAAACAATACTGGACAATTTATAAAGCTGGAATTCTTTCGTCTCAAACCATCGTTTTGGTCATGGAATCTGCATATGTCAATCCCTTCATGTAGTGATGATAGTTATCATTTCTCAGATGAAAACAATTTTACTCTTTTTGGAACTCATCTTTTTTGTGGCATGATGAAAACGCCTATCATTTTAGCTATCTAGATCCCCCGCTGAAAAGTAACCATCATATAAGGAAATTCGTGGACATAACATTTACTAACCAATGACGGTCGTGGACCCCACTATTCCTTCCAATTGCCTAATTGAAGTGAGTGACAATTTCCCTTCAATGATTCCCCTCATGTAAGAACAACCTAAAACCTCAGATTAATAACATATGGAGAGGGGTAGGTATAGGCTGAGGTATGAAGCAGCGAATGGTTGCTCATTGACATTTCGAAGGATGTTGGCAGCGACAGGGCATTTGTAACATGAGCGACAATGTGTGGTAGTCGGTGACATGTGAAAACAAGTAAATGACGGTGACTGTTATGTCGTCCACATCCTATTGGTGGGCAATATCAAAGAAAGTAGTGGTGACTGGCAATGATGGCAGTAGTAGCAGATGGGTGGTGGACTTGTGATAGCTGGTAATGGACTCTAGGAATGGTACCAGGTGTTGGGTAATGAAGGCCAACAGTGATAGTCGTAAAAAGCATCGGTGAGTGCTGGCAAGGAGAAAAGAGAATAATGATCAGAAAAGAGATTCAAATTCAAACAAGCAAACAGATTCCAGACAGAATGAATTAATTTGGGGACAAACACAATGTAGAAAGCCTACCACAATACAGATATCCTTATCAGTCAGTTCAGTCATACACTGAAACCATTTTCAGACGACTTAGTTAAACACCAATGCACTATATTTGCCCACTTGATGTATAAAAAATAACTAAATATTATTTCGACAGATTCTTAAGAAGTCAATGGAGAGTCTCTCAGTGCCCTAAAATAATTAAATCGCTAATATTGCCATCACTGCTTTTTTTTTATGAAAATAAATATAACGTGTATAATTCTTAAATAATACTTAGTATATGAGGATGAAATGATTAATTTATGACCCCAGGCTATCTTTTATGATGTCAAAATTTAAGGGAGAACGATTTCCATTAGCATGGAGTGAAGTAACAAGGGAATCATATACGATACATGAAACAATTTACATTGCTACAGTACTGTTTTAATGAAATATGTTGTGCATGCCACCCTTACCTTAAACTGAATTAACATATGAGCACACACCATCATGGACATTTTTAGAATTGAGAATAATCATTGAAGGAAAGAAAATCTCCCTGTCTAAACATCCGCCCATTTAAGAAAAGACTTTTGAATCAAAATACGACTGTAGAAGATAGTCAATCAATAGTCACATAATATGAAGATGAGTTTAGCATGCACATTAAAGATGGAAGCTTACCTCGTGGGAAGAATGAATGATCAGACATAAGAAGAGCAGAATCACATAATGTGTTGACCCTGGCAGCATCCACACGCCAACTAGGACGGTTGTCAAGAATATTCTTTTCAACAGATCGTAGGAACTCCTCAGAAACAGCAACATGCATCTGGAGGTTAACATAAAAAAAAAACACGGTGAAAGATTTTAAATGATATTATTAAGAAAAATAACTTCTGTAAATGTTTCCTCTAAAAACCTTGCACGTATATGATAACAAAACACTATAATATACCGATTGGTATCAACGTTCAACATGCTGAAATAGGTCTAAAAGGATTCTTTTGGAGAAAACAATTCTGACCAGCTCAGTATTAGACAACAGGATACATAATAGGCGACAATCACCAAAGTAGGAGATAACTTATAAGGTAATTTTTCACTTCTGACGCTTTCAAACGAAGAATTAGTTGATCTTCCTATGAAACAAAGTCAAATAAGGCACACTTTTGTGGAACTATTGATCATGAATCTGTGAGGATCACTCAAACCAGAAAGCAGAATCAAAAAATTGTGGAGAAAAAATATTAAACACAGAAATATGGACCACAAACAAAATTTTATAGAACCTGTATGAGAAACCCCAGAAGACAAAGAAACACCAGCAAAGTCGAGAACCAAAACTAGGATAAGTAAACAGGTAATGATGACATGCTCAACAAGAAACTAATAAGCACATTGACCATAAAAAAATGTCCCCATGTTATAGAGGAGGAATCTAACATAATTATCCTAAGTCAAAGTTCTCCACTATCAGTTTTCAGAACCCCATAATACCTGATGACTACCCTAGAAACTATAAACACCTAAAAAAAGAATGAAAATGATGAGAACTCTGATCCCTGGCTGCATATTTTTATGAAAAATGACCATTTAGAGGCCTCAATAATCAAGATGTTGAGTGCATACTTTTGAGCTCTAGGAAATACAGAAACCTCATCATTTTTTGCATGGATTTTCGACATTCTAAAGAAAATATCCTCTCCATGGATCCCTCAGACTGGAATGAAATGCATACTACTGTACCCGAAACCTTAGAAATATATGACATTCAGTGAGAACATATTGATGGATTCATTTCACCACAACTCTTTCATTTTTTCCTGCATGACCATTAGATCAGGTGATTGTCAATTCGGTTAAATCTTGGAAAATTGCACAGGAAGCAAACAGAGGCAAAATAACTTCATACAAAGCAATTCAGCTTGTAATGCTTATTTTCTTCCTAGTCATCTATCCTTGTTGTGCTAATTAAACTTCTAAGGAATTCTGATTACGTGGACTTCAGTTTTATGTGCACAGAGTATAAATCCAACTTTTCACGTGTTGCAAACTATCGAGGAACATACAATACTCAGATCATTGATTAAAAGAACATGACACAGGGGTTACAAAACAGCTGACTCTTGAAAAACATAACAAAAGAACACAATGATGACAGTTGAAATGCCCACGAACTGGTCAATAAAATATAACTATAACACCCATCGCTGTGAGGTCCTCTAGAATATGAAAAGATAAAAGCCACAGGAATAATGCTGGAAGATATCAATTTGATGGATTCAAAAGGGCTGACTGGATACACCAATTAGCCAGTTGAAAAAATAAAGTTCCTAAATATACATCGTGTGTCAAACACATTAAAAGAACTCTACATGAAGTTCATTCTTATTTGAGCTGATAATCTGCTCCAGATACTCTACAAGCGAAACCGTTCGGCATTCTTTATTCCATAGAGATGTAGCATTTCATAGAAACAACAGTGGAGATGCCCAATTAAGACAATAATTAGAAGCTTTTTAAGTGTTGTCTTCCGATTCTTTATTGAAGTAAAGGGCGTACATACTGAATAAGATTAGGGTAATTACTACCAGAGATGTGCAGAATCATAAAAATCCCATCAATCCTTCAAAACTTACAAAAAGTGGTCCCATCAGCAGCCCAGTATTTGGCGTCAGATGTCTTCAGCCTAGGAATGGATATCTGGTATCCATTCTTTGGTAAATAGTCAGCCCCCTAATGTTCTGGCCTGAATTCTAATCGTATTACCAAGCCTTTCGTATCGTATCTCGTAGGCTACCACTTTTCTCATTTACTAACCGAAATTCCACCATGGCGCACTAGCCAAAATTCGACAAGAAAACCTTTCAACCGCTGAGAGGAAACCATCAGTTAAAGAAGACACGCATTCAAAGCCAGAAGGAACAGGAAAAAAAATAGGGACACAGCAGAAGAACCAGCGACACATTCAGGAGCTGCATGCATACCCCCGGGTCGACATGCTCGGCGCCAAGTAGGGGGCTCATAACGTGGAGTGCATAAAGCTGACCGGCGATATCCTTCGATGTGCACTCCCCAATCTTGTCCACATCTTTCCAGAGAATCCGTTCATGCGAGGTCAGCACAGGGGACCCCGGCTCCCGCACCACCCCCTTGGCCGCGCTCTTCTTCCTCCGCACCTTCTGCACCCTCAGCACCTTGCCCACCTTCAGCAGCGGCAAGAGTAGCTCCATCACACCCAGACGAAAATGTCCCAAAATAGACGGAAGAAAATTGGAGGGGGAGAAAAAGCCGGAGAAGAGAACCAAGCCAGGGGACGATCCGCAGTAGCCGAGGACGAGATTCGCGGCGCCTTCACCTCTGTACGCCCACTCTTCGGCGTCCTCCGCCCGCCACAGCCTTAGGGCCATCTCCCCCGCCCCCCTCTTCACCCGACCTCACCTTTCTCCTTCTCCTTCCGCCTTTGTTTCTCCCCTCTTCTCCCTTCCCGCACTTGCATTGCCTCCACGTCCTCCCTCCCTCTTCTCCACCTGTTGTCCACCTTCTGTATCCGACCCACGCGTGGGGATGCGCCCAGCGCCACCGCCGCGAACTATAACTTCTGCAGGTTAACTACTCCCCAAACCGCACACGTAACACAAAGCACTCTCTCAAGAAAAATCTAACAAATATCAAAACGACAACGGAATCGTCTTTACGTCTCCCCGCCACTAAAATACGCTCGAGATCAAAATGAGCATGGCGCAGTCCAGTGGGCGGCGTATATTAATGACAGCCCCCTATTAATGGTCTTATCAGAAGAAGACGTTAAAGGCCGCCGCGCCAGAGGAGATCCCCGAGCCATCCATCGATCGCTGTCGGATTTCAATGCGGGAGACGGAGACGAGCCGGGAAGGGACGGGGGAGGCAGATTCTTTGCGATCCTCTGTGGGCCAGCCGATTGGATACCAACGGTCAGAAAGTGGGCGCCCTTTCTTGCTCAAGCGCGAACGCCGTTCTATGCCCCATATAAATAATACGTGGAGTAGCCTTTGTGCCTGCCGCGAGCCGCCGTGACGCAAGCAATCATTATATTTTCTTCTGGCGAGAGATAATCGAGAAAGTTTAAAAAAACGTGGCGTTCGTTCTGCGCCGTCCTGCGTGCGCGCCGTGCCGCCGTGCGCGGATTGCTTTGGCCGGTGTCTGTCCCTGCAAGATGACCCGAGCCCATAGCTATGCGGCTGCGAGGTGGCCTTTTTCGTCTTCTTTTTCTCGTTTTCCCACATTTCGTTTGGAAGCACGTGCGTAGAGATATATAAGTATGGAATTAATCCCATTTCGTCAGGCAATTACTCCAAACCTTATGAGAGGGAAATCATCTAAAGCAAAGTCCGAAGCTAATAATACAAGGATGAAACTAATACAGACACCATCAGTACATGAAGAAACCTTGAATAAGAAAGACATGCCAAGATCTTCTAGCTAGCACCTAATCCTAATTCTGGATAACGCTGTGCAATTACTGGGCTCATCCCAGTTGTTTTCTTTGGTCGTACTTCACAGCAGAGGATCGTCCAGCTCCAATAGATCAAGATTGGGCTGAAAGAGAAAAGCCAAAGAGAGAAGGAAGAGGATGAAGAGGGAGAAGATCACAGCCGACTTGAAAGGATCAGCTTGGTGCTTAAAGAGGGAGATATCTTCATCCAGGGTGCTTTCAGCGGAGACATCGTTTAGCCGGGCAGCTGGGAACACCAGAAATCCGTAAACAACACCAGAAAGTGCTGCTCCCAAGTGTGACCTGTAAAATGAATGAGAAAATTCCTCAGTTTTCTGAAATTTGCATTGTGAAGTAACAAATCACGTGAATATTACGATGGCAGAAATAGAACTAACCATTGATCAATTTGCTCAAAATTGCTGATGACGAAGCTAAGGGAAGTAGCGAGAATAGCATTGAAGAACATTCTCTCCGAGAACTCTTTTGACATGGCCTTTTTGTTCTGAACCTGATAGACGAGCCAGGCTCCAATTATGGCGAACACGGGACCCTGAGTGTACAGAAATAATCAAGGAGATATATTGGTAATAACAAAAAAGTGCATTATTAAAATTTAATTTAAACCAAATCCGGTAATGATAGTGCGATGTCGAAAAAGCTGCATAGAATTTACCACATTCATTTAAAAGACAAAAATTTCATAGAATTTGGTTTTTGTGGTATTTTATCAGCATCAGTAACGTTATCACCCTTATCTTTCCATTAAATCACTGTTATTCTATTTCTCCTGTCTGACGCTGCTATATAAAAGTATCAAGTGTTTAATTCAACCACATTCCACAAATTAGGACGAATGCTCCTTGCTTTTCGCAGATCTAACCTCTTAATGCCAATTTCCAAGTCAAATCAATACTATTCTTCAGGGCAAGCAGCCTCACTCCTTAAGACATCAAGAAGCTCCACCAACTCCGGTACCTTGTTCACACACATCGCGTCAGACTTTTGAGAGAACTAGCCATTTATCGTCCAGCACAATCAATCATGCCATGAAGCCCTGATAAAATGCAAGAAGCTGTATACCTAGATACGTTGTTTCTTATAAAGAACAGAAAATACCTCGAAGTGTCCATGGCAAATCTGCAGAAGGGCAAAACAATATAACAGAGTCATAGAGGGTAGAAGGAAAATGGGAGACAGAGAAATGTTCACTAGTTGTATTCCAATAAATGACTGCTTAGTTCTTTCTCCTCCAAACAAGCACTATGTCAGATACAATGGTCATTAGCTACTCCTTGAAAAGCCCAACGCCTTCAATTTCCTACTTCAGGCCTTACGTGCTGCATTATTCCTTGCCAGGACTTGTTCTTTCATATGTCCATGAGATTTTGTACTAATGAATGCATACTAGGTCCCGTGTAAAGTTACTATATATGCCACATGTGACCATGACTATAATTCATTCAATTCCTTTTTTTCATAAGAGCAGGATCATAAGATGACAGGCCTTGACTTCAATAGCTCTCCTGGACACACATGATGGAGACAAATAAACGTGACCATTTCATTGTAGTTACAATGTAGATAAAAGTGATAGAAGGTCAAATTATGCACATTTTCGGACATAAACGACAAAATTATTTCAGAGGGAACCTCTGCAATGTCAATGAGAAAGTTACTACTAGGAGGCTTCTCTGTATTTATATAAACAGTATGAAAGTGGGTTGGATGTTAATAGCACAAAGTATATATCAGTGGCTTTTATGTAACAGAGTCTAGCCCATAAATAGTAACTAATTTCCCAGAACCGAAAAGTAACTTTGGAAGCCAATCTCCATGGCCTTGCTTTGTAGAGCACAAAAAGGCGACTATTGGAACCATAGGGACAAAGAAAAAAAGGGGGGCCATCTTAGTGCCAATGGTGGATGGCACATGAGTCAAACGGTGGGATAATACAAGGTCCAACAACCGGTATTGTTCAGAGAATACTCAATTCATGACAACTGGTCAAGAGAACCAGTGCGTGTCTTTCTCAGTGTAGGACGGAGTTAGAGATGATGACAATAACCACACGTCTGTTCTCAGGACAAAAGAGGTGATGGAAATGAAAACTTCCAGGAAGATTCCAAAGGCCGAGGATACAACCAAAAAGAGAAGTCAAAGTGCTAGCATGCTCTAGGATTTACTTCAATATTTTCAGAGCTGAATAACAACAGAACTGAAAGACAGCAGACTAACGCTGGAAGTGGGCCTGATATTATCCCTTTAATTAAGCTCATTGATGGAAGATCTCTGAGTTATCACACACCAAGGATCAAGAGTCATTTTTAACTTCCATTATGGTCAGCTCCAAGGTGAAAGAACGGTCCCTTCCTCTATCTCTAGCCAGTAGAAAAGTATGGAATTCTGTAGCCAGTTTGAAACTATTTCGTTGTAATGCTAGCAAAAGCATTGTGGTGAGGCTTAGACTGGGAAAAATGTAGCATAAGAGCACAGCCATGAAGCTGTGATCATTGCAAAAACCCTTGGTATGTTCCTTTATTCCTGTAGAAAGAGACCACGATTTCCAACTATTTAAGAGATAAGTCGTGGCATTCAACCGTAACAATTGATGTTCGCCGACTCATGATTACGAATGAGTAAGACAGCAGGGGTGGCAAAACTGAAAAATTAAAAGCACTGTTTACACATCACAGATAATAATTTCCAGGAAAGAAATAGTTGCAGTGAAATAAAGAGAATAGTAATAGTCACAAATATAATGCAAATAAATACCAGAGGAAAGCACTGACGAACCTCAGTCTAGAATCTATAATAAACCCTTTGCAGTAAATAAAATGATGCCACAAGTAATTTTCAGACGGCCAGGGAATTTAAAATGACAAACAAAAACTAACATAACCAAAGATTTACGCATTCTTTATCAACAGTGTAGCAAACCATTATAATACTAATGAGAAAAAAAGGGTTTTATTGACATACGGTTCCACACACGGTTATTGCGGGAGTGTGCATAAAGCTTGTCAGGTTTGCGCATATTCCTCCAAGTAGATATATAAAGAAAAATGTTAAGGGACCATATCCTCTGCAAACTTGAGGGCCAAATGTTATAAGCAGCCAACAACCAAGAACAACATGCAGAAATCCAGAATGCTGCATAAAACATAAATCTTTAGAATTATAGCAAAATTTTGATGGTACAAGAACAAGATGAATGAAAAACAAATGATATCTAAAAATTTAACAGAAATTTGAACATACAAGCCTCACTAATAACAGACGAGTAACAATCTTCACAAAGAACATAAAGAAAAAAAAAATCTAGAAAGACAACAACATTGCTTCGTATCGGTCCTTGAAGATAATGGTTTTTTATTGCAAAGGGAACTTTGATAACAAAAGGAAACCTACGAAAGATGAAAGCTACAGTGGTTTGAACGGATTCTACATGGCAAGATATCTTGGAGAAACTAAAGTTGATGGATGTCTTTGAAAAGCAACGACATTGGCATGCAGTTTGTGTTAACTCGTGTAGAAAATGGTAAAAATACCAAGACAAACCAACTTTCAATATTTTACCAGAAACATTGGTGTAACAAGCCTCCACCATTCTCCATCAAGTATTAACTTGTTAATCTTCCCTCCATACATTAAAGGGAGAGACAATTGCTCAAAATCAGAGTTCCTGACAGGGCTTGCGATCTCGAACAGAAAAACAGCAATATTGATCGATGCCAACAGATTTCTGCATTAAATCAGAAAAAGTTAGGCAAAAATATACAGTAAACTAGAAAGGAACATACGTCTAAGCTGTGCCAAAAATTAATACAAAATTACTGACAAAAGTAAAATATAATATAAGTACAATAGTAGAAACATGTCCTTTTTCTTCCAGAGTTCAAAAATATTGTTAGGATTACAATTACCACATCAAGTTTCTCCAGGTTCGTTCAGGTATCAAATTTCTCATAGATTCATTATCAATGACTATCATTTCTTCTGCATCTTCCTATTAGAAGAACAGGTACCAAAACAATGCGAGGAATACAAAGAAAAGCATACGAAAAATAAATATGAAATTAGAGCTTACATCAAATAAAAGTCAGAAGCCTCGTCATATGGCTCAGGATTTTCAATATTCTTTTCTGCAAGCGTTAGTGGGACAGCCTCATCATCAATACTTTCTAATGACATACGACTCTTCGATCCATTCATTGAACTAGCGGTTTGCTCACAATATTCTCCATTGGAGACATTAAATCTTCCTTTTTGATTTCTTTCGGAGCCATCTTTGATCGAAAGCAGGAACTTAGCGTCTCTTGTTTGTAATCCTGTCATGAGAAGCAAAAAAAGATAATGTCCTGAAATAGCTGTGGAATTACAAGTAAGAAAACAAGAGCAATCAGATGTAGATGAGTTTAAAACTGCAGCTGTGCTAGACGATTTTTCAAACTGTTTCAAAAACATTTGACACTATTGTCTGCGTGATGTGGGCTAATTTCGTTATTCATATCACCAGGCAGCTAAGCTCATCCACAATGAAAGTCGAAGCACCATAGTGCACCAAGTCATTTATTTCTTAATTTGAAGTAAGTTGGGTGGACGTTTCACACACTAAATTTGGCTGAATCAAACTACTGTGCCGAATTAATCTGAAGTAGCCCATTCCTCTTGTTTTTCCCTTGATTTCGGTGCACAGAAGGATTACAAAAGGCAAGGAAATAATTCAATAAGACAATGACCTTGTTGAAAGCATCAACCATAAAATGCAAAATATTGATTCTTGCTCAACAAATTATGTGATAATGAAATGATAATAAATTGTAAGTATTTCGCGCGAAAATGAATACTTGATATGGCACTGACTCTTGCAAAAACGCATGCTTACTCAGATAAAAAAATTATGCTTGACTTACCATCATTAAGCTTGTCAAAATAAGTTTCAAGAGAAACCAATCCTGTCTTTGCAGTGACCTGACTGCCTTCAACAGCAGCCTTACTAGAGGAATGTTTTTGATCCTCATCATCATCAACCTTGCTAAAATAAGAATCCAATGCTTTCAGCTGTCCCTCACGGCATCTTCTTGCTGTCATGTACGACCATAAAATAGATCTGTCTATCCAAGAAATGCAGTTTGAAGCTCTTACATAGTTATTCCCTTTAGATTTTTTCCACAGGGTCAATCCTGCAATGTTTTGAAATGGTATAGGCCTTCTGCTGCGAAACATATGAATAGCAACTCGTTTACTGATACTTCTGTTGGAAAATACATCAGCATAGTCATGTAAGGCAGTCCACGTCTGTCTATGATTCATCATACCATTTAATGATGAGGAGCATCTAGAGACTTTTTGATGAGAAAAATTATTCCCAACAGTCTTTCCTTCTTTATCATGTAGAAACAATTTAGCTGAAGGTCTGATGGAATCTTTACATGGTATAATAAAACACGAGGGAGCTGCAGCCATTATCTCCCTGAGTTAACAAGAGATGTCTTTTATCAGTAACCACGACCAGCATAAGTAGAAGGCTCATCTGGGAACAAAATAAATCATAACCTGACCATATGGTCAATTTTTTCCACATATGTAGCTGAATTGGAAAGCATTACAACAGCAAAAATAGAAAAAAGAAGTCTAGCCAATTATGTTACAAATATTTTGTGAAACTAAGAATCAGAAAATCGGATGTGTTCTTCTTGACTGGATTCTTCAGCCCACAGCAGTAACTTTCCTCATCCCACTTCAGGATTTCCCCAGGATCTAAAACCCCAATCCCTTATGGGGGCCAAAAGCGACTTTCATACCTTAACTAATTTAAGAAGCAGCAATCAGCGCAAGAGCGCGCCTGCTCCTAAGCTCGACCTGCTTACACAGCACTGCTTCTTCCAACAATACTGAAATGGGGCATATCGTCAAGCCAAGCAAAAAGGGAGTTCCATGTTTGTATCTAGATTGGCAATGTGCGCTCCTGTGGGAGTCGAACCCACTTAAAGGTGGCCTCAAATCGTATCAGAACACAGTATACGAAAATCCCTTACATCATACTGATACGATTCCACTACTAACCTACAAAAGGCATAAGGAGCACGTGTGCGGCATGTGAGCGGGACTATAAGTACAACACAAGAAGATGGGGTTTAGGGCAGCAAAGTTGGTATTCTGGAGAGGCGGGGGAACCCTCTCGAATATTGTTCCCCACTTTACTCTTCTTCTCCCATTTTTCGTCTCTGTATTCGGGAAGGTCATCCTTCCCGTCATTTGATCTCTCGCCATTGGTGAGGGTTCGTGAGTTCAATATGAAGTGTTCCATCCTTTTTGTTTGCCCCGATTCAGTCCTACCCTTGAGGATCGTATCACACACTTGTCTTACATTGAATACCGCGATGTTAGAGTCCTAGCTAAATAAAAAAAAATCTACAAGAGGAGAGGTTGCTGTTAAATGAAAAATAATGCGAAAAAAAATTTAATAATCACAAGGCGATACCAAGATATGATAATTCGGTCAAACCCAATACCTCTCTATTCCCCTATCCATTAAGAAGTCATCATATGACTATTAACCCGGCACAAATTAGCTGTCTCTAACATAGGACACCACTTCAAAAACGAGAAAGATCAAAAATTTGTGACCCAGGAGGCCTGAAAACAATGAACGTGGACTATAAAAGTTTTATCGCCCAAAACAACAACTGCAATATTCATGTAGTTAGGCCCAAGATTCCATGTACTACACGCCAAATTCATAGGGTAGTAACTGTTCTGCTTTTTATTTGCTTTAATCTTTTTTTCTAACTGATCTGATTTTTAGGATAGATATATCAAAATTTCGGCTTATTTAAAGGCTAATATGCTGTATTCCTGGGGAAACATTGATAATACGATTTTGTTTCTCTCTGTGAGATATCAATTTTCATGTGGATTCAAGCAACCCTTGTGGGTTCAAGGGACATTATTTTGATCCTTGTGGATTCAAGGATTGTGAAAGATCAACGTTCATGGACTCAAGGATTGAAGATTTTCGTCCCTTGTGGATTCAAGGTTCAATTTTTCATTTTTCCACAACTTTTGTTATGTCATTGCTGATCACTAATTCAACCTTTAAACAAGAAGTTACGCTTCAGTCAACAAAAAGAAACAAAATATTTACAATAGCTTTAAAGAAAAAATTTCAACGGCATATTGAATGCTACAAGAGGATCCTTTATAGCATAAAAGTTAAAACACTTGGACATGGAAAAGCAGCCTTCCAGTCTTGGTAACTAGGCTATCTCTTTCACTCATCATTTTATGTTTATATAACTTCGATCATAAGGATTCACTGAATCTTAATGTTTTTACAGTCCTCAACAATGGCTAGTTTTTCAACCTCTCTCTAATTATTATTTCAGAAAAATGACTGTTGAATTTTTCAAGCATTAATACTCATGGAGTCACATTAAGATATGTGATTTTAATGGCTATACTAGGAGTTGATTCACCAAGCTTTCATATTGACAGTTGCACCTTAGATTTCTGTACGTTGCCTATGGGTCTCAACCTCTATGGATTTGATTTCTATTTTGACTAATGGTGCCAACCCTTCGCCTGAAAATGTCAACATTTAAAGGACCTCTCGTAGTATGCCAAATCAATTCTGACCCTACCCTTCTAGATGCCAGCATCTGAAACTTTGTCCAGGTGTTGACCACCTGCTTATTCAGCACAACTCATAAAAAATTTTCTATTTTTCCTACATATGTTGATCCTTTCCATGTAAGCGACAACACTTAAACAGTTTAAAAATTCTATAGTTTCCAGAATGAGGACAACATCCTTATCCAAGTTGAAAATTTTCATAAAAATAACTTAAAGGATTAGGAGTTTCTGTTTCATAAATGGTTTAGAGAGGATCCTATAAAGTCAACAGTCTCCCCTTATTTGATAAGACAAGGCATATGAGCATTATGTGATTTTTCTCCTCCTATGGATAGATTGCAAGAAAATTGAGAGAGTTTAACAAACAAGCATTACATTCAAGCAACAAGAAAAAATACATCATTAATCAACGTAGTCCAAAAAAAAATAAATCAAGAAAAAGACATTGAAATCAAGAAATATTCATTTGTCATCTAAGATGCCAGTAAGTTTCCTCTAAAAGCCCCTTTTTTTCTTCGAGGACATTCAGATGTTTAAAAACAGGTTTCTCGATACCACATGTTCAAGTAGACAAATTAGATGTTTGCTGTCTGCAGCTTCACCCCGAACTTGCAGATGTCGATGTGGCACTTATCAATCCTTCTTTCCATAACACATTGTCTCATAGGATGAATTAAGTCATAGGAACTGTGAAATTCATGAAACTTTTCCTCATGCAAAGTGAGATTGATTAGTGGAGGAAACTGTGGCAGAGAAAAAGATGGCTCAACTGGGAAGGCATTGAGGGAGGAGAAAATACATCAATAGGGTAAAGGAGTAGATGACCTGGCATGTGGAAAGGCAAGAACACCCATATCCCGTTTATTTTCAGAAAAAGAGGACTTCATGAAGAGTACCCTCACTGTCAGTACTAATACTTTTGAGAAGAATTTTATTTTCACCGTGAAGATCAATATAGAACTGTTTTATAATTTTGGGTATTAAAGAAAAAATGCCAACAATATGCTCCAAAAACAAGGCCTTCGAAGTAATCTGTTTTCTTATTTCCTTAATTGCTACTCTATCACATATATCATACCTATAACAGTTAAATCCTTAGTGAGAAGGCTGATTAGTGTTTACTATGTGGAGAAGAGGGGCCTATTCGCCAAAATCGACTATGCTTATCATTTAATAAAATATAATAAGAAGCTGGTAATAAAATATACAAGAGGCTGAATGTCTTCTTTGCAGAGTCTTTAAAAACGTGATAAAATAGATCATGGGAAACACTAGAGGTGCTGACATCTCAATTCTGGGTACATGTCCAGAAAATATTGGCGAGCTGTTCTTCTGATGTGATATAATTAATGCCATTCTGCTTCTGTAAATATAGGCAAGCTGTTCCCACTAAAACAGGTATCTTGCGCACCCTCATTGGGAAGAAAACCTCAGACAACCGTTTTTCAGAAATCTCTTGGAGCTTATGGGAAGGGAAAGAGGAAGATTCAAGAAAATAAACAATATACAGCTGTTGTCGTTGATTTATAAAGCCAAAATGTGGCTGACATGTCTCTCCAATCGAAAGCAAGTATAACTGGTCCACTTACAATTCACAATCAACACACATTTTGCACCAAGCTGATTAAGGAGACTAGCTGATAGGGTTACATTCCGTAAATGATTATGGTCACAAGCAGGAATCTCACTGAGCCATTCCATCTCATCCCATAACAAGTTTCCTTAAACAAGCACAATTTGCACGTTCTTCACAAATTTTCAGTGATTTTCAATATCACCCAAAAGATAGAGTTATTACTTGATTTCGTTAAATGTTTAAACAATCTCAAACAGCTTTAATAGACTTCAATTACTTGATCCATTCTAGTATCTAGTATCCAGACACAATATATTTTCCTCTCAAGAATATCAACTTTAGAAGTCTCAAGTCAGCTGATCGCATCTCTGTAATAGTGCATTCTTCCCCGCCCAACATTACACATTAAAATTAAAAATTTGACTTAATTGTCTTTCTGGAACGGCCCATTCTGTTGAGATGGCTTATAGAGAAGTTTTACAGCCAATTAACTCAGCCTAGTCCCATTATGCAATCGTGACCATTTTTCTCTTCCCTCTTAAAGTGAACCAGTCTAGCCATCAGGCATCACAAGTCCAGCCCCATCTTTTTCCCTCTGTAGGGAGGAGAACCAAAGAAACAGAGAAGGGAGAAACTCGAGGATGGAGCTCTTATTCACACAAAAATGTTCCAAGTGAGGACCCTGACTCTATAAATATGAGATGAGATGACTCCAAGCAGATCAGAGAAACAAATGAAAATTCTCAGCATGTAAAAACATAAGGTGATCAATATAAAATCCTAGATGTTTTGAAAGACAACTGATTCTGTCGGATGCGTGAAAATGAGGTGACCATATCCAGTTCACATCGGAAAACTTAGGCCTGCCTTGAATTAAAATACCCAAGGAGTGTCTAGCTAACTAAGAGAGTCCCTCTTTTCAGTGCAACCTCTTTACTCTTTCCTACTCTCTTCTACTTCTATATTCCTTTTCTTTGAAAAATCTTAAATTCACCTCAAAGTCAATCGAATAGGAATCCAGTGATCACAAAAATTGATAACTAGGAAATTCAATTTTGAAAGGAAGTTAACAATGAAAGGGAAATCTTGGTACTAAAGCTAGCAATCAAATTTATATCTAGTTCATTTTTCCACTTCAAAAATGATTGCACAATTAATGAAACAAGTGCTAATTTCTGCCACATATGCTACAAATGAATAATACAAAAGGAAATTCCATGAGAATTAAAATAGCCAAAGGTTTTCAGAAAAGAATAAAGAAATACAAATAGAGAATTACGAGCAAAAGAAGGGCCCTAATTAGAAGAACGGACAGTAAAACCTCTCACTTACCAACCCGTCCATTACTTTTGATTCAGTAAATAAATCGGAATATTCACACAAAACACATCATTAATTATACAGACAACGCTCAAGTAATGTTTACTTTAATTTAATCCGGGATTCCAAGTAGTGGACCCCCAGTCGTCCATCTCGCCCCAGTTATCAAAAGATATTGCATCAAAAGATATTGTAAATGAATGCAAAAATGATCATTTATTTCCATTTCATAACCATTTGAAATGATCAAGTTTAGCATATGCTCTCTCCGAAAATTAAACTCCACCATGTGGTTGGTAAACATTTCCATGACATCCATGTGATAACATAGAGATCTGCATTGAATTACTAGGATTTTATCCTCTTTACTTCCGAGTGTTCTCTCCTTCAGTCTTCATTCGTAACTGTAGAGATGTTCATAGCTAGAAAGCCACGTCAGCATCATCAGAGAGATATCCTCATTTTACATGTTTGGCTTTAAGCGAGGAAGAATTTAACACGGCGAGATCATGAAATTTGTTAACGTTATCCGAAAGATACATCAGTGGTAGTGTACTAGACAATCCGTACAGAATGATTGGAGGAAGCTAAAGGTCGTATTCAGCCTCTGATATGAATCGCCTTCCCCGAAGTCTAACTGCTTTGCTCCCAATGTGGCACAACCCTGACTGACACGCATGTACTAGATCACAAGCCCTTGCAAAACTCTCCTGCAGATATGTCAAGCTCCCAAGCGAAGTGCAGGAGATTCAGAAATCCATAATTGAGCGGACATCGGATAGGGATGAGGAAAACGCATCCCATGAACATTGTTACAGCAAACAGTGAAGTGGCAAGCAAATATGCACGAGGGCATAGGACAACTCACCAGCCGCTATTCGTGCACACGCCATTTCCCCGAGAAAGACAAAAAGCCCATCTGTAGCAGCAGTAGCCGCTGCTTCCGTGGTGGCGGTCGTCGCGGTGGATCTCCCTGGAAACCCCACATTCATTAATATGGGAACTGAGACAGTCCTACCTCTCCACGGCCCCCGTCCACCCGTTGGTTCCACTCCTGCGTTACTCGTCGATGAATAGATCTCCACCGAGTCCAGACCACACAACTGATACCGGGGAAGAAACCAAGTACAGCCGGAGAACGACATCGCCGCCTTCAGCAGCAAATCGCCGTGGAGTTGTGCCTTATCGTAGCCCTTCCACTGGCCATCAGCCACCTCGGATGTCCATGGGCTCCACCCCCGCCGCCATTTCCGCGAGAATCCTCTCCTCTCCTTTCCCTGTTCTACTCACCACAGCCATTCATTCATTCGCACGAGACAGAGGCCCGCAGACTCTGCGAGGACGCACCACACCTGACGCCGCGTGCCACGAATACATACGAAATAAAATACTTCGCGTACGGAAGCTTCCTACCGGTCGGAGGCGATGCCTCCTCTGACACGAACGGGGGTCTTTGCTGTAATTGTGTATCCTCAAATATTTCCCCCATTATGTTATTCCTAGAACGATTTTAAGAGTAGGAATGTTCTAACAATAATAAAAAATGCATGTAATATAAGGGCATAATTACTACATTTTATCACATTTTTTTTCTAAATTTATTTTTCTCTTCCTTCTTTCTTCTCCAACCTTCGCTTCAACAGTAAAAAAAAATAAACTAATAACAATAAAAAAAAAGGCTCCGTAATCCAGTCAGCAATCCGAGCGCCCCATTGTCGTCTGCCCAGAAGTCAACTGTCAAGTCTGCCAATTAGCCGACGACAACTGGAGCCGACGACAAAAAGCCTCGAGATTACGGAGATGACTCCATCTCACGCTGCCTTATCCGAGAGGGAGTTCCCTCGTCCAATGACAAGACAGCGAGTTGATTCTCCGGGCCCCACCTAGTCCACGTCGCTATCCATCTGTGTCGTTGAGATTTCCCGCCAACAGGAAGGACAGGTGGAGCGGGCTGAGATTTTTCTTTCTCGCTTATTATCTCCCTCTGTAGCCTGTTCGAACTAGGTGTCTCACTGACGCATTGTCTAACCGGCAGAGTTTGCGACTTTCGTCGATCTTTCCGGCAGATGGAAATTACTTTCCGAATATATAAACCCAGGCAGAGCAGAATCGACGGCCAAGATCTTGACCCGGACGAGCATTTGATTCCACCATATGTATGTTTATTGCCTGATTTGGTAGCACTTGTGTGCATATCTGGCGTCATGTCACACGTGGATGACACATCAGATACTTCACCCTGATCTGATGGGCGTATGGCGCAGTTTTACTATAGCGGGATGATACAAGGTTAGCTCTGAGATTCTCTTCTCATATTGTACAGACAAATGACCCAGTACATGGCGACGCGCAGATATTATGATACACTTGAGGACACTGGAATCTCTAGAGGCACACCAGGTGTTGGCTCTAAGACGCGGGCATCAGGCACCTCTCTTGACAAGAGCTCCTGGGCAGTACACAGGAAGATTCAGCCATGCAGTCATTCAGGCAAACTCAAGTTGAAAGGCTGCAACTCAAAAAAGAAGCATTTTTCTTGTTTTGACTCAAATCATCAATGAAATCCAACAATATTTCCTAATACAAGGAGGGTTTTTTTTTAAAATTTCCAAAGATAGTTTTTTTTTTCATGTGTTGTCATGCGATTAACTCCATCAATCTGACCAGTTAGAGTAACCTTCATGGTAAGATGTAGCAGACACCCAGCGAGGTTCAGGCTAGTGCGAAAAATGATACATCTTTTTCCTTTAAAAAAGTGGCTGATATCAGAAATTCACTAAAATGGGAAAGAAGAATCTGTGAGCACAAATAAGTCCCTAGAAGCATGAAAAGGAAATCATACAGAGATCTCGAAAGGCTGCTCTCTGATTATTAGTCTCTCCAAAGTATCTGATCCGCCCTCCTGTTCATAAATTTACTAAAAGGGAAGAAAGAATCTGCGAGCGCAGTTAAATCCCAAGAGGCATGAAAAGGAATCCATACAGAGATCTCGAAAGGCTGCTCTCTGATTATCAGTCTCTCCAAGGTATCTGATTCGCCCTCCTGTTCAGCCCCTCGGCCTGATTCTATCTAACCTCTCTCATGCTATCTTCAATCGTACATTCATCATTGCACTGTTCTTCCTGACCCGTAATCACCCACAGAATGTTCTTGTAGAGCATTGTAAATCATCCCCCCTGAGATTTGACAGTAAATAATAGCATGTGTCTTCAAATGTTCATCACCCACACGAAGTTCCATCTTCTTCCACAACCACTCGGAGGAACAGCTTTGCCAATTTCTCCCAACCTTGATGAAGACCAGTCCAGGCATCTCCATTGTCTCATAAAGCCAACAACATCAAGTCCAAGCATACGAGGCACTAGGCGAGTGTCCCACTAGCTATATATTGGAGAGCGATTTATTCTCACACTAGTTAATAATATATAAGTGATGAATATGGATATTTTTCCCCCCTACAATGTACAAATCGAAGCAATTCTGTGATTTCCAGAATTCTCTTAGAGCTTGCACTGAAATATTTTGACGATAAATTCATTAAACATTGATTCTTCCACTAATTCCGCCTGACGACCATTTCCGTGACCAATTTCCAAATATGCTATTTTGGTGCATGTGAGTACCGAAATGCTATGGTATCATCATACGAAAAATTTAATGCTGAGCGCCAGACAGTTTTGAAAATGAAAAGCATCATAACAGTCTTTAAATGAAAAATAAAGAATTGTATCTTGAAAAAAGGAATTAATCAAAAAAATAAAGCATTAATTCTCCTGTCCTCCATCGCTTTTTATGGATATATCTACCCTTTTTGTCGAACTCATGGCCATCTTTTTCCTATGATCTGTTTCGCAATAACCGAAATAATTCACAGTTTTTTGTTCATTTTGTGCATTTTCCTCCATTTCTAAAAGAACATCTTGTCATAAACTTTAATTAATTTATCGTATATCAGTTAATAAACACCAAGCATGAGATTTGATCAACAAAAACATCAGCAAAATTGAGATGAAAGAAATCAAAGGTCCTCAGACTTGAACTTATTGCAGTTAAACTATTAAAGCACTAGAAAATGACTCAACACAAAGTGATGGCCAAGATCAATCACCAAACAATTTCTCGAACCATAAGGAAAATTACCTTAAACGATTCTAACGTCCCTTCTGGTCTAACGAGTTTTGAAAGAATTCCCTTGGTTTCCAAGTCACCATTTTTCATGACGACGATAAACCTGCAAAGAATAGAACAATAAACTAGTAAGTAGAATAGAAAATCCTAGATACTACTCCGGAAATCTGTGAGATGTAGTTATACTTGGCCTGGAGCAATTTGGCAAGTCTGACAGCATCTTCCTGTCCTGAAACCAAGGTGAAGGACGGCAGCACTTGTTTTATTACTGGAGTTATAACGATATCAGCCTGGCCTTTCTGTAGAAGAGATCCATCGTATACACAGTGTGGTTCATAATAAAGAGAAGGGCGGCTTTCTTCAAATGTTACAACATACCTATACAAATCCTTCCCAAGTCAGACATTCCTTGACTGATTCAGTGCGATGATTCTTGATGGAAGTGGAACTATAACAGTGAGAAATCTAATAACACAGGAGAAGATGAATGGTTGTACCCATTCTCAGGACGCTGCCAAGGAGGCCCTAAAACTGGCCCTGCAGTAGCCTGTATGCTCAGTTTCGCACCATTTATACCGAGAAGTTCATGCCTTTCACCAGGTTTCAAGTATGTGACCTGAAATTCGTTTCAACTTAATTATTCCCATTTACCATGCAGTTGGCATGTCCAATCTTAATATTTGTGCCAAAGCTCATTATGGTTCCAGCCATCACCAAAAATATGCATAATGTGGGGGTCAGTTAGGGTTGGAGATAGGATAAATTTAATAAAATAAATAACTGTGCGTTGACATGAAAACATACACTCATCCCATGCGTTGCATGAAAACAAACACTCACCCCAAGACATGGAAAGAGAAAACCTCCAACTCAAAATCATCGGTAAAAAAATATGCTTTGGTGTCTTCAGGAACGACATCCTTGTGGAGTCGCACTGGACATCATATTCTTATCTTCATGCATAATGCAGGGATTTTAGTGCGCAACACTGAGTCAACAATCAGCAGTTTTCTCAAGAACTTTTAGCTTTATATCTGAGAGATTACTTGGAAATATGCAGCGGCTGTATGTGATTTCCAGAGGCAGAACTGAATATCAGTTCACATAGCTGATTGGAATAGATTTCTCATGTCAGCATGGATACCGGTGAAAGAGGAGATCATCTGAGGTTGATGAAGAAAGCACATTGTTTACTGCTTTCCTCTTCGACACATGATGCAAAAATGAAAACGAAGGACATGGCTTCACAACATTGATAGCACCTTAAGTAGGTTACGGCAGACTAATCCTCACTTACAACCCTTGTTTTCTAAGAACTAAGTAGCAAGGCTGTTACCAGCAACAATAATCATAGGATGCAAAAGTATGACAAATCACGAGAATCTAGCCAGGCAAATGTCATAGGATCTCCATGCATACTAGTTGAACTGGTTATAATCAGTTATAAGTTTGACTAGAAAGATTAGGGGATTAGAAGAGGACCATAACAGCATTAATAAATATTACTTAATGAGAAAATTTAAGACAAAGATTTACATTTTTAAACATTAGATTCAAGATGGACTCTGCATTTGGAGTGGCGACCACCCGAATATCAGGGCGTAACTCAGAGAGTGGCTTTAGAGTCTTAACATGGCAGTGATCATCGAGGCTTTGCGTTATCAGCAAGCAATCCAGCTCAGGAAGGTCCTCAAGCTGCACCAAACCAAGAAACAGAACACCCTCCGAGATTCAGTTATTTGTGTTTACTGCATTTCAAGGACGGGTCAATTGACCAATTAGATTGCATTGGGCACAGATATCCACAAAAATACGGGGCAACTACTCCAGGACAATTACCTGGAAGTTCTTTAGGAACTTCTTTTCGCCGTCATACAACCAGGGTATCCCAAAATCCAAGTTACCCACTAAGATAGGATCAACCAGAATATTCACACCTCCCACGTCCCACAACCAGCTGTTACCCTGAAACCAATCATTAAAAAACGCAACTAAAAATGAGTGCACGAAGTAAATCCGCTGATCAAACCAGCTAAGGACGCTGAAGACCTCCAGATAAGTGAGCCTAATAGACGGGCTCGACAGCTCTGAAGACTCCCCTGAGATCACAGCCAGAGTATTCTCACGGGAGGAGCTGCAACCAACAAGGTGAAAACCTAGAGTCAAGATGGTGAAGGCAACGGGGAGAGACCTGAAGGTCCACTATGCTCCGGCTGATGTTTCTAAAGTACCTGTGGGCCTGGAGATTACTGAGAGTCCTGCCGCGGCAGAGCCGGGGAAGGGAGTTACGACGAGGGGTGAAGCTGAGGCCATGGATTGGAGGAGGCGAAAGTGCGATGGCGCGCTTGCTACCACGGTAGCGAAAAGACGGCTGGTAGTGACAGACGGGAGAGCAGTTGGCAGCCATGGACAGAGCTCGAAGGAGAGGAAGAAGGGAGTCAGGCGTCCTTAGAACGATGGGTCTTATTAAGACGACTCTGTGGTCTTCATTAAAAGGGAGACGTTTCAAATAGTTAGCCAACCATTTGCAGCGCCGGGGCGGCGCCGAATTGGGTCGGACGTGTGCAGCAGACTAAATCATTTAAAAGCTTAGTAGGAAAAATATAGTAAAAACTATATATTTTTTTTAACGTCTTAGTTACACATTGATGATCTGAGCCATTGAATTCATTGTATAAATTAGATTAATAAGATAATAAATAGGTCGGCTTAAGGTCAAATATATTGGAAAACTTCTCGAATATTTTGTATGTCCCCATGCTTTGTTACATTACTTGTGATCTTTCCACAAAGCATTTTTTCTTGCCTTTTTAGTAGTCCATTTGTGATACTCATAATTGACTTTAGTAACAAAATTTAATCTATATTTTATAACTTATAGTAAGTTAGTATGAGAAATGACTAAGTAGACAGCAGAATTAGTTGTCTCATGAAGAAGCCTTCTGCCCCAAATGAATAAAAAGTGAGTCAATGCACATTTCAAGTAAAAGGCTGTATCATGGCCCTTGATTGCATTGCAAACAATCTAATTTGTCCTGCGAAAATTTCTTTAAAATTTTCAGTTTTCCCTCTTGCAAGTTTTTCTATTTCATTCTTCATAGTAATGATTAGATTGATTCAAAGTCCACTCATATGGAAGGCAACTAAGGGGGAACACATCTTTGTATTAATTTCAAACTCTCCAACCCTATATGGAAGGAAATCACTTTGAGAATTCCATTGCATAATCTTGCTCATGAATCAAGTGGTCCCTCTTTCAAATATGCTTCTGCACCTTCAAGATAAGAAATCATCAAATTTAAAGGTGCAAAATAAATCTATACTTCTTTTCCTTAGTCTTATTTTGTATTTGAGTATTGATAGTACTTTGACTGACTTAGAGCTATGAATCTATAAGATATTTTCTGAGCATTAAATTAACTGGCCCCTATATCAAAACAAATCTGGAAAAAGTGTTTTAGAAAACACTCGAGTCAACTAAAATTATTAAATCTAGTGTAAGCCTACTTGATGTCTCTGTGTTTAACTAATGTATAGATGGGAGTTAGTTGTGGCTATGGGTGTGATCCTTAGAGAGTGAAATAGGCTAAGTGGGCTGAAGTATTATAAATCTTGACTCCACGTATTTATAGGAAATGAAAATTAAGAAAATAATAATAAAAAGGACCAATAACTCCCCTCTTGGTTCCTCTTGTAGACTCAATCAAACTAATAGAAGACTTAAATCGTTAGTGAGATAAAAAAGTGATTGAACAAAGAAAAACAACATAATTTATAGTGTAGTATCTATAACTTCTTACTCTTATGAATTTTCATCATGAATAGTGTGTTTAACCCTAAAAATTAGGTAAAAAATGTATAGATTAAGTTGTGAGTTTTTGTAATTTTTATGTCATTCTTCTTAAAATGGATATCATTCCAATTTTCATGAAGAAATGATTTTCCTGGAAATTCAGTCCATGTGACACTCTTCATTTTTAATACTGTCTTACTTAGTACACGATTTCTTATTCCACCCACAATATATGTATACCTCTAGCACCCAATTATGGGTATTCTCACATGCTTTTGAACCTCATAGCCAAGGAAAATTTTGCTCATGTTTCTTGACTCTCGTGCCCTTGTTTCTAGGCTTCTCGATTCAAATTGGTAGCCAAACCTTCTCACTCAACATATCCTATTCCCCATTTCCAACTAGCTAATGGATCTCACTCAGGATTCCCACGTGCTTCACTATAAATACCTGAATTGAGATGATGCCTAAGATGAGTTCGTAATGGAGCCCTAGTTGTCCTAGTGTCCAAGCGGCAGATTAGTCTCTAACATTTCACAAATAAACCTCATTTACTGCAGATTATCGCTTCTCAAATATCTGCTCTTTGATCGATTTCAACTGATTAAAAACCTGGGTTCATAGTGCATGATGATACCACTAGCGCATAATGCTTTGATTTTTAAATAAAAAAAGTAATGGAAACGCAAGGACAGCAAGATAATGTGAAGCAACCACGGGACCCCCCGGAGGAGACGTTGGAAATCCTAGCAGAGATTCAGTGCAACCAGAGTGAAAGGAGGGAGATCCAGAGGAACCGGACGCGCAACTCTCCACGTCGCAGGCGTGCTCTCATGTCCTTGGATGGTTACACGTATGGATGATGTGAGCAGGTAATAACCATGAATGATCACGCTCATACTTCACCCTCGCGAGTCGTTCAAATAGCAAAGAAAAATTATGGGCTGCAATGCCGCCCCGGGCGCTCCCGTCTGCGGCGTGCGGCGGCATGGTCAGGCGTCGTTCCTCGGAACCCCAACAAAGCAGCTCGCTCTTTCTTAAAACTTTTCGCCAAGTACTGTGTAATATAACTTGAACACGCTCGAATCAAAACTAGAAATACTTTATTCGAACCGAACAGTTCACGTATCGTACATCTAATTACGTATATATTGACACGAAAATACCAGGAGCTGCAAAGCTGACTTGATGACTTGGGGAGTTTACCGACAGTCGCGCACGGATACAAAGGTGGATAACTACGGTGATAGATGTGTGCATGAGGATACGTAGATCGACAGATACACGAAATTTCTGGCCAGAATTATCCGCATGTAAATCCAGAAGGCACCGACCTGCCACAGGAGCTAAGAATCCGGGCTGTTGATCTAAAACCGAGGAACCCAAATCTGGCGGCAACACAGAGGCATGATGCGGCCTGTTGATCGGAGAGTCTATCAAGTGCGAGGCAACAAGCAAACCTAGAAGCCAATCTCCAGAACCCAAAACGGCGGAACACAACAGAGCACACCCTCAATCTGAAGGCTTGGGTAGAGCAGAATAGAAAAGGTTGCGGAGGGGGAGGTGATGGAGTTTGAGAAGAAACCAAGGTCAACCACAGCAGGTTCAGCAAGAGGATTCCTTTGGTGGCGCCGATTTTGGAGGCCGTCACCCAAGGAGGAATGTTCTTACAGGGTGATACCCGTGCAGGGAGTAAGGACGTAAGGAGACATGGTGAGAGTGTAGGTACATTGGGTTGGACGTAAGGACGTATTTATAGAGCAGGGAGGAAAGCGTGATACCCGTGCGAAAAGCATCTCTGTTCTCAACGGAGAAATTTGCAATGCAAAACGAGAGTCGACTCTACTGGCATAGTGGACAAGGATTATTCTTCCCATCGATGTCGGTGGCTTTAAAACGAATTAAGAATTTCGGCCCCGGTCAGTGGGCAGTGCTTTTCACATTTATAGGACGCTTGCCGAGTGACGTCTCATTGACTGCGAGATAACAAATCCATGTAAAAGTCAACTTTTGACTATAGTTATTGCGGTCTGCACGTAATAAGTGTTAAAAGGCCAACTATCACCCATGCCTGCGGCTGCATCTCTCTCTCTCTCTCTCTCTCTCTCTCTCTCTCTCTCTCTCTCTCTATCTATCTACCTCTGCTCCCTCTATACGGGGGCACCTGACCATCGTTTGACGAGAGTTGCGCATAGCGTTTCACGATCCTTTGACGTCCAACAACGACCGCCGCTTGGTAAATATCTGGCCAACGGGATACGGAACATTGGTGGAAGCGGTCGCGTCTTCTGTGTTCGGATATACTCCCCCGTTTACCTTCTCTGTTTAATGGTTGCGTCGGAAGAAGAATAGGTTCATTGGTGACGAGATTTCCGAATCTCAGCCGTGATGATCTCCATCCTTCCCTTATGGTGTTTCCGTACTCGTTTTCATTCGATCGTCTTCCGGACAAAAAGGTCATAAATGTGCAGGACTCGCATTGATCCACTCCCCCAGGCTAAGTAAGACAGTCTGAGAATTCAACACCAGTTCCTCGCTATGGATGAGGACGATACCCAATGCAGATTTACTCGATCGCCCATGATAGAGAAGGCAAGATAGATACAACCCTCTGCGGCAATATTTTAGATGTGGTTTGATAATGGGGTGAGGAGCTCGGTTAGAACTCAGGCTTGGTTTGTCCGAGTAATTAACACGGTGTGTCTAATAATTATTATATGCCAATGAAAACAAAATTAGCCACTATCAACACCGATAATCAGCGGATAATTATTTTGATAACATGAATAAGGTGACTGAAGCCTCTCGTTCAATTGACGTTTAGACCAGAAGATCATGAGAATGAAAATCTTTCACGTTTTCTCTAGAACATGAAAGATAAATCGCGATCTCTGTAGAAGAGTAGGCTCGACCTCAATAACGGAAGCCAACTAAGGTCGTCCCGTGAGAATGGCTTCCTCCGGGTTTTCAGTGGGGGGCCTCCGTAGATTTTCTGGATTCTGTTCTTAAATGTCCGCAGCATTATCTGGGACAGATGTTAAAGGTTGATAGAAAAAGACAGTTTTTAGTTTTCCCCAAGACTTTTCCCCGAAGATGCCGCTAGGTTAATCGACTGTGTTGTAACTAGGTCACCGCCGATTGGTAAGGGAAGGACTGCCGATTTCTGTTGATGAATCGGATCTCATGTAACAATGACGGGCTAAGGAAAGAGTAGCTGATCTCGTACCGACAGCTCTTACCAAAGAAGTGACCTTGAAACTGCATTTCTCAATCCATGACTCGCTGAAGCCAGATGACTTCCTAGGGCGTTGAATTTCAAATATCACATGCCTCATAATGCTCTAAGCGTTATGGGTGAAAGTCTAACATAGAGCAGTCCAAATTATTTCCTAATTTTGTAAATAAATTCTTAGTTTGAAAGTAATGAGATTTTGGAAAGTTGAAAAATCAATTGGCATTAAAACCTATTACGAACATCAATGACCTCTTACTAGGTTCGCTGCGTTTTACATCAACTATGTCAGCCACATGGAAGATAGTGGCTTACCAGCCACAAAAGTGAGTCTGCTTCATTTGGAAATACACTGTCTATTTCCAGTACTCACAAATCATGCCTTAAACATGATTACATTTGCCTAATGAAGTAATATAATCACTAGATCAAATAAATTGTGACCTTAACTTACTCTAGGAAATAATAATACTTGATTTGTAAGTTAGATGCCGTTGCTGTCAGGAAGGTCAAATAGGAACTGAGATGGGGGGAATTGATCTTTCACACTGACATGTGAATGGTCGACCTATATCTAGGAGACATGACTCAGAAAAGGCTAATCTAACTGTGTCAGCCCTCCTTCAAATATAGCGTCCGCATATAACAACTTTAATGGTGCTTTTTCTCTTTACTTGGTCCTCAACTAGCCCCACAAGTTCCAGTGATCTCCATAAATACACGTTCAAAACAAAGGGCAGCTCACTTAGATAGTACTAGATTCTTGACTCTAATGAGCCATAGCTTGTAGACCAATATTTATTCTTCTATCTATGACCTATTGTAGACTATACATGCTTCTATTGATGACCCATCACACAAAGAACTTGCTATTTTGATTTATGCTCTCCTCTAAAAAACTCAAATGGTCTCATGGTTTTGAGATCTCATCCATTTAGTTAAAAGTTCTCACCATTTTTAATCTTGATAATTAGTGTCTTCCATGCAAGAAATAAATTGAATCACTTTCTAGTACTTGGAAATGGTCCATGGCTAGATTGAAACATTATACAATTTGGGTGTTATTTGTAATTGTCCTTTAGTAAGTGGCATGAAAATTTCTCAGCTCATGTAAGTCAAGATATTTTAAGAAACTCTTTTTAGTGAAAAGCATGTCTTAAAAAAGGTTTTACTTGTCCTAATATTTTCTAACATTTTAAGAAAAGTTAAACCAATTTTTTATTATTTTTAGTTTTAGTGAAGCATCATTACAATCCACAAGGAAAAGTGAATTGATACTTTATTTCGTTTGTTATTTTTTCTTTTTCTTAATTGATCTAAATATCCAAATGTTTATAATTGTTCAGGTTGTTAGTTTTTTGGCTGCAATCAGGTTGAGAATGTGGTACAGTGAAGATTTTATATATCTTGATTCATATCTTTTTTTATTATGTCGCTAATAATTTATATGAATGACACAACTTTTCTACTGCTTTGGGCTCTGACTCATGTATACTTTACAAGAGCATTTGTTCTTGATTTCCACTTACAATGTAATATTTCATGATGGTGATGGAAGAAGATAAGGTCTGGCTTTTGAATCCAAAAACTCGGCCTTTGGAGAAGGAACCAAGTCCTGAATCCTTGAGTCTTTTGAGTCTTCTTTTTGAGTCCTGAAAAAGAACAAACACCCTCCTTGAGTCTTCTTTCTTTTTGTTTTGGTCCCTCTTAAGGAGGCTGTGTTTGGGCCCTAGCCCCTTCCCAAGTGGAGGCCACCCATTTGGTACTGCTCTAGCCCATGCGCTGCAACTTGACACCTAGTCCATTCCTAGAAGGTCAATCATCTTGGTACTGCTCTAGTTTCATGAGTCATTTTTATCTTGGGGGGTGTGGGTGATGGACACCTAGGCCTAGCCCCTTCCTAATGTGAGTCCTAGTACTACTCTAGCCTAATTGTGCCTTGGTTAAAGTGCAGGGGATTGATTGGTGGCATGGGAAGAATATTCTCGAGAGATTTCATAGTGGGTAGGTAAGGGAGACTAATTGATAATGATGGGACATTTTCGTAACTATTTCTTGAATGATGTGACATTTTTTTTCTGCAAATGGCTTGCGAAGAAACTTCGTAAGAGGTCACACATCCTGCCACTACTTCAACTTGAGCATTCTCAACTTCAAAGTTCTTTGAACCAGTCCTCTTCTGTTTTATTGAAGCCCAATAAGGTTTTTGGGTCACATTTTTAGATTCACTTCTTTAGGACTTAATACTGTGCATTTTGGGCTTAGCTTCTAACTTTTGAATATTGTAGGTTGCATCATGGGCAATTTGGACTGCATTATTTCACCACTGATTACACGAGATCAACTACCACTTAATTTTTTAAAAACCTTACTCTACATTACATGATAAAAATTTGACTAAATCATTGATTGCAAGGTTTATCCACAAATTAAAAAAAATTGATGAGGCTAATTAATTTGAAATGATATTTCAATGACAAGCTTTTGGATTTTAATGAAGATGCCATCCTTTGTATATACAATTTCTCTATTTTCTTCACATTTTGAATCTTGATGACTATTGAAGATTGTATGCTAGTTGCTTTGATGAAGATTTTTTTCTTTCTTGATTATTTCTTGATTACAATCCAACTTTCAATTATTTTTCTTTGTAAAATATTCACAAGCTTGTGATTTTTAAGGGAAAAAATCTTTCTCTAAAGGCTGCAAGGCATTAACAAAAGCACAAGAAAATGAGCTATTCAAAAATCCCTCCTACACGAAGAATCGCTTTCATTTATAAGCTGAATGTTCAATGAGACTTTCTCTTATAATTATCATTTTAAACACTTCAATTTAACATTCCTTTGAAAGCTCCAACAGAAGAATCCAATATGATTTATTCTCTAGTGTTGTGATTTTATCCTTTAAGATGACATCAATAATGAGAACTTGTTGCCAAAATATAAATATAAAAAATTATCATAACTAATTTTATAATGAAATGAAGTAGTGCTTTTGACTTCAAGATAAATACGAATATCTTAAAATAGGCCATATTTATAAATTAATTTTCTAGAGTCCATACTATTGAATTTAAGGTTGCACTAAAATCAAGAAGTGGGGTTTGAATTGATTGTATCCTAATATTAACCTCTAGTAAACTAATCTATCTTTCTTGAATTATTCTTCACTATATTAATAATTTTTCATTGGTTCAACCCCTTGCCTATGTCTACTCTCAAAGAACACTCTATTCTTAGGTCCAACTAAAATAACACTCAATTACAATCAATTACTATCAAAAATAGGTATTCTCAAATTTTATATTGAAGTTTTCTTTTAAATTCACAATTCTTGATAGGTCAAATTTGACTACAAGCCTCAACTCTCTTGAATTATTATGTTAGAACTTAATCCCATGTTAATGTTGTGGGAAATAATGAAGAATGTTGAATTAACTATTTTGTAAACTTTCATAAAGACTTGAATCCCTTCAAGGATTTGATGGGGAGAATTGAATTTTGCTTAATTTTCTCCTCCCTCTTCACATCTTGAATTCATCTTATTGTATACTAACTTATCAATAAAATTAACCTAAAGAGATTAATTTTGAATTAAGAAATACTCCCCAACATGGTGCCTTCTCATTAAAACGTTCTTCAAATTTCACTCAATTTACATCTAGATCACTGAAAAAACTATTAAAATAGAACTCAAGAATTTTAAACAATTGAGAATGATTGTTCAGGACTTGTTAGCTATTAGAGAAGGGCTCAACTTATCAAGAAGTTTGAGTCTCATCCTTCCCCTATTTTTTGTAATTATTAAATATTTAAAACTTAAAGAATTAAAAATTCAGGTATTTGAAACTGATATGAGATATGATTTAAGAATTTATATATCTTCTAGGAGAAAACAAACAAATGTAACTATTAAGCTTTAGCATTTGTAGTTGAAATTATCAATCCTAGTGTACCACTAAGATCTTTAGCAATTGAAACAAATTGTATTTTTTCTGAAAAAGTAAGTTCCACTACTCAAATAGTAGTCATGAAACAAGTAGCTGAGAAATTAGAACTATAACTAGCTCAATTCATATAATTAGAGGCATAACTGAATCTCAAAAAAGTAATAATTTTGAAACCCAATTCACAATTGCCATAAATAAGACATATATGGAATAGACATATTGAACCTTCATATCAATATTTGACATCTTACACTAGTAAGATATTATATTCTAATTTTTTAATCATTTATATTTAATAATATATTAAAAATCTGAAAAACTAGTCTTCTAGTTTGCACAATCAAAAACTTTTCCTTAAAAAAATGATTAAAAATAATACTTTCAAAGATGGACATCTAGTATATCAATTAAAATTTCATATCAGTATTTTACTTTAAAATTTTCCAAAGACAAATATATATTAGTATTTTTATCATAATTATTGACACTTTAAATATTTCTAAATAAATTGATTAATATTTAAAAGTAAAAAAAAGTCTATAATTAAAAATATAAGCATTAAATACCATTAACATGGTGTTTCATGTACTCTTATGTTTCAATATGTTTTTTACATCTTATTAAGCCAATGTTGTACTTCCTACCACCTTATCAATATAGTATCATCATCAATACTTAATAGCTAAGACCTATATGAACTTTTATGTTTTGACAAATATTATTTCTATTGATGTTGATGTTATTTGTTTTGATACGTATATTAGAAATTTTATTTTATGAATTATTTTTGAATGAGTTATCAAATAATTTATTGGATGATCAATATACATCATAATTAATACTATTGATAAACATTTACATTATATTATTGATGATGTTCAATGTTATCATATGACTAACAATGAATTAAATATTCACACTCTTGAGATATCTTTCTATGTTTAAATAATATAATGCTATATTCTTAAAATATGAGTACATAATTAATTGTATTTAATATACCATAAAGTCTCACATATATTCTTGAAAATAATAGTTGTGAGATTTGAATGCAAAACCTAAGCACTATGAAGACATAAATCTTAGCATGAAAATTGTTTAGAAAATTAAAAAAACTCAATGATAGATATGAGATTCAAACTCAAGAAACAAACTACGTGACTACGAGAAAAATGATGGCTGAATTCAAGTATTAGATGGAGCAAAGTAATGCCAAATTTCATTCTGAAATTATTCATAGCACTATGAAGACATAGTGACTTGTGGAAAGCTAGTGAAATATTCAATAGTAAAATCAAATGATCAATAACTGAAGCAAGATTTGATCTTTAGTCTTACATGACAGTTAAGTTAGACTATTCGCATAACATTATGAATAAAGTAAATAATTCTTATGCCACATAGCTTGCATGATGACACCTCAAAGTCTTATGTAGAAAAATTACGAAACATAATCACTAACTTCAACCTAGTCTAAAAACAAGATTATCTATTGAAGTGTCACAAATCTCAAACTAGAAACATCAAAGATCATTTATGAGAAACCTACACGTTCTGAAATAAAAATGAACTCAGGGTTAGTTTTATATACTCTAGATGACAACACATCACTTGAGTACATGAAAAAAATGGTAAGCTCAATGACAATATCTTAGTTTGACTCTGAAGATAAATATGTCTATTGAAATGTTTTAAATCTCTAAAAAATCATCAAAGATTATTTGTGAGAGACCTACATGTTTCAAAGCAAAGAAGGATTGAAGGTCAATGTTGTGCACCTTAGATGGTAAAATGTCATCATAATTTATGGATAAAATAAGTTCAATGACAATGTCCTAACTTGACTATGAAGACAAAGATTTTTGTTGATCAATTTAAAATCTTCATACAAATTGTGAAAAGATTTAAGTTGAAGTATAAATGAAGGTCAAAGGTGTAGATTCTAGATAGTAACTCATCAACAAAATATATAGACTAAAGACAAATCAAATTCTCTACTATGAGTAAAATCTTGAAAAAGAAAATGTATATTGATCAATTATGAATCTGTAAACAAGATATTATAGACTACAATCACAATAATAGAAAATTTAAATTATTAAACAGTTGAAGATTGATAATCATAAATTAGTAGTGACATCTATGATAGATAATATAATTATACGTGTTACCAACTCATTATGATATTTATAATACTTTATCATTTAAGTCTTAATATATATCATTTTATTTTATTTATATCATGAGACTAACCCCACTTGGCTTTTATGAAGTCAAGTGGTGATTCTCTCACACTTTCTTAATAATTATTTGATTGCAAGAACATAGGTGAGGTTTTAATATGAGTTGGAAGTAATAGAAGAAGTCCAAGCCTTCAGCCTAATGAAAAGCCTAAATTTTATGGAGAAGGCCAACTTAATATGTTTATGGGCCCAAGAGAGGGCGTCACTTTGGTCTAGTCTATTTGGACTTAAAATGGCTATCAAGATATGTAATCTAGGTCATCCATTTTAAGACATCTTAAGATGAGATTAAGAGAAGGAATAGAGTGTTAGAATGATCTAAACCATCTACCAAGAGAGTCGATTATTACTCTTAACTTTCCATTAGAGGGAGGCCTAACTCTTGAGAAGATTAAGGCATCTCGCCCCCCTCTTGGAAGGTACTTTTTGACTCTCTCTTCAATAGTGGCTAGTCGAAAGAAATAGGAGAGAAATTAAGACCTGATAAAAGACATTCTCGTGCCCAAGATCATTGTGGAGAAGAGATTGCCTAGAATGTATCAAAATCATCATAGATCAAGCATCACTCGGCCTAAGATTAATGCACAATGAGGTTTGTGTAAGATCTAGATTTGGGGTATCCTTATAATCTTCTCCATGGATAGATTAAATTTTAATTTGAACTAGTTTTACCATTTATCTTATCACTCTATTGTGTTAGATCCATTCTCTCCCCTTTGTCATGTTTTTTATAACTCTTTTCTTTACCCTTTATATTTAATTTTGCCCTTCATAATCTCACGTATATATATATTTATATAAGAAATAAAATAAATAGAATTCATACTCTCATTATCCATGCTCCTTGAGGATCAACCCTTACTTGTCATTTGTATGAACTTGATTGTATCATGATGATGTATTTAACCTTCAATTCGAGTTCATCAAAGGTCACCAAAACATGATTACAGTATCAAAAAAATTTCAAACTAATAGAATTATTTTTAGATATTGAAATGATTTAGATTTATTGAATTATAAAGAGGATGAGCTGAAGATAAATCAATATTAGTGTTGAATGAAGAAATTTTTATTTTCATCATTTACTCAAGCTCAAGAAAAGGTTCCTACTTAATCCTCCACAATAAAATCATTGTGCCTTTCGAAGAGAGAATCAAAGTTTCATCTTACTCATTCATCTGTGACAATATACAAATTATTCAATTAAGCTGAAAATTATCTCTCTCTAGCAAGCCTTAAGATAACATGAGTGGTGAGTGGATAGAAGATAAGACTAAGACACAAGGTGTTAAGAATTGGAACCTATTAAAAATGATGTTATTTCTGAGAATTGTGTATTGAAATAGTGTTGAGAGTCGAGACTTGTTCATGAGGGGTGAGATCCTTATGATTATTTAGTGGAAAGAGAGTTGAGCTTGTGAAATCAATTATATTTTTAAATAAAAAAATCTTCCAAGACTAGGTGTAACCCAAGAAAAAATAAACTAGTATAAAAATATTCTATATCCATCATAGTTATGAGTGAGAGTGAGAGAGGCTTAGGTGATGTTATATACATATTTGACTATTGTGTTTGAACTTATACTAACATAAATACATGTAGATAGAACACTATAATAAAATAAAAATATATAAAAAACCAATTCATCTCTCTCACCCCCTTGGTACTTCACTTTGCCACATTGAATCCAATAATTTCTTTTATCTCTCCACATTTTACTGTCTATTTTATTCATCTCTTCCACACAAATAAATTGGCTCCCCTTCATCTTGACTGTTAAATGTATTTTCTTAGGTCACTCAAGGATGCAATAGGGTACCACTACTATGATCCAACCATAGAACAAACATCTATTGGTGTCTAATACTACTAACTCTACTAAACCCATAGTGTATGATGTTGATTACTGTATTGAATTCATCAATGTCCAGCACTTTATTTGATGGAGATTAATTCTCAAGTACCTTCTTCTAAATCCCCCCCTGATATTGATTTACCTATTATCTTTTGTAAAGGATATTAATCTTGTGCTTGGTATCATCTATATTTCATTTTATGACCTTTGACCATCTTCTTATATCTACTTGATGGTCACTAGGTTCTCCATAGTCATTTTAAGGCATTATAACATCCTTCTTAAAAGGCTGATATGGAGGAGGAGATGTCAACTCTCATTTCTAAATGAAAATGGGATCTTGTAAACCTGCCCCAGGGATGATGGTTATGGGAGTGTAGGTGATTGTTTATCCACAACCATCTCCTAGATAGTTCTATTGAATGACACAAACTTGGATGGTGGCCAAAGACTTTGCACAAACATATAAAAGGGATTATTTTGAGACCTATTTTCTTGTGGTTTGCCTTAATTTTATTTGGAACTTAGTTTCACTTATTATTAATTCTCATTAGATATAGTTTCTGCTTGATATTCAAAAATAAAAAAAAATCTATTTTGACTTATCTAAGGAATTTTATATGGTGCAACCCTTTGGATTTATTATCTAAAGATATTAATATGCTACTAAGGGAGAATAGTTGAAAGTTGGGAAATTTATATATGATATAAATTTAAAGTTGGCAAGTTAATATGCTATATATGGTTCGAAGCAAACTCTTTGTACTTGATTTGACAGATTTGATGTAGTACAACAATAATTATTTACATGATTTTCATATAATTCACTTTTACAATACATTATTCATCTAAGTTTGTGATTTTGTTTGTATATGTTGTTGATACTTTACTTATTGGTAGTGATCAAGATGGTATTTGTGACATTGAAAGAATTTTTACATTCTCAATTTGTTACTAAAGATCTAGGTATTATTAGATATTTTCTTGATATTGAAGTGCATTGCATTGATAATGATCTTGTACTTTTTCAAAAAAAGTTTGTGCTTGATTGTATTCATGATACATGTATGGTTGATTGTAAACCTACTGCAATCTCTTTAGATTACATATGTCACTTGGTGGCCTAGATAGTTCACACCTCTTTAATGCGACAAGATATCATTTTTTGTTGGAAAACCATTATATTTGACCATTATGAGACATGACATGGCATTTGTAGTTAGACAATTGAGTCAATTTATACAACATCCTAGAGAGGTACATTGGGGTAGTGTTTGCTAAGTATTGAGATATTTAAGTCATTGCCAATAAATGGTCTTTATTTCAAGAACCATGGGCATGTCAATGTGTGAAATGTCAATTATGTTGATGCTCATGAAGACAGAAAGTCTATTACAACTTTTTATACATATGTTGGAAGTAATTTTGTTACTTCACATAATAAGAAGTACAATGTTATTTCTCAATTCAGTGTTGAATCTGAATATAGAGCCATGACCAAGTCTGTGAACTCTTCTAAATGATATCAATACTTTAAGATTTTAATATCCCTATGTTGAAGTATACTCCTATGTATTGTGATACCAAGGCTGTTACCCTTATAACCAATAATCCTCCCTATCACAGGCGCAGAACATACCAAGGTGGACTGTCATTTCACTAGAGATGCTATGATACCTGAAAAAATCTTTAAACCCATGGATATCTTTTCCAAGGCTCTTATCCATCAAAGATAAGAGCACCAAGCAGAGCATGAGAAATCTCTATACTCCAGTTTGAGGGGAAGTACCATGGCCCATTTGTTATCAGGACATTGTTATAAAACTTTGTAAGAGGCGGACGGTGATGTTACAAACAAATTTTACATTCATTTTCTCCGTCCATTCTTACTGGCCTACCGCAGAGGCCAAGAATCTGAGCGACGTATCCGGGGACACGGACTCGAAAGCCGAGGAACCCGAAATCTGGCAGTAAGGCAGAGGTATGCGGTGGCTTATTGATTGGAGAGAGTGTTGACTGCGGCGCAGCATGTACGGTTGACGAAAGGCGAGCACACGCTCAGGGGTTAATGAGGCAGGAGAGAACTGGGGAGTGCGTCCTCGCAGAAAACGTTTGGGGATGTGGCGGAGATGGGGGCAGGGGAGAAGGCATTGGTGGAGGAAAGGGAGAGGTCGGCGTGGTGCTGTTTCTCATTTGGGCAGCAACCAAGGTCAAGAATAGCAGGTTAAGAGGACCTGGGTGAAGATACCCATTTTTGGAAGCCAGGACAAGGCATGAGAAGGTAGTTAAAGAGAAGAGATAGAAGGGAATATTTCGTGCAAGGTACAGCTGCGTTCTTCACGGTGTAATTTGGCCACGAAGACGAAGATTTCGCTCTATGCCGACGCTGACATCGTGTGAACGGAATATTTCGTCCTGTGGCTGTGGTGGCCTAAAAAAATAAGGCCCTTGCTTCGATTAAGTAGGCTGTGGTTTTCACATTTATAGGGCGCCTACAGAGTGGCGTTCACGACGAGTTCCAGCAACAGGATGGATTGACAAGGCCATAGAACCCCTCTCTTTAACTACTGTGGGCCGGCATGAACGGTAGCATTGAGACAATTGACGATTCAATAAGACGCGATCTCTCCGAACAATACCATTAGTTTAAACGACGTACAAAATCCATCCTTACCCTTTTTAATTTTGTTTTTGAATACTGATGATAAAATCTGGAGGACTGAACTCCGCTTGAAATTTGCCCTTTTACTTCAATAAGAAACAGTACAGATTTTCCATGGCGTGGTCAGTGAAAGCCTGATCAAACCCGCATATCTGCTGCAATTATGAAGCCATGTGGATTCGGATTGTCCTATTCTACTCTTGTACCATCTTTTTTAAAATCTATATTTCAGTGCACTTCATTATTAAGAATAGCATAAGAATAAAGTCATGCAGACCTCAGCTTGAGCAGATTTCGAGTTCTTGCGACTCCGACTGATGTGGCGTCATGATAATCAACGATGACGGCAGATTAGGTACATGTTGGGTTTTATCGCGGGCAAAGCAGTTTCAATAGTTTTATAACGCCAAACCATGTCCTTGAGCTCTCTCTCTCCCCTTTCCCTCCCCTCTATGCAAGGAATCCCACCGCCTTTTCCCTCTAGCCGCACATTGTTTTTCGTGATCCTTTGAGGTCCAACGACGATGGCGGATTAAGAACATCGTGAAGAAGAGGGGGGCAACAGAAAATTAGCGGAACTAGTTGTCACGACGAGAGTAGTGGAGTCTAGGGACGGGCCTTCTGTGTATGGATATACTTCCTTATTTGCTATAATTGTACAGTGGTTATGTGAGCAGAAGACTGAAAGGGAATCGAAAAATCTATTCCGACCGGATTAAAGTATAACCAAAGGAAAATATTGTTCCTTGGGCATCCAAAAAAGAATCATGCTCGTTAGATGATACATCATTCTTCTAATGGCCGGAATGCAGACTTATGGGTTTTTCAGTGTCCAGCTCTTGGAAAATTTAGTCATAAATGTGTACATCGTTGGGCTTCTAAATGTCTGTGAAAATAGAGGAAGAATGTTTTTTTTTATATGTTGTCCCCTCCCGTGTTTAACGATCCAAAGATGGTTTCAACAGTTTAGGAACAGATGGGACAGGTTTCTTTTGCAATCGTACACCATCTTTCGCAATCCTGAAGATAGCAGCAACGAATTATTGGCGGTGAGTCTTCGGCTGACAGCAGATCTAGTTGGCCTGATTGGTACATGCAACGGGGTGAACTTGAAAGTACATAGATAATGGTGCCCCAATATACGATCCTGTAAGATCATATCGGATGGAACAATTTCGAGCACTTGCCCACACATGGATCTCTAAGCATTTTTACTCCCATATATGATCTTGTTAGACCCCCAGCTGGTATCGGATGAGATACTCACGCGATCCTCTCACCCACCTGGGGGAAACGAACCTGATGGGTAGAGTGGTGCCCACGTTTCTAAGGAAACAAACCAAAGGATATGGAAGATCGTGAAGACGATGACGGACGTGGTAGAAGTGGGAATTCGATCGTGGGTCCATCAGGATTATAAAGGTTGGCCGACTCACGACAATGGGGAGGGGACCTCTCGAAGTCCCCGCTGGTTCTTGGGTTCTTCGGGGCCCAAGCTACTCTTTCTACTGTTTTATCTTCTATTTCTATTTCCCATAGTTCCGTTCACACTATCTGACCGGATCCAGCTTTCCTCTATTCCTTCCTTGATTTACTGTCATCCTAATCCTACCAGATCTTTCCTTGACCATTACTCAGCCCCGTCAGTTGTCCATCCTTCGCACTAGGTCAAACCATCTCCCATACCTCATCCTCTCCTTGTCAGTTCCCCCTGGTCCTCTCCCATATGCGGTCAAGCCCCGCTACCTCTTTCCCTCTCGTAAGCACTGCCCCTACGCCGGTCTCTCTCACCGCATCTCTCCGTCGGCCGTTCCTATCGTGTCGCGCTCCCCTCTCCCTCTCCAGAACAGTCCCCATCTCTCATTCTTTGCTCTTATCTTGTTTCCCTAGTTTGTTTAAGCTATTGTCCTCTTCTGATCAAAAAAGCCAGAAATATACAGGACAGACGTGATGTAAGACCAGCAGAAAATCGAAAGCAGCGATCGACGGTATCATGAAAGCCAGCAGCGGGCTCCTCTCGGAGAACTGTTGACAGGTTACTCCACCATGGAAGAGTTCTAAGTTCTACAGGTTTCTCCTGCCCTATTTCACCTGTCTGCAGGGGGGTTGGAGGAGAGTGGGATGGCCAGGTGCAGGAGACATGAAAGGCGTGGAGAGTCACGGGTGCTGTACACCAAGAGGAAGCCTTGGAAGTCGGAGAAGCCGGGGAAGAATTCTCTACTGAGGGCCGACACCGACTGCCCTGATAACTACTGTGCAGAATGATGTTAAGAAACAGACAAAATCTGGTCATAAAAACTGTTATTACCTCTGATTTCTTCCCCACATCCTCGGCATTGACTTTTTCCATCGCCTATGGTTCATCCGGGTCATTACCACGGAGAACCCATGTATAACTGGTACTCATACACTTCCAGACAAGAGATGAGCGGCACCCATGAGTAGCCGGCACGCATTGCCTTGCGGTTTCTCGTGAAAGTTACCTCTGTATATTTGCGAGTCGCGCTCTTAAATGTACGTTGATGGTTGACCCACTGACCTGGCTGGTTGGTGGATTGTCTCGGACCAGTTGACGCCGGCTGGCGTAGAGCTGGCAGCCTGGAATGGATCGACATTCGACCCTGGGAGACGGTCTGATGCGTACCCGGCGGAACGGTTCGGGCCGGACAACCGATTTCACGAACCGGCGGGATTTAATCCTAGCCAGTAGGGCGGACGGGAATCGTCCGAACGGGCTGTGGCGGACTGGGCAAAGATGGAGCCAGAGATGGCGGCGGCAGACGGCGGCACCGGACGGCGGTGGTGGTGGCGCAGCGGCAGATGACGGCCACGGTGGTGGCCGACGGCGGGGATGCTGGCGGTGGGCGATGAAGTATGACGGTGACTGCGATGATGGGCGGCGGCTGGTGGCTGGAGAACGGTGGGCGGAGGTGGAGAGGCGGAAGATAAGGTTCCAACCGGGAGCAACGGGGTTCTCGAGACCAACCCTACTGGGGCGACGGTGTCCTTACGACCAAACGTACCGGAGAGAATGGTATACATCAGATATGTCCTGCATCAGTTCTGTGTACTTGTTCTGCGGTGTTTGGTGTAGGTCATTAATAGAAGAGTAAATCTTGGTCCCATGATGCACGCGTGCCTATACCGGCGGTACGGATCCGGATCCGATAAGCTGAGGGTGTGTCGGTCCCCGGACATGATACTTCGATCTCAAACAGAACATTGATGTGGTACCTACTATTTATATGATCATATGATGCGACCTTGAAGGGAAGGGTCTCTGGAGGAGATGCGGCACAGCGCAGCGGAGAGAGAGTGAAAGAAAGGGAGATCAACACAGGCCATACGCAGCAAGACGACTCGGCCGGTCCCCGGCGTCACGGCTGGAAACACGAGCTGCGAGCATGAAGCAGCCATGCATGCAGACTCCACAACCCTCGCCCTTCTCCCTTCCCACCGCTTGGTGTGAGTCATTGACGATAGCGAATGAGGATTTCCCTCGGAATCTCGGCAAAGGATGTCGCCCTTCTTATCGCAAACTTTTTTGTCGTGTGTTATTTATTACCAAGAGATAGCACAACAGCACCGACACTACAAACACTGAAGGCAGAGCAAGCACGACGTAGAGTGCGACTAATTACAGACTTTGACTTGGGAATATAAGTAACCCAGAGATACTCTACGAGAGGCTGGATATCCTGGGATGTTTACCGACAAAAGAAAACGTACAGATAGATACCGAGGTGAACAGAGAGCCTGACAAATGGGTACATGGGATACGTAGATGGACGACAGTCTTGGGGGACCGAGTTAACTGCATGTGAATCCAGAAGGCACCGGCCTGCCGCAGTAGAAGAGCAGCTGAACAAGGTCACCGGGGATGCGGACTCTAAGACCGAGGAACCCGAATCTGGCGGCGTAACAGAGGCACGTCGTGGCCTGTTGATCAGAAAGTTGGCGGACGACACGGCAACAAGGAAACCTGGGGGGCAGAAACCCGAGCTTCAAACCCCTAACCACGGAGGAGCACACGCTCAATCTTGCGGCCTGAGCGCGGCAGGACCGAAATGGAAAAAAAGGCGGAGGTGGCGGAGAAGGAGGTGGTGGCGGCGGAGAAGGAGGTGGTGGCGGCGGAGAAGGAGGTGGCGGCGGCGGGGGAGGTCGTCTCCTGATCCTCCTTTGGGCAGAAACCGAGGTAAAGAACAGCAGGCTCAGCAAGAGGACTGCTGTGCAGGCACCGATTTTGGAAGCCATGAGGGGCAGACGCCGGACGTCGGAGGACTACTTTCGCACACAAGTTGACGATAGACCGTATGTTGTGAGTGTGAGTTGGATAGGTTGCACATGGTTTGGTATTTATAAGAGAAGAGCGTCATCCGCGTGAGCTGCAGCACCGTTCTCCGCTGGATTTCACTCGTCACCGACATGGTGGGAACGGAAAACTCTTCGTGTGGATTTAGGCGGCCTTAAAAAATTGAGACCTCATCCGGTAAGTAGAAGTGGTTTTCACATTTATAGGACCCTAATGAAGACGCGTGACTATGAGTTCCGATTGTGATAGCAGTTGACCCCCAGAGAGCCATTTCGCCGTCGGAGACTTGCGTTAATGGCGGCATCGATGCAAGTCAACGTGAATAAAATATGGTGGTCTATGTGATAAAAGATCACCCGACTCATCCTCGTCCAGTAAAATTCGTTTTTATAAATCTTGATGCTAAAAACTGCAGGACATAACCTGCACAAAGATATGTACGTAAGCCAGATAAGGTAAGATTCTCTACAGTTCATCCTTGACATGACCATCCGTAGAGCCCTGATCAAAATCCCCACATCAGCGTCAATGATCTAGCGATCCGAAGTCGTCTCGTTCGATCCTCCAATCATCGTTTTTCAGATTTATCGTTCAGGGTGCTTTGTTGAAACTCGTGTATAAAGTTACTGCAGTTGACAAGGGGGTAAGCATATGCAAAAGTCAGACTCTGACTTTCGTTAGGGAGGCCCGCACAACTTTTGCAAAATAATTGTGAACAGGCTTTGATCTGTCAATAGCGGTATCCACGTGCGAGGAACACCTAGTTTTGCTGTCTTTATCTCTCCTCTCTCTCTCTCAATGCTCCCCGGCGTTGTTTGACTTAAAGGGCACATTGCTAATTGCTTTGCTGATCCTTTGATATCCACCAACAACGGCGGATTAGATTCATCTAGACGAAAACGGGGCAGCGGAGCATTGGTGGAAGGAGTCGGCAAGCTGAGAGAAGATAATTGAAGGGCAAGTTCTTCGTTTATGGATATGTTTCGTTGTTTGGCTTAATTGTGTCGTGGTTATGGGCAGAAGAATCGAGGGAGGTAAAATATCCACTTGGTATAAAGAAAAAAGTGAAATGAGATATTTTATTGTCACTTGGGCGTGCGAAAACTCATGTACTGCGGAGGTAAAGATGAGACTTCCATTGTGTTACGAGGAAATTATATACTTATTTGAAATTTTCAGTTTTGAGTTCCTCCAAAATACTCGAAGTGGCCATAAATGTATATCTTCTTGGGCTTAGAAACCGTTAATCGTAGTTCTGAGAGTGAGGAAGAATCAGTCACATTTGTCCCTCATGTGGTAAAAGAAAAATGCAAAAAGGGTGTCGCCAGCTTAATTCCACTAAATAGGCATGCAAAAGGTCAGGTTAGCCTGCTTTGTACTTCTCTATCATTATGGTCAGCAGGTGTTTTTCCATCCTGTGGCCCCATTAAACAGGATTAACAGGAAACAAACAAAAGGGGATCAAGAGAACAGAAAGAACAAAATCGAGACAGAATGTGAAAGGCATGTTGACTGTTAAGGCCTTTCTAATCTCAACTTCCCAAACATAACTTTATCAATGAAGCACATCATGGAGAAGTAGATGGTGATTAACCACTATCTATCAAGGTGTAAATATCCATAAAAAAGAAAGATTCTAAAATGATCTTTGATCAAAGTTTTACTTCTCCCTTGCAGTTAGTTTGCTATCATCCCATAGAGAAGATAAATTCTAGAATCATGGGTGGTAGACTTATTTTTAGAAACATCAATCATCATACTACTATAATTTTCAATTGAGAGCAAGATCCACTAGCTTGAAGCAATTGATGACTTAAAAGTAAAATGGACACCACAAGCTAGACCCATTCTCAACATGAGTTCACAGTCCAAGAAGTCACCAAGTTAGTTATGTTAATGTAATGGTTTATTATTATTGAGCCTTCCTATGTCACAGTCTACTTAGTGGACCATCATCTAGTGGTAATGGGTCAAACATGTAATGGCCCATTATGTTACCTCTAAGGTTAGGACATCAAGATTTCCACCTTCTACATGGTATCAAAGCAAGATTAGGGTTCCAAAGCCTTATTTGGTGCCATCACATTTTGATGCCACTATTACCAATGTCCTCTACCATCATTTGCTAGAGCTATTAGCATCATGTTTTTTTCTAGCAAGGTCTTTTGCCTCCATTGAGTATTCTTTTATTAAGTTTTTCTAAATTTGCTATGTTTCATTCAAATGAGGTCTTCTACCTCTATTGAGTATCTTTTTGACAAGATTTTCTACTTTTGTCATATTTCTTTTTGACAAGTTCTTTTGCCTCGACTAAGTATCTTTTTAAGCTTTCCACCTTTATTGTGCTTCTTTACCAGGTCTTTCATCATTGTTGAGCATCTATCCAGCCAAGGTTTTCCACTAGTTCTCTATCAGCCTCTTTGGCATCTTTTGTTGATGTCTTCCACCACCTTATTCAACATCCTCTACAGGTTCTCCATCAGTATCAATGTTTGTGGATGTCTTTGACTTTCACTAGTCAACAATGGATGATCAAACTTTACAAATATAAAAGAAGGATCAAAGCCCACTTTTCTAAGTGCTCATTCAGTTATCATACAAGTCACTTTGTGAAATTATCATTACTAGTAAATATTAGTGAGAATTTATTTCAAGAGATGAAGAAAGATCAACCATTTATTAAAAAGATTTGACATCTGATCTTAGTCTGTGTAGTGAGAGCACAAAGTTATAACCCTCTTAAATCTACAATAAAATTTCATGGAGACTCATATTATAAAGTTGGTGTGTAATTTGGAAATGTGGAAGGTAGTGTGGGACCATCTCGTACTGATGTATTTCAACATCTCATAGATCAATGATATAACTATAGAGTATACATACTAAAATAAGGTAAAATAGATATGAATCAATACCTCAGTGGGATCATGCCTCTTACTCAAGATCTCCAGTCCTTACTTCTATTATGTACTTATCTCCAAGTGAAGTAGAATCAATGAGACTATCTAATAGTTGTCGAATTTCTTAGTAGACTTCATCCTAAATATGAGAGTTTGTAATCATATCTTAGTAAGGAACGAGTTGTTGACAATTGCTAAAGTCTACAAGTGTCTCTTGTGCTCTTAAAAATCAAGTTATTCAAAAGACCAAATCTATTGTTGAGAAGATAGTATTAGTGTCTACTCAACAACCCTCATATAAGTGTGCTCATGGTTGTCACTCCAAGAAAGAGGAAAGCAGAGGTAAAGCAGCTGGAGATCATTAGTAATATGTGTCATTTTGTAGTAAAAAAGGGCACACAAAGGAGAAATCTTAAACATTCCATAGCCATCCTTCCAAGACTGCCAAAATTTATTACATGTGGAGAACATGGAGGATCTCAAGTTGTACATCAAACACCACTTTCTAATGAGTATGCTCACATGTTTCAATTTTGAATTGATCAACAAGCATCGGTACTAATTACTACCTCAAACACACCACTTTCTAATGAGTATGCTCACATGTTTCAATTTTGAATTGATCATCAAGCATCAGTACCAATTACTACCTCAAACACACTTGAGACTTCTACAATGTGCCTCTCTCAAGCATTTACATCCTCCTCAAGTGAATTATCTCACTAGATTCTTGACTCTAAGATTTGACCATATTACAAATAGATCAAGTAATTCATATCTTACTTTGGTCATGTTAAACTTTCTACTGTCACCTAGTCAAATGATTCTATCACACCTATCACATGTATAGGATCTACATATCTTAATCTTAATCTTAAATAAATTTTACACATTTCTAACCCATTTTGATTAATAAACTTACTAGATTCTTTCAAACTATCATAACTTTCTTCTTTTAGACCCTAAAGACATAGAGGAGTATTGGTGAAAGATATATAGATAGAAGACTATACTATATGGGAAAAGTTTCTTCCATCCTATGTGTTGTTGCTTCACCTATTCAAGTCCATAATCAATTAGGTCATATTTCTTAAAAAACTTAAATTAATGGTACATAATCTTTCTAATATAGAAGTATTGAGTGTGAATAATGTCAATTAAGTAAACATCAATGTTCTAGTTTTGGGTCACGAGATAAGTCTATTTTTGATTTAGTTCATTCTAATGTATGATGTCCTAGTCAAGTCAATATTAAACTTAGCTTTAAATATTTTTTAAATTTTATTTAAAATCATTATTTTATCATGTAGCTCTATCTCATAAAAATTGATCAGGGTTATTCACTATATTTTGGTTGTTTTATGTTGAAATTAAGATTTAATTTTGACAAGAATATTCAAATACTTTATTGTAATAATATTAAATAATATTTTAATTCATTTTTCACATAATATTCGATCACCTAGAACATCATTCATTAATCATTATGTCCTCATACTCAACAAAATAGAATAATTGAGAGGAAAAATCATCATGCTATTGAGAAAAAAATTACATTACTTTTACATATGAATGTCTCACTTGAGTTCTAGAGTGACATCATTCTTACAATCACTTACTTAATTAATCATATGTCATCATTGTTGAATTTCAACCTACATTAAGATCAAGAAACAAGGTTTACTTAACTTATTTATAAAACTATTTTCATGAAACTTACTACAAATCTATGTAAGTCCTCTCTCTCATGACTATCATAGAATTTTCATAGTTTAATAACTATATATATCACTCGCTAATTTTTAGAATGATTTGACTCACTATCTACATCCACACTCTATGAGTAACTTTGCTCTTAAGTTCCACAAACACTAACTATTAGATCACAAACCTCTCATGAATAAACTAAACTCCCATAGATTTTCTCTCATAAATTCTCTTCTAGATTGACAAGCCTAGGAGGCTAACAACTATTTAATAGGACATTTCCCATAGGTGATTGAATCAAAAGTTTATTTCTCACAACAAATATGGTAAGATTTTTCCAATGTGGGTAGTCCATGGAGATAATATTGACTTCAATGTTTTTGAATTTATGATGAAAATAATGTTGTGAACTGGTATATAGTTATTGCCTCTTCTTATCAGAATGCTATCTATGTATTGAAAGTTCTTTAGGCTTAAAATGGGTCAAGGAGGATATTCAATATTGTTGAACGCCTCATATTAATGCCTTTGCATGATTTGAGCTGTTGACATAAAGCTCATTATTACTTGTTGATTTTCCTATGAGAGATATTTCATGGCAAGCTAGAGGTACCTTAGACAAGAAAGATAATTTGTGTCTTATGCTCCTATTAGAAGATCGTGATGTTTATAAGAAAATATTATATGAAAATCTTCTCAAATCTCTATGTTCCAACAATTCATTTCTCTAAAATAAGACACATTCGGACAACTCAAATACTAATTCAGCATATTCTTAACTTAGGTTGGTTACCCTTTGAAAGAACCAACATGTAATTATTTTATTACTTAATGTTTGTATCTGAATCGTGTCAATTCGTTTTGATCCATTGCAAATCTTATATCATGAGAATAAAACCAATAAGAATGCAATATCATCAAAACACAACTAATAAAAGATATCCATATTAAATAATAGTTTGCCATTCAAATCATATTCGAATCCACTCAAATAAAATGCAATCATCAAGTTAACATCTTGAGTGATGCTTTCAATATCTATGATCATGATTTTGTTGATTTAGGATATTTATAATAATTTATAAGGTATGTTATAAATATTTAAAAAATTATGTTCATCCAAGTAAGTGATTTAAACTTAATCTATTACAAAAATATCAAAGAAACTCAAAATCAATAATAATATCAAGAGAACATAGTAGTTTGAGTAGGCTTCCCATATTTTGTTTCTTATTATGTCATTGATTTTGATGTACTTGTTATTACTTTTGTATTGTGGCATATTTTGTAAATATTGACATCTTCTATAGTAGTATGTAATATGATGATTTCACATCAAAATACCTATCACATCTATGTGCTCTACACTATTAATTGAGAGTATGCTAAATGATCTCTCATATGAGTTATTATTGTTAATATTCTGAATTAGACTCAAAAGTTCGTTCATCAGAAATATTGTGTACTTATTATTTACAAAAATTAATCCATTAAAAACTATTTGACATCAGGAAAATATTATATATATAATACTTCAATTGTTATTAGTTCTAAATCAGAAGACCTCTTATTTAATTTTTTATCTTATTAGCTCATTATACATTATATCACCAAAGATTTTGGGGTATACTTGTTTTGTTTATCATTTAGCTACAATTCAAGATAAATTTTGTCCCAAGTCTTTGAAATGTATTTTCTTATAATATTTTCATGCTCAAAAATGATATAAAAGTTATTATCCTTTGCTTCAAAGACACTTTATCTCAATTGATGTTACTTTCTTTAAGAACACTTCTTTCTTAAATGTTACAATCTACTAATTCTCTAGATGAGTTATTACCTTTATTAGTCATTGTGGATTCAGCCTTTGTGAATATTTCTAGGGTTCCCAAAGTTATTAGATAATAGATTATGGGATAAACACACTCCAATCATATGGTGAAAAATTCTCTTAGCACCTCCTGAAGAATCTACATTACAATTAATAATTCTTATGTTTGAGGGACTACAAGTGAGCACATCCTTGCCAAGTGATATTGACCCCTCTATTGCCTTAACGAAAAGGAAAATATTCTTGTATGCATTTATCATATTTCTAACCTTGTATCATACCATCAGTTAACTCCTACCTATTCAGGTTTTATATCTACCTTATCCCACTATCATACTCTAAAGTTTTAGAATCACTAGGTTATTCCAAGTGGCATGCCACCATGATAAAGGACTAGACTTGGGAGTTTATCTCATATCCTCTAGGAAATTTCATTGTTAGTTACAAATAAATCCTTATAGTTAAAGTTGAACCTAATGGTACAATTGATCACTTGAAATTTCAATTGGTACCAAAGAGCTTCACTCAGGTATATGCTAAATATTATTAAGAGATTTACTCACTTGTTGCTAAGGTTACCTATATTAGTATTATCTTTACCTTAGCAGTTCGCTTCTCTTGGCCTCTATATTAGCTTGATATATAAAATATATTTTTTCATAGTACTTTGCAAGAAGAAATATATGATACAACCATTAGGTTTTAATGCACAAAGGCCTACACTAAGATCAAGAAGGGAGGGATTGAATTGATCTATGTTTTTCTTATTTCATTTCTAGATGAGCTTTCTTAGAGTTGCACTTTTCTCTTAAGATGATGAATATGTTGATTTCTTAGTTCACTTAGAATACTATGTTTTATAGTATTTTGACCAACTGTTTATGTCCACTCTCCATTAACAAAATTATTTTTATATTTTAATTTTTTTATTATCCAACCATAATTGTTGATTAATTGACTCTAGGATGTCACGTGATGTTTCATTAAGATAACTTCTTGAATTTTTCTCCAAAATTTTCTTATAAATTCATAGCTTTAGAAGGTCACACTGTTGTTAACAAGGACAGCTCCCACTCGTGATAAATAAGAATTTAGGGAAATGGACTCAAAGGCCGAAGAATCAAAATCTGGCAGCAAGGTAGAGGCATACAGTGGTTTATGGATTGGAGAATGTGTTGACTATGGTGCAACATGGGTACCTTTAGGCCATGCACTGAAACGAGGAATGGTTGACAAAAGGGGCATAGACACTCAAACAGAGGGTAATGAGGCATAACAGAATTGGACTGCGTCCTCGCAGAAAACATGGGGGAGGTGGCGGGAGGGGGGAAGGCAGTGGTGGAGGAGAGAGAAGGGTCGGCGTTGTGCTATTTTTCACTTGGGAAGGAACGAAGGCCAAGAACAGCAGGTTGAGTAAGAGGGCCAAGGTGAAGGTACCATTTTAGAAGCCAGGATAAGGTTGGGCATATTTGTGCACGTACATGGCTTCAGCGTGAGAAGATATTTAAAGAGAAGAGACAGAAGGGCATCTTTCATGCGTGTCGCAGCTGTGTTCTTCGCGCTGTAATTTGGCCACAAATATGAATATTTCACTCTACGCTGATGCCGACATCGTCGGAATGGAATATTTATCCCGTGGCTGTGGTGGCCTAAAAAAAAAATTTCAGGCGCTTGCTTCCATTAAGTAGGTTGTGGTTTTCACATGTATAGTGTAACTAAGAGGTGGTGTTCACGACAAGTTACAGCCATAAGATGAGTTGAAAAAGGCAACAGAACTTGTCTCATGGACGTGGACGTGGACTGGCATGAATGATAGCATTAAGACAATTCACGATTCAATAGATTGGTTTTAATAAAATACAAGTTCCAGCTATAAGAAATTCATCCTTACCCTTAAAGATTTTGTCTTGGAATCTTGATGTTAAACCTGTAGGACTGAACTCCGTGTAAGTTGCCCTCATACTAAAATAAGATACTCTGTAGATTTTCCATGGCGTGGTCCTCAGTGAAAACCTGATCAAATCCGCATATCTACTCCAACTATATAGCCATGTAGATTTGGTTCGTCCTATTCTACATTTGAACCATAACCTTTTAAGTCAATATTTCAGGGCTCTTCATTGACTTTCACGAATACATTATTGAGTAGAGTATCCGAAGAAAATCATGCAGACGTCAGCTTGAGTAAATTATCGAGCTCTTCGGTTTCCTGACTGTTGTGGTGTCATGATAATCAACGATGACGGCAGATTAGGAACATCTTGTATAGGTTTTATCCCGGGCAAAGCAGTGTCAACAACTTAATAACACCTAATTATGCCCTCCCTCCCTCCCTCCCTCTCTCTCTCTCTCTCCTCTCGGTGCCCTCTCCCTCCCCTCTATGCATGGGAACCCACCCTCCTTTCTCTCTAGCCGCTCATTGTTTTTCGCGATCTTTTGACGTCGAGCGGCGATGGCGGATTAAACAGATCGGGAAGAAGACGGGGCAACTGAAAATTGGGGGACGTAGTTACCAAGACTAGAGTAACGAAGTCTAGGGACACGCCTTTTGCGTATGGATAGACTTCATTATTTGCTATAGTTGTACAATGGTTATGTGAGCAGAAGAATGGAGGAGAATCGAAAAATCCATCCCGACCGGATTAAAATATAACTGAAAGATAATATTTTTAATTCGGCGTCCAAATAGGCTATGCTTGTTGGGCGACACATCTTTCTTCTAATGGCTGGAATGCATACTAGTGAGGGTTTTCATTGTCGAGCTCTTGGAAAATATCAAAATTAGGCATAAATGTGTATATCGTTGGGCTTACAAAGCTATGTCTCTGAAAAGAGGAAGAATTGTTTCTTTATATGTTGCCCCCCCTCGTGTATGAAAATCCAAAAATGGCTTCACCCGTTTATGAACAGATTGTGCAGGGTTCTTTTGCAAATGTACCACGTCTACGAGCTTACATCCGGTGAAGAGAGTAGCAGCGAGTTGTTGGTGGCGAGTGTTCGGCAGACAGCAGATCTAGTTGGCCTGATTGGTACATGCAACGGAGTGAACTTGAAAAGTACGTAGATAATGGTGTCCCAATATACGATCATGTAGATATATCCGTTGTAATGTACTAATTTCTAATGCCACTGCCACCTTTTGTATGATGCGGTTGGAACAATTTTAAGCATTTGCCCACACATGTAATATACTAATTTTAAACATTTATCTATCCTTGAGCTTTACTCAGCTCCGTCAGTTATCCATCATTCGCACTTGGTCAAACCATCTCCCGTACCTCATTTTCTCCTTGTCAGATCCCCCCTGTTCCTCTCCCATATGCGGTCAATCCCCCCTCCAATCCCTTTCCCTCTCGTAAGCACTTCCCCTATCCCGATCTCTCTCACCGCCTCTCTTCGTCGGCACTTCCTATCGTGTCGTGCTCCCCTCTCCCTCTCCAGGTCAGTTCCCATCTCTCATTCTTTGCTCTTATCTTGTTTTCCTAGTTTGTTTAAGCCATCGTCTTCTTCTAGTAAAAAAAGCCAGAAATATACAGGACAAACGTGATGATTGGCTCTGGAATCGTTGCCCGCTGAGCGGCGCACAGTCTGAGAACTGCAGTTTTATTAGCACGAAGTAATACACAGGTGAGCATAATAGTCGCTCTATTACAGTATAATTCGTGAAAAAGGACCACCAGAAAAGGGAAAGCAGCGATTTGACAGTCTGATGAAAGCCAACAGCGGGCTCCTCTAGGAGAACTATTCAACAGGTTACTGCACTATGGAAGAATTCTAAGTTCAGCGGGTTTATCCTGCCCGATTTCACCTGTCTTCAGGAGGAGAACGAGGTGTAGGAGAATGAGACGGGCAAAAGACTTGAAAGGCGCTGAGAGTCACGGGTATTGTAAACCAAGAGGAAACCGAGGAAGCCAGGGAAACCGGGGAGGGATTCTCTAGTGTGAACCAAAACCGAATGTCCCTGCTAATTACTGTGCAGCATGATGTTAAGAAACCGAAAAAATCTGGTCATGCCAACGATTATTATCTCTGATTTCTTCCCCCCATCCTTGGCATGTAATACGACAGTACCCGGTACGGACTTTCTCCACCCCCTATCAAGTTAAACTGATAGACAGATTTGAGCAGCGATCTATATCAAATTTGTACGAGATTCGGAGGTGGAGTAAGTAGGGGGACCGGAAAGGAAAAGAATGCCAATGGTTTATCCTGGTCATTAGCACGGAATATTTGGTAAAATATTTTACCCAAACTGAAACGTAGGGAAAACAACGACGATAGTTTGTATCTGATAATCGTTTTCTGAGCTTGAGTAAGGTTACTGAATACTGTTATTCAATTGGCAAGCAAAACTGAGGATCGGAACTGTGGACCTCTTATTCAATTCGCGAGGACAAGAAGGAAAAAGAGCACTTCTAGAGAAGAGATGAGCGGCACCTATGAGTAACCGGCACTTGTTGCCTTGCGGTTTCCCGTGAGAGGTCCACAGCCCTTGTGCATGCACCTCTATATATTTTCTGGAGTCCGCTCTTAAATGTCGGCAACAAACTCTGGGGGTGGATGATGTTTCGTCTAGTATTGAGAGAAATGGGGGAGTCTCTTGTTTTCGTTACACTGTTTTTCATTAGAACTATCATAAACGTTTTACCTTCGATTGTTAGCACAATGGCTGCAAGTTTCTGTTAGTGAATCATGCTTCATGTCACAGTCAGGGGGGAGGGAAGCAGCAGCTACTCTCTGGCTAATTGCCCTTCTCAAGAAATGGGGTTTGAACTACGCCTTTTCCAACCTTTACCCCGGCGTAGTTGACCTTGAAAGGGTTCGATTTCCAATGCCATAATTTTCAAGTTCACCCATTTTTAAATAACCCATACTAGGCCCAGGCCCAGGCCCAGGCCCAGAAAGGAACCGCACCGTAGAAAGTGAGTGAAGTAAACGATGTCCTTACGCATCCTCTTCTCAGGAGCTTATGGCGGACGTCTAAGACAACGTAGGCCAGTTTCTTGGCCCAGGCTGAAAAAATATTTCTTACCTTGGTGATTTCATTTTCTTCACACATGCGAGGCTATAAAAATAAACCATTTTCTAATGACGGAAAAAATTCAGAGATGAAGGTATCTTGGCAGCAAGGCATTCTTCCTTATATGTAGCTACTATTTGTTTTGAGGCTGCAAGGATAACAAGGGGGTGGTATTTAGTCTTTTCCAAGTTGCTCATGAATTTCTGGTTTTCATTATCTAATTTTATCTAACCATTTTGAAACCTACTCTTCACTTTAATGGCCTCATTGCTAGGTTTCTCTCTTCAATTAAATCAATTAATACAAATGCTCTTGAACTGGGTTCCACAACATTCTTTGGCTCTAGCCAGCTCAAGAGTTTCCTATAAACAATTATTCAAGGCCCATATCTCTCAGTTGTCAACCCAATTAGAACAATATCTTTTACGTTTTGGCTTATGGCTGTAGAATGCTATTACATTTTAACTTCTATTAATGGTGTGGATTCTTTAGCTCTAAGATGCAGTCATCTTGAGATGTGGAAGTGCTTGAATCCTCATGAGAGAAACATTGAATTTTATAGTTACATGGTTTTTAAGAAGAATAATTTTATAATTTTCTCATATAATTATTATTTTTCATATTCTGTGTTTTTTAGGAATCTTTTGACTATTAGAGAATATTCACCTAACAACTAGTTTAGGGGGTATTGCTTTTCATTGTTTTCCTTTTTTTTATTTTTAACTCTTCTTGTGCTATTACTCAACTGTCTTCCTTGTTGTATGCAAAAACATGAAATCATGCATGGAAATATGTTCGAAAAATTCTACGTAAATTTCTAAATTTATGTCATTGCATTTGAAACGTAGTCAAACATTTTAAGATCATGAATATTTTAAAATATTTTTAATGTAAAAAATATCATTTTACCTTTGAAAAAATTATTTCTTCGAATTCAAGACTTGTTCTTTATAGATGAGTTTCATGCGATTACTTCTGTCATAAATTGGATCCAATCTCCTCATAAATTGGATACAAGTGAAAAGAGAACTCTTCTTTACGATTAGACTCATTTCTACCTGGTTATTTCTCCATCACGTACTAGGTTGTTTTGGCAAGACGCTCCTGCAAAGCCTACTTGACTGAAACACCCTTCGCTTCGCTGCTCCTCTCTCTCGTTCCCTTCACGTTCATCCAGCCAGCGCCGTTGCGCTGCTGAACCTGGTGGGGGTCAGGAATTATCCCGCTTTACCTCTTTTAGCCCGAACCCTTCGCCTAAGAAGGACAAGAGAGAGAACCCGTTTCGCAGACACTTTGGGGCACCCGGCTCAAGGATAGAAATGGAGAAGAGCGATGGAGAGCTAAGCACAAAATTTTTCTATCTTTGTATCTTTTAATTATTAAAATTCTACTACTTCCTGCTCATGTGAGAGAGTGAATACTTCTAATCACAGAAGCTAACATGCTCCTTTGTTCTTCTCTTTCCTTGCTCTGCAGTCGTAAGTTTTCTTTGAGTTTTGGAAGCTGTTTTATTTGGAATATCTGGTGTGGGTCATAAATAGAAGAGTAAATCTTGGTCCCTTGACGCACCCCCCGACGCACGCGTGCCTATACCGGCGGTGCGGATCCAGTCCCGAGACCCGGCACCGATAAGCTGAGGGTGCGACCGGTCTCCTCAGACGTGATACTTCGCGATCTCAAATAGAACATTGATATGATAATATGATGCAACCTGAGCGGGAGGGTCTCCGGAGGAGATGCAGGAGAGCACAGAGCAGAGTGAAAGAAAAGGAGATCAACATATGCCATACGTTACAAGACTGCTCGGGCCGCTTGCCTGTGTCACGGATGGAAACAAGAGCTGCGAGCATGCAGTACCCATGCATGCAGGCTCCGCACTCTTCGTCCTTCTCCTTTCCCACAGCTTGGAGCGAGTGAGTCATTGGCGACAGCGAACGAGGTTTTCGCTCGGAAGCTTAACAGAGAATGCCACCCTACCCACCGCAAACTTTTTTGTCGTGTATTATTTATTACCAAGAGAGAGCGTGACCGCACCAAGACTACAAAAACTACACTTCAAAGCAGAGTAAACATGACGTGCGGCGCGACTAGTTACATAGACTTGCACTTGGGAATATGAAGGAACGAGGAGGTACTCCACGAGAGGCATGACATCTTGGAAAGTTTACCGACAAAAAAGAAAACGTACAGATAGACACCGAGGTAGACGGAGAGCCTAACAAACGGGTACATGGGATACATAGATGGACAGACGGAAGAACAGGTCTTGCGGGCCCGAGTTAAACGCATGTGAATCCAGAAGGCACCGGCATGCCGCAGTAGAAGAGAAGCTGGGCAAGGTCTCCGGAAGTGAGGGCACTAAGTCCGAGGAACCCCGATCTGGCGGCGTAACAGAGGCACGTCGTGCCCTGTTGATCAAATAGTTGGCGGACGACTCGGCAACAAGGGTTGCTGGGGACCAAAAACCCGGACCTAAAACCCCGACGCAAAAAGGAGCACACGCTCAATCTGATGACCTGAAGGCGGCAGAACCAAAATGGAAAAAAAGGGAGAGATGGCGGAGGTGGTGGTGGTGGCGGCGGAGAAGGTGGTGGCGGCGGCGGAGAAGGTGGTGGCGGCGGCAGAGAAGGAGGTGGCGGCGGGAAGGGCGGTGGAGGAGTTCGTCTCCAGAACCACCCTTGGGCTGAAACAGAGGTAAAGAACATCAGGATCAGCAAGAGGACTGCTGTGTAGGTATCGCTTTTGGAACCCATGAGGGGGCAGTCGGACACCCGAGGACTGGTTTTGCACACAAGGGTAAGGATAGACCATATGCTGGGTGAGTGTGAGTCGGACAGGTTGTACGTGGGTGAGTATTTATACAGCACAGAGAGAAGCGCGTCATCAGCGCGAGCTACAGCTCTCTTCTCCCCCGGGGTTTCACTCTGCACCGACATGGTGGGAACGGAATACTCTTCCTATGGATTTACGCGGCCTTGAGGAAATTGAGACCTTCTCATCCGGTAAGTAGAGGCGGCTTTCACATTTATAGGACTCTTATGAAGACTCGCGACAATGAGTTCCAACTTTGATGGCATTGACCGCCAGAGAGCCATTTCACGGATGGAGACTTGCGTTAATGGCGGCATTGGTGAAAGTTTAACTCGGCTCATCCTCATCCAGTACATGTCTGCGTAATAAAAACTTACCTGGCTCATCTTCGTCCAGTACAAATCGTTTTTTACGAATCTTGATGATAAAATCTGGGCGGCAGAATCCAGCATAAAATTTATGTACGCAAGTAAGCTAAGCTTCTCTACGGTTCATCCATGGCATGGCCATCCATAGAACCCATATCAGAGTCGGCACATCAGCATCAATGATCTAGCATTAATGATCTATCCTCGATTTATCGTTTTTTATCATTAAGGGTGCTTCGTTGACATTCAGACATTAAGTTATTGCAATTGACAAGTGGATAAGCTCGTGCAGAAGTCAGACGCTGACTTTCGTTGGGGAGGTCAGTTCAACTCTTTGCTGAACAGTCTGCCTATAGCGGTGTCCACGTGCCGGGAAACACCTAACTTTCCTGACTTTCTCTCTCCTCCTACCTCAATGCACCCCCCCCTCCCGCGTTATTGGACCTAAAGGGGACATTGCTTTCGTGATCCTTTGATATCCACCTACCACGGTGGAAGGAGTTGCCAAGACGAGAGAAGCTAATTTGCAGGCAGATCCTCCTTTTTATGGATATGTTTCGCTGTTTGGCTTAACTGTGACGTGGCTAGAGAAAATATCCATTTGTATCAATTTTGTATAGAGAAAAAGTGAAATGAGAGGTTATATATTGTCACTTGAATGTGCAAATAACTCTACTGCGGTGATAAAGAAGAGATTTCCATTGTGCTACAAGGGGATTACATACTTTCGTGGATTTTTTCAATGTCGAGTTCCTCGTAAATACTCAGAACTACCCATAATGTGTGTTTTCTTGCGATAAGAAACCGTTAACGGCAGTTGAGAAAGCGAGGAAGAAAAATGCCAAAAGAGTTTCGCCAGTTAAATTCCACTGGGTATAGCAGGAAAGAGTTTTTTGGTGGCGAGATTTAGGCATACAGAAGGTCAAGTTAGCCTGCTTTGTAGTTATATATTAGTATGATCGGTAAGCATCGTGGGCCCATTCAACAGGATGAGCATGAAACAGTACGGAGACCATTGTTTTTTCATATCATATTTTATTATTTACGCAGTGTGAATTTTAATCGATTACTTTGAATAAGACTACTTTTCAAAGCACGGTTGTTTGAACATTTTGGAGCATTTCCTAAGGGGCATTTCCTAAGGGGCATGTCTAGCACTACTGGGCCCCCTCAATCGTCGTTCTTCACTCTGGGTCAGCGCATCTCCCGAGCCTCTTCCTCTCCCAGTCAGCTATCCCTATTCCTCCCTTATCAGGTAAAACCCCTCTCTCTCTTGAGCTCACCCCCCTATCCCAGTATCTCTTCCTCTCTCACTATCATCTCTCCTCTTGTCGCTGTTCCTCTCGGCTGCTTCCCTACTATTCCGATCGTCTTCTTCTGGTGAAAAAAACCCAGAAATATGCAGGCCAGTATTCATGTGCTTCGCTAGTGTTCGATGCCGAGGAAGGCATGGTTTTAGATTTGGGGCTATGGTTGGTGGATTACAGCACAATTGACCATAATAACACTTATATTATAACTTGAATAGAATAATCATCATGACGGAGTTGAGAGCATTTTGGTTTTAGTTCCATATAAACTGGGCAACTCATTGATTATCTAGTCCTTATCCCTAAGGCCATAGCTCCTAGAAAACCTTCATTGACTTCGTTTTCAATTCCTATGGTCAAGTATGCAGTTAATTTTAAGAATAATGTTACTATTTGGGTCCTATATTTCAGAATTATCAAAATGTAGTGGCACCCCCATATTTTGAAGGGCATAGCGAAAACATAGGATAATTATTTTGTTGAAGTTAATATGTTAGGAAACTGATCACCTATTTTATGATAACTAATTGTATAAAAATGTAGTTGACCATGATTTGATGAAAGTATAATAACACTTTTGAGATCTGTGTGAAGACATATCAGCCAGTCAAATAAAAAACGTCATAGCGATGTACCATTCTAAGTCATATATGAATTAGGCAAAAGTACATCAAAATAGAGCTTGTAAACCTGTTTCTACATCAAGATAATCACAAGGTTTATAAAATAAAATACATAAAGATGATGTAAAACATGAAGCTTGTTATATGAGGTACCCATAGTAGACAGCTTCAAAAGATGTGCCGATTGGGTGGATGTCAACCATTTGGTATAGTGTATGGTTGAAACAAGTTCTTTATCTGTATACAATAAAATTTTATGTAATGGCTTGTACCTACCTATCTTTCATGAAGTACTTATTCTAATAGAATGCTCAACATATCTTACGGACAATAAACAACCCACTTGGTGATTGAAAATGGAATAGAATCAAAACTATCAATCATTTAGGTACTATAAGTTAAATATGTATATTTGTGAAGAAACTGTAGACACTAATTATCAAATGCATTGCAAGGAGCAAATGCCAGTCACACAAACACTAAATACTCACATAAATCAGTAGGTTAGGAAAATAAGCATGTAAATATTTATAATTATACTGCCCAAGTTCATTTTGGTGTATTCTTGCTGTTATGAAATGATGATTGTATAATAAAAAGAAAATCACATTGATGATTGCATTTGTTCTCCTTAATGTCATTTTTGTCTTATAAACATCAACTTTGGTCTTCTTATAGAACAACTTTCATTTGAAGGTTTGACAATAAATCTTAGAATTATGATTTATTATTATTATTATTATTATTATTATTATTACTCGTTAACTAGTGGACTGTTATAACGGCCCACTAAGAGGGGACGTTTTTTTTTCATACCAAAAATGTAAGTCTGATTGTAAATGTGTTACCCTCAATAGTATGGATGTGCCCAAGATATGAAAGAAAATAAATTATATCCAAAATGAAAAGTAATTACTAATAAGTGATGAAAAAAGATATGCACGCTTTCGAGCTATGCTTCTACATCCACGAAGTGATCTAGAGATGTTTCTTAGCAGAAGAACAAATGTAAGGAGCCTTCAAAAGACCTGGATCTTCTTCTTTGACTTGATGTCGAATGTCTTCTTCTTCAAGTACGAAGGAAGACCCAAAACAAAAAGTCAAAAACCCCCTGTCTTCTTCTCTCACCAAACCCAGATGCTCCCTTGGATCCTTCTCTGTTGATGGACTGTGGTGGTCATAGCCAAAGTTGCTAGAGATGCAGCATGACAGACATGATTGGTGACCCTGCTGGGGTTATCAATCTCAACTGATGTTGATTAGAGAGAGAGAGAGAGAGAGAGAGAGAGAGAGAGAGAGAGAGTTTATTATTTTATATAAAATGTCACTTTCACTAAAGGTCCTTTTTGCATAATTTCTCATTGTTTAAAAAATATAGGAAATTATGTATGACTAGGCTACAAAGAAGAAAGTAATGGCATCAATTGGAGGAAAAACAGAGCAATATCTGATTGCAAACTTGCTCCATTAGTAGTATATATTACTAATGGTTTTTGTTTCACTAACTAGATATAGGCAAGTACTCATTAGTAGAGACAGAATCAAAGGCTTGATGCAAAAGCGTCACAAACTCACCATTTTTCCTAATTTAAGCAGTATTTTCATGGATTGTCCTTTCTTATTTGACAACCTAATTTGTTTTCTTGATTGAACCCAACTTCTCTTGACATTTATAATAGATACATAAAAAACATGAGTAATCAACCAAGATCATAAAAGAATAGAGTTGAGATTGCATAAAATAAATCAGAAAAAAACCTAAGATTAAGAGGGTCGATGAAGCTACCCCACTTAAACTGGGTATGAGATACTTTGAAGTAGCCTAACAGAAGAACCCACTTTCATCTCCCTCTGTGATATCTAAATCCCTAAGTATGGATGCTTCCTCACAGAATCACACAGGAGCTGCTGCCTTCTCTGTCGGCTCTGAACCCTTCTCTTCATCGCCATTAAGCCCATTCTGAAGGATCCTCTGCTCAGAAGGCAAATTCTTCTTGGCCTTCCTGCTTCCTTCAACCTTCCACAGATCCCACACCCGGGTCTTAGGGGGAGCTATCAAGTCTCCGATTGGGGCCACCAAGCCCGGCTTGCCATCATCTATGACTGCATCAACCAGGCCATACTCCATTGCCTCCCAGGGATTCATGAAGTTGTCACGATCTGTATCTGCTTCGATCTTCATGAGCAAGAGAGCAACAAATGATCGTTCAATCATCCAATTTGGAGAACAACCATTCAAATAATAATAATACCCTTTTTTATTGATACTATTAGTAGTAGAGGATTAGGTTTATGGTCGCAAACCTGGTGTTCAGGCTTTCCTGTGATCCTCGAGAATATTTTGTTCAGTTTGACCTTGTGGTACATCATTTCCCTTATCTGAAGCCCCATCTCTGTTGTCTGTATTTAGAAAGAAATCAATAAGAAGCTTCAGCAAGAGAAGATCATTCTTCTACGTGCTGTTGTAGAACCCATTGGATTCAAGACACCGACAAACAAAAGGAGATCGAGAGAATAAATGGAACAAAATTGAGACAGAATGTGATAGGCATGTTGGCTGTTAAGACCCCTTCTGATCCTAGCTTCCCCAACATGACTTCATCAGTGAAGCACATCATGGAGAAACAGAAGGTGATTCTGCACCATCTCTTAAATTCCAGAATCATGAGTGATAGACTTATTTTCATTTGAGAGCAAGAACCACCAGCTTGAATCCGATAATGGCGGAAAAGTAAAACACACACAAGCTAGACCCATTCCAGACATGGGAGTTCATGGTGCAAGTTGTCACTTCACTGGGTTATTTATAACGTCTAGATGGCATGAGCATGTACAGACGTGGAGCCCTGAAAAGATGATCCATCGGCAGGTGAAAGTCTCCAGTGACCCACAAACTCCCAAGAAATGTTGTGAAAAAGAGAGCCTTTACCTTGCCTCCTGCAGTTCCTAGCGGTTGATGGATCATAACTCTTGCATTGGGCATGCAAAAGCGCTTCCCTTTTGTTCCAGAAGCAAGAAGAAATGCACCCATAGATGCTGCAAGACCAAAGCAGACAGTAGATACGTCTGCTTTGCACAGTTTCATGGCATCATATATACCCATGCCTGTAAGCGGAAAGTATCGAGTTCATTAGGACAAAAATTAAGATAGAAATCCAAACTTTGATACAGAGCATAAGTTTAAATAATGGCCAGAGATAAAAAAAATTGATTATGTATAAAATTTGATTATTAGGAAAAAATTGAGGAAAAACTTGAAATCAAAAGAAAATCACTCTAATTTCATGATGTTTTGCAATTCACACAATGTGCAGGCCGCAAAAAACAACCCATATGCTGATTTCCTATGAGAAATATGAATTCCTTCAGTAAACAAAAGGATGAACAATGACAAAAAAGTTGACTTTCATGAGCCTATAAATAAAAACTAAATATACGAAATTATTGATGCCTGTCACAGGGTAATATCATAGTTTAATTGCAAACAGTTAACCCAAGTAGTGCGAGTACGGGAAAAATAGTAAACTCAAATTTGTTAGTAAATCATTCTCATACTAAAACTATCGATGCATTCTATTTTAAGACGGGAATATGAGAAATCATGCATCTCCATATGTTGTTCAGCACAATCCCAGAGTTAAAGCAGAATGGAAAAGTCAGCCCAGAATCAATGAGGAGGGAATGCTGGAATATTGCAAATGAACAAGAAAGAAAAGGGGAAATGGAAAGAGGTCAAGTTAAAGTCAGATCAACAAAGGCTCATGTGAAGCAACCTGGAGCTAGTCCCAGTGGAAATGTTGGAAAGTACTGTGAAGAAACCATAGCATAGGGAACATGAGTAAAGAAAGGACATTAAGGCACACCTAACAATTGTACCTCAGGTTGGGAGTGGTATCTCAGCAGATTTTCGTACTGTTAGAGACGTAGTCAAGATCCACAACTGAGAGAAGCTAGTAGCATGAAAGCATCATCTAACTGTTTTGTTCTATCCAACGTATGATAACTTTATCAATTATGGTCCTCAAGGATCAGGTAGTAAATAAGCCTTTGCCTGCATTAGCAGCTACTGGACGCATTGAACAAAAGTTTCCACCAATGGCTTTACTTTTCTCAAAATCGTCTCGCCCCTTCAAAACCCCATAGCAAAGCTCCCATAACCCGAAGTTTGACAGAGATGACTCACGTTGTAGAGTCCTCCAGCGCTCAAAAATTGAGAGGAAAATACTGACTACGATTCTGAGCTGAATCCTCACCCTCTTGAAGGAAATGGAAGAGAGTTGACCACAGGTGCCTACACCATGATATAAAACATATTAAATCCCTATGGAATCCAGAATCACATCACAACCTATTTATGTAATCACACATACCCCAGTATCTAATCTCTGCATTCCCTTTCAAACTCTTGGCCATGCTATGAATCTCCACGGCCAACTCTTCAAATCTCATGTCACCTTCATGAAACATGACACAACGTAAGACAGTGGAGCAACAACTCCAGTCTCAATTCCGCCTTCAATACATCTAATGCTGACCAGCACCATAGCAGAAAGACCATTATTGCTCTTTTTAAAGAACCAGAAGCCATATCATCTCCTACATTCGGAGCTGCAAAATGACTCTTACGAATTTTCATTCCACTGCTGGACCCACTAGTGTCATTTTTTTTTTCTTCATATAATTTATTCGTTTCCCCTCAGTAATGGTGCAATCTTTCAACCATCAACTATACTGCCGTTTCTAAATTCAATCAAAGGAGATGACTAGATTCCAACATCAAAAATTTGAAACAGCCGATCAGAAATGTGGCTCTATGAAAGATAAAGCTTTGGCATTGACTTCAACAATGAGAAAGAAAACTTCCACTTTAACTCTTTCCATCCAATTCAGTGACATGAATCAAATTAGGAAATGATTCGTCAAACGAAGACACCAATATAGCGATACAATAAATTACTCTCAATCTGCACCAGATAATGTAGTTCTCTTGCAACTTAACAGTTTCACTGTTCATTGTCCAAGCTTTCGAAAGAACCTCACTCTATTTCAAAAGGTAAAGGATTATCTTAGACTCTTAAAAGGTTAGGCATGAGGAACAGGCTCATCAGACTAGTAAATTTCCATCAGACAACTCTCTTTTTGATCACTCAACAAAAATGGGCCGTGAAGAACATAGAGGGGGATAGGATAGGCAGTTTCTCAGATCGAGAATGAAGCAAACATGGATGTTAGTTGGAGTCAGCAATTTTCCTAGGGTATGTTCATCCGAGACAGAATCACTAGACTATTGAGAACCCATCATAGAGGCGTCGTAATTCATCACTCTCCACAAGCACACCAGCTCAGAAGGACGTTATTCAGTCACACTAATGGAAAGCACTAACACATCACAGAACACCCTGATTCCTTGCTACACGTTAGACCAACTCCTTTTTCGACAGAAAGTTAATTAAAGTATAATGTTGCCATCTCCTAATAATGATTTAATTGCCCACCCTCTTGCATAATCTCAAAGGCTTATGAGACCTCTTCCTTCTATGTTCTCATCTTTAGCGCATCATAAAGTGGAAGATTCTGCTGGTTCTAAGAGCTTCATAGACAGTATTCTCTTAGATATCAACCATCCCTTCTAGCGTCAATGAATCTTGATTACAAAAGCATCATCTTCTTGACTCACAACTCAAAAGAAAGGAGATAAAACTACATTTCTACACTATTAGTACATGCCCTTCTAAATTCCAGTAAGAACCTGTGGATCCAAAAGAATCCACAAGGGATTGGCCATTATACGTAAGGAATATAGCAAAGTCAATCGTCACTCTGTTTCAGAATTTTCATTGAAAGAACATGTCGTAATTGATTGGATACACTAAAATTTAATATGCTGCGCATTGATAATCTAGTGAGTTGCAGAGCATACCAGCCGTCACAGAACCACCGGGTGAATTAATAAACAACTTGATGTCTTTCTCCTGGTCTTCTGCATCCAGAAATAGAAGCTGACTGATGATCAAATCTGCAGTCATTGTGTCGACCTATGCATCAACCAGGAAAACCCATTTAATAAAAAAATATTCAAACCTGAATTAAACGTAACGAATCTGAGGATCTTAAAAAAATGCTCCTCCATTCATACGTTTAACATAGAAATCTAGGAATTGTCATATTACACAAATATCTAACGAATAAAGAGAATGAAAAATCGAATAGCATTCCCTAAAGAGTGTATCTGGTCATCAACCGAATATCCATATCCCATCATATGGTCACCAGTAGAAGAGAAGAGAACTAATACACCACCATCTATGGACCATGGCCGACAGAAAACTTTCAGCTTTTGCTATTAAGGAGACACTGGAAAATACTGGCATTAATTTCAAAACATAGAAACAGTCAAATTTTTGGAGCCGCTGGAACTTTCTGTGCGTTTGAAGATAGAGGGGACCTGAGAACCCAAGAACACGATCCTCTGCCTGAGAAGCATGTTTGTCGAGTCCAAATCCTCCATTCTCGGCATCCATGGCCCGACAGAGACGGCCGACAAATCCCATCCGCCGGACAACGTTCTCCCGCGGCTGCTGGTATCGGCAGACGCTTTGACGAGGATAGGCCTCCCAATCGAGGAAGAAGCTGGCGCTGCAGTGTTGTTACGGGACCGGGAGGATCTGACGAGGCCACGCGAGAGGAGACGAGGAGGATGAACGGGAGCAGATGGGGCCAGATAAGAGATGGCTTCCATGGCTGTCGCCCTTCGCCCAGCCAGCAGCTCGTATGAGTTCGCAGGAGTATTCCGATATCTCTCAAACGCGATACCGAGGATCAGATGAATCGCATTTTGGAAGCCGCCCTCTTCTGAGCCAAAGGTGCTCAGTGGTCAGTAGGAAACTCGCCGGGGGTGAAAGAAGGTGCTACGAAAGGCGGTACGTGTATCTCACTTATCCAATTCTAACATAATATTTTATATTTTTTAATTAATTACGTGGTATTCCTCGGCCGGGGGTTGCGCACGGATTTGGTGCAAATCGATGGACACGACGCTGGAAACCTTGGCGGTACGGTCTCTTCAGCCGCGACTGAGGCGATTCGCTGTGTTACATGTGGACTCACCAACGGATCGGTCCGCTTCTCCGTAGAACGGGGCAAGCTCACCGAGTCTAGTTATAAGAAGAAACCCGGAATCGGACCCCCCCTCCCCTTCTTCTCCTCTCTCTCTCTCTCTCAAGCTCGCTCTATCTCTCTCGGCGCTCTCCGTCGATCGTAGAAGAAAGGCGTCGTCCCTTGGCCGGAACTGGAGGTGAAGTCTCGTCTACATATCATGGCGCTCGTTCAAAGTTCGTCCAGCTGAATTCTTTTCAACGCCGTTCTGGACCTCCTGCACTTCCCGACCGACTGCTTTCAAGCTGGCTTGGGAATTGGTGTTTTTTTTTCGGGCTGAACGGCTCTCATGTGCAGCATTGTGCGCTTAAATTCAAATTTTATCCTCGGCAATTCTTAGAGTTCCTCCTCTGGAAAACAATATGTATCAATAATCAGAGGGGAAAGGAGAGCGCGTCCAACCTTCCGCTCTTCGGCCTTCTCTTGTTCTTTAGGATTGTTTCCGAATCTCATGTTGTTCTCTTGCTCTCCTCTGCTAATGTTGTGATTACTCATTTGGTGACTGCCTGGTGAAGGGATCGTCCCTTGTTCCTTCTACTATTCGAACGCTGCCACACGTATTTTCTATGCGGCTCATTGGTTGGGACGGGAAAAAGATAGAACCTCAATATTAATGGATATAACTACAAGTTCTGCAGGCGTGAATGAATGGCGCGGTGTTTCAGTGTCCGCTTGTAATGCATCCATTTGCCAATCGTCACCATGCTCTGGAATTGAAGTGTCAATGGTATCATACTGATCTATATTTATAAACATATCGAACAAGTAGTGAACACAGTGATTGGGAAGTTCGGAAGGTATCAGAGTAACTTGGGATTCTTTTAGTAAAACTCCGTACATAAACATGTTCATGTGTTTTTCTTGCTCAAGAATAAACATGTTGTGCATGTTTTCATATTGCTGTCTGTGTGCTGTATAAATCATGCCATTGATTTATTAAATTAATTATTCCATTCGTAAATCATATTTAATGCAAAAGAGCCATCTTAGCAGTGACAATAGTCCTCAAGAGCCATTCCTATCTCTCATTATCGCGAATTTCATCCCCCACTGATGAGTAACCCATGAATTAAAGGGATAGATGCCTGCCTTGCTCTTTAATGTGTATCGTTCTGAGTCATGTGGTTTCTACGAATAACCAGGTCTCCTTGTCAGAATTGCTTGTTGTCAGTCTGCTGTTTTTTTTTTCACTTTTCACGTGATAACTTTAACTATCTCCTCACAGCCGTTGACAATATTTTATGTATGCGCAGTCAAACATGGGAACGGAAATAGCAGAGGGTGCAACTGATGACCCTGCAAGAGAGACGTCTGTTAAGCATTCTGGGTTCTTGCGGAACTTAAATGGGGACGTCAGTTCTGTTGAATTTGCTGCACAAGAGGCTGTTTTACGTGAGCAAGTATGCTTTTTGAAAACCTCGGACGCTGAATGCAGATTTTTTTTTTTGTGCTACTTTGTTTCTTCTTTTAGCAGTTTGTATTAAAGGTTCTCCATTTGTCAAAACCAGGAAATCAGTATGCAGCAAGTCATACATAGTCAAAGGTAATCCATCACTATCTGTTCTATCATTCCTTGTGGTGTAAGGATTTGTACTAAGCAGTTTTGTCAGCAGGATCCCTTAACAATTGAAAGTTATGACTATTCATCGTCTGTCACCAACCAATGTTCATTGTGGCTCATTATTTTTCTGAATGCTATCTTTATTCCTGTTTTCGTTAACCTAGGCAAGCAAGAAGCACAAACGAGTCTGTGGAGAATAACAAGGACATTCTCTTTGAACGCCATGATCCCAATGCTCTAAAGGCTTGTTGCTCCCCTCTCCTGTTGCTAGTAAAAGCGATGGATCTCTTGTTCATATTTTGATACTTTTGGTGGTCTGACTTCTTTTTCAGGGTGTTCTTCTCAGGATGGCTACGGACCATCGAGCAGAAGTTGTGGCCAAACGGGGACAAACACCCCAGTCCAATAATGGTTAGCCTTGAATATATACACGTTCTTCTCCTGAGAATGATGAATTATATTTTGTAATTCTTTTATGTACATCGCTGAAAGTTTTTTTGAAAGGAAAAATCAAGTGCTGAGCAACTGCAACTTCAATACTCATAACCTTTCATTTATAGCCTTGCAGTAATCGAGAACTATCTGACTGTGTCACCTAGGAACAATCTCAATGAAATAGTAATTGCTTTTGCACCTTCACCACCCTCCATTCTCTCTCGTGTTAAAGAATTTGATGTGTTAGTACACTGCGTTGGAGGGCAAATCATTTTATATATTTGTTTCACCTGCACTGTTACATGATCATCTGTGGTGGATATCATGGATATTTGCAAACAACTGAAGCCTTCTCAGCCCTTTCGTTACACTGGAAGAATGTATCATTTCTTGAACTAAGATTCAGCCAAAGTCCTTTGTCAAATATTTTGTTGGACTGTTGTTTAGAATTTATCAATGTGGATTTGATGAAGCAGTGACAACAGTGTGAGCTGACATTTTCCATTAATAATATTTACGATAGACTGCATTTTAGTTTTTATAATCCCTCTCGACATCTATGATACTGCATCGAGGTTCTTTAATTTTTTTCCCGGATTGTAAACTATCTTGCCAACCGTCCTCTTATATTGGACATTACCACCATATGACAAAGCATAGGATATTGGTTCTCTTTTTTGTGGTTCAAATTTATAAGCTGGTTTTTCGCTATTCTCTGAGATTTTCAAGGCACCATTGACGAAGTGCGTAGATAAGAGATAAATTTGATGTTTTAGTGAAAAACTGCTCTTAATTTATGATATTCCTAACATCAACCTTATTTGTTTGAAGCTTTTTCCCCTATTGTGTCTCATGCAAAATAAACTAAAAAATTACTTAGTTTGTTATTTTTCTTGAATCTATATTGTTTATCGTTTTTCGACATCCTACTGCTCTCAAAACTACTGCCGTAAATAAACTAATCCTTCTCCCGGATAACCAGTCATTGTATGGCTCCCTATTATTTTATTTAAATTACATTTGCAGACATCATCGTTTCTCTACAATATCATTATGATTCCAAATTCCCCCTCTCCCTTGCTGAAAGAAAAAAATATTATTTGTATGTGAGGATTTTCCACATCTACATCCCAGAAAGGCAATGGATGAGAAAGGATGGATCTATAATGTGGACCTCTGTTAGAAAATTCCTTTTTTTGGCACGGTAGAGCTCACTGAAGACCTCTTAGAAAATGATATAAGCACCTTGGCCTCCTCTGATGGCGGGTAGAGTTCCTTGAAGTCGGTATGGAGGGTGGGACAAGGGTGTTTTGTTGGGACGGCAGGAGAGAATAAGAGACTGTGATTGGGATCAGATCTCACATTATCGGAGTCGGATCTCAAACTAGATGTACGATGCATGTTCTCCCTTACCATCTTCCTCTTGTTTGTTTCTTCTTGTTCTTCTTGTTTGATCCCTTCTGAGTTGTGAGAAGACTTGCCGTTCATGGATTGGCCATGGTTGCATGTTGAAAACCATTCCAAGTGAGATCGGATGAAACCTAGTTACTTTGTCTCAATTTTGTGAAGAAAGATTGTATTTTCTATCTTGAAGTGGATCAGAATCTTCCAATTCCGTGTTTTCTATGCGGATGGAATACCTGGGAGTAGGGAACCACATGAATTCATTTATTAAATTTCCTGACGGCATCTATTCTGTATTCTTATCTCTGACGAATCTCAAGTAGAGTACAGACTGGAAATGAATGAAGTTTAAAGTGGTTATTTCATAGGTGAACTGTGAAGGGTTTTATTCACACATGAGGAATAATTTACGAGGCTTATGCAAAAAACTAAAGTCCTTTGCTGAATATAGCACAAAAGGACGAAAAGGTTTCGCATGTGCATTACTGATCTAATTTGAAATGTGAAGAAGTAACTTGCAGGTACGTTTTTGGTTTCCTCATCTGACGTGATGTTCCTTTATAGGCAATGTGGAAATTGGTAATGGCTATGGTGTTCCTGGTGGTGGTGCATACTATGCTTCGATACCCTTATCTGGTGAGTTCGGTCTCGTGTCATTGCCAACTTGACTTGGCTTTTCTGGAGGTTTAAACAGTTTTGTGAGCTCCTTTTTCAATAACTCAGGAAAATCTAATGATGAAAGTCATGTAGAACTGCCTGAGATAGAGCCTGAAGCAAAGGGAGCTCCAAAAGAGTTGCCTGAGTATCTGAGAAAAAGACTTAAGGCTAGGGGACTTCTTAAAGATGGCATGACAAGTGATTGCGCGACTACTGAGAAAGTAAGCCATCCTGATTTCTTTTTCAGTAAAATGTGTATTTCTTATACCTCATCATCATATAGAGAAGCGTACATGTGCATTTTCACAAGAGCACTTAGGAGCATTCATGCAAGTAGGAATTAGAAAGAGCACAATCATAGCTAATCTGAGAAGCTCATTTTTCTGCTTAATTATTTGAAAATATGTCTTTGACATGCAAATTAACAATCCTCTGTCTTGCTGTCTTTTTCCTTAGTAACAGCCTGTATTGATTATGAGTTTCAGACCCCGGAGTCTCTTACAATTGATGGTACAAGTGTCCTGAAGCTGCCACCTGGTTGGGTTAGTCTATGCTGATTACTATCTTTTATTCCGTGTCCTTTGGGTATATGTGATAAGTCTGATGTGTGGATTTTTTCATGATTAAATATTGTTCATCAATTCTATTGCTAGGATGTCTAAATTCAGTATTTTTCCGACTTTATTTTCTACTCTTGTTAGCTTTTATTTTTCACATAATTCAATTCATGGAGGATATGTGATATTTGATGAAAGAGATGAATTTTCCTTCTATGGCAACAATGCTTTAAATGCGGTTAAATACCATAATACTTAAGGCCTGAAACTTGATTATGTTTTTTTTTTGTACTGACCATAGCACAGTATTCTAATTTGAACGGCTATCCGCATCTTTTCTTCGTGATTGCTATTCACTCTCCCTTTGGGCCTTCGCATTAGTATCCTTCTTCCTTGCACACATAATGTTTTAACTACAGTTTTGTAGAGTAAAAGGGAAGTAATGAATCCTAAAATCATGAGAGCTATGGGATCAAAAACCTTATATTAAATGTTTGCCTTTAGGGAAAACCTCACTTAAGTATCAATAGTTATCCCTGTATCTTCTTTCACCTTTGAAGAATCTGAAAGAAATATGTTAAAAGTGTTGCGAAAGGTAAGGTTTCTTTTTTCTTTATCATCTGACTGTGATGGCTGTACCATTTTGTGTTCTTCCACCTTTCTAATTAGATTTCAAGAACATTTTGAAAGATTTGAGCGTCAATATTGATCCTTTGTACCCAGATGAATTATTTTCATCCATTCTTACACCATTTTCTCTCTTGTAGGCTGAAGCAAAGGATCTCGCTAGTGGATGCACATATTTTTATAACGAGAATACAGGAGAAAGCCGTTGGGAACGTCCAGTTGAGTGTGTTCCAAGTTCCCAGCTTCCATTCCCCCAGCCATTTCCAGATACTCCTCTCCTTCAGTCATTGCCAGATGGCTGGGAAGAGGCCCTTGACAATTCGACTGGTATCTGCTGTCTCTTTCTATTTCTTTCTTGAGTTTAGAGTCCACTGACTAAATTATTACTTCAGCATAAATTGAATTTTCCATAAGATGCTCCATAATATCCTATCATTGGAAGATATGTGATCGTAACTTCATAAAGAATGTTCTCTTTTAGAACCTTATCTCGGAACTTAATATTAAATTATTTATTTCTGAGGAGAATACTGCAGATTGTCATGCCTAATCGGCATTTTCATAACTATTACTTGGGTTTATCTAATAGAAACTGTCATCTGTTTAACACCAATTCATTAGAAGATTCTGTCTGTGTATACTTCGGATGTCTCTATGTGGATTAGAAAAAGAGTTCTAGTTTTCTCTAATCGTCATAATTCCAAGCCTTCTAGCATCAGTTTGGATTGTTTGATGTCAGCCTGATAGGATCAAACAGGACCCTATCTAGGACCAGCAACTAGATTTCACAGACGAAGATAATAGAGATGAACGAAAATAACCCACTGAGATAAACAAGAGGTAAGAACGGAAAAATGGAAGGGTTCCCGAAGGAAACCCTAGAACAGTATGTGACAAATTTGAGAGCGCCCACTCTCGCACTGACTTCCTCCATAAATGCCCCCATAATGTGGGCCCCAAAGGTCCTTATACGTCCTCCTTACTGGGCGCCTTGGCCCACCTATGACTTATTATTGGAAGGTCTAGGTCGTAAGGAAATACTGTAAGTGACTGAGGATATTTTGGGACAGTTGGCTAGGGTTCCTCCCTATATAAGGAGTGTTAGAGTTGAATGGAAATTGAGGTGGTTTTCTGTCATTCTCCCCTCTGTTCTCCGTGACAGTGGTCGTTCTCCCTGTACCTATGTTTTTCAACACTTACCCTTCCCTCTCCGGGTGTAAGTAAGCAGGGCAGTGGGCCTGGTAATAGGCCCAATAGTTTTAATCCTAACATAGCCAGCTTGAAGGAAGCACCTGAGTGCACCTCATAGTGAACACCGATCTGTATGTGCTGTGTTGGGTTAGAAGTAAAGTTGGCAATTAGGTTTCAAGAGAAAATATGACCCTTGTGTGTGTGTTCAATCATTAGTCTTGAATCAACTGATTATGATCCTAGTTTGAATGGGATTGGGCTTCTCAGATTCAAATTCATTTCCCTGGATGATAACCTCACTGGAGATAATTGCGATTGGTTGTCTGAAGACCAACAATTCTTTGAAAGGAGTTTTAGACAAGAGGGAGATTAGTCTGAATGTTGGGCTACAGTCTTTCAGATCATCTTTTTACTTGATTACATCGTAAACTTCACTTAACGCCCTTTGATGAATCTAGTTGATCTGGAAAGGGCCTTATTATGTGACATTATTCAGTTGGCATGTTGCTCTGCTTGATCATTCTTTTTTTCCAGGCGTGATGATTGCATGTATTTTAATTTTACGATGCAAACTTGGCAACTTTGAATGACATAATATTTTCGTCATAATGTTTCAACCAAATCTTTATAAGAATTGGTTTCTACTCAAGCTGTTTGTATTGTGGTCCTCACGAGTCAGTAAATCCCAGCAGCTTTTATTAATGAATATTTTATTTTTTTTAGGTCAAAAATACTATTACAATACAAAGACACATGCCACACAATGGGGGCGACCGGTTTCAGTCAGACAGGGTCCCTCAGCTCATACTAAGCACCAGATTGTCTCTGCTGCGAAGTATACTAATGGTAACAGTAGAGTTTCTCCTTCGCAAAAATGCAAGGGATGTGGTGGATGGGGAGTTGATCTCGTGCAACAGTGGGGCTACTGTAACCACTGTACAAGGTAAGCTAGCAAATTATCCTCAAACCTCCATCAGCCTTACCTTCTTTTGTTGTTGACCATTTTCCCTGCACCTAATCCTCTTTACGAGGAGTGAACATATTTAATTAGTGCAAATATTCCCCATCCAGTTTTGATATATTCAACAATAAAACTACAGGGACTTACTGGATTAGTAGTTAATTGAGATTGGAATTGCAGGGTCCTTAATCTTCCCTTTCAATCGAATCCTACTTCCACCTCCAGTGATCTTCAGCAAATAGGAAATATATCCAAGGACAGGTCAGGATCTGCTGTACCAAAACCAAGGTATGTCACCTTGAAGTGTGTTGACCTCTCAGAATTTTGTATCTTCATGTACCATGTATGTCTTAACGGCAATAAAAAGAAACGATTTTCTTTTCATGTCATTTTCAAGAGGTTGAATTTGGCTGAAACTATGAATTTTTGGAATTGCTTAGGTCAACTTTCAAACCTCCTCTTGGTAAAGGCAACAAAAGAGGGGGAAGGAAACGTGCTTTCTCTGAGGATGATGAATTAGACCCTATGGATCCTAGTTCATATTCAGACGCTCCTCGTGGTGGTTGGTAAGCTGCCAATGTTCTTTCACATTTATTCCTTTTCAAAATCCTTTGGTTTGTTGGCCAATTTTACAAGATTGGTGAAATTTCACATGTCAATGTCTAGAGAACGAAAATTGAAGTTCGGAAATTAAGAAAAATTATTAAATTAATAAAAAAATTCCTCTAGAGGTTGATGCAATGTAAGCACAGGATAAAATATCAGAAAAGTAAATATTTTAGTTGATAAATATTTTTTTCGAGATTTACATTTACCAAGAGTTTATTCATACCTTTAACTTTCTTCAAATCGTGCAATATAATACTGATATTTTTTGTAGTATGATCCTCCGACTTACTCAAGTGATAGCTTTTAATGTCAGAAAAATAAGAAAGTGGCTAGTAATTACCGAATATTTATCTACTAATAGATCAGTACGACGTGATTTTAGAATGACATGTAAAAATTTTATGCATGCGTTTGCCATCCCACATTTTATGCACTGAGATCTTTTTTTTTAGCATAAATCCAACTGTGAAATCAGCTAATATCTGGCCATGAACAGTATCATGAAACTGAGAAGACTAGATCCTGCCTTGCTTTGTGTTTCTCTATGTCTACTCATGGTGAAGCATGGGTGAAGCTTTTTAGCAGAAATATAACTGAAATGAGCATCCGAGTCATCAATGGAAATGACAAGGGAGATCTCACAGTGTATGTCGTTGTCCCACGGTAATGATTGATATGCTTACGTACTTTAACTTTGCAGGGTTGTTGGCCTAAAAGGTGTTCAACCAAGAGCTGCTGATACGACTGCCACTGTATGTTTGTCTCATACCCCTTGAAATTCTTACACCTTTAATTCTTAATATATATATATATATATATGTGTGTGTGTGAAATATGATTATTCAGTAAATCATCAAATCATTACGATATCGAGATATTTATGCCAGTTTAGGTAAAACATGCGTGCTTTGTTCCCTCTCTCCTTCATTGTATGATAATCCTATCTTACTTCAACCTGCCAGTTATGGAGAAATTTGTAAGAAAATAAAGAACTTAATTTTCCTTTCAAAATTGATATTTATTTAATTGGACGTTGCCTCCATCTCCTACAGGGGCTTTAAAAAAATAAACCTTGAAAGGGGTCGAATTTTGTTATGAATTCATACAACTCGATGGATAAGATTCATCTGATGGAATGTTTAATGTCCGAGACCCCATTGCTTGTTTGTGCTTGTCTTCCCAGGGCCCTCTGTTTCAGCAGCGTCCCTACCCATCTCCGGGTGCTGTTCTCCGGAAGAATGCCGAGATTGCTGCCCAGAGCAAGAGACCAGGGTCTAACATGGCTCCCATATCCAAGAGAGGAGACGGCAGTGATGGGCTCGGTGATGCAGATTAAGCAGCAAGCACTCCCTCTTTCTCTTTTATATCGGTGTTTGATCGACGGCGATCCTGTCCGAAGGCAAATGGAGCTGAAAAGCTTTTTGGCCCGAGCAGACCTGGGAATCGAAGGACTGGAAGAATCTGTTGGGTTGAAGAGAGCCTCTGAGAAAAAAGAATCCTGCTTTAGGGACGACCGCCCTTTGTTAATTCCTGGTGCCTTCCGACCCTTTTTTTTATTTTTTGCTAGCTTTTATTTTGTCTAAGATCATGTTGGTCTCTCTCTCTCTCTCTCTCTCTCTCTCTCTCTTTCTCTCTCTCTCTCTTGAGCAGATCTCCAAATCCGAATGAAGACCTTGCGTGTGGGTTTTGATTGTTCCTAGAGGCAGGAATGATGGGCCTTGTGAATTTATGTTGCCTTCTTGCCCCTTTTTTTTTATTTGTATAAGAACATGCTGCTTCACTCTCTCTCTCTATCTCTTTGTATATATCTATCTATCTATCTTCCTTCCTCCTTGCGTGTGGAGTTGGATTGCTCCTTGAGATAGTCTTGCTAAGTCCGGCGAGCCGGCCCGGCCGGGGTTTGGCGGGGGCGGTTTAGTCTGGCGGTCCAAAGCCCGCTACGCGAGATCGTTGCAGTGTTGTTCGTCGCATCTGGGCGTTGCGGATTCCTCCGGTTCCCCATGAGAGGAGGGAGCTCGGAGGGGGGATGATGGTCAAATTCTCGGCGGAGGAAGGGAAAAATAGGACGGGGAAGCGCCGCTGCCTCCCCTCCTCGTCGTGTCCTCTGTCCGACAGTGGAGAGGAAGATGGCGACGCCGGCGACGCGGGAGAGGCAGATGCAGCGACCACAGGAGACTGGGAAAGCTCGGAGCATTCCTCTGGAGGTGGAAATGGGAGCTTCGACGGCGGTAAGGAGTCCGTCACCGTAACTATCGACCTCGACGTCTTGGAATGCCCTATCTGCTACGAGATCATGGATCCGCCCATCTTCCAGGTCGGTGGAACCCTCTCTCCCTTCGTCTTTCTTCTCCGCCATCGCTTTATGAAAACCTAGCTCTCGTTGTCACCATACATGTCGGAGAATCCATGAATTCTCGTAATTTTAAGCGCCATCTTGTGAAATTTCTTGTCGTGACGCGCTCGCGAAGAATCGCAAGGACTCAGTTGTTCATTTGGGATCTTATAATGGCAAAATTTTCGGGGTCTTGATGCCCACTTTTTCCGCAAACGAAACCAAGCGTAGTCAATAAAGTCCTCGCGCACCTGCGACTTTCATGAATTTCAATTGAATCGAATCCTCATGTCCATCATCACGTAAATACTTGAGCGTCAGACATGCCGATGCTTCGGATTGAGGTGCGATCGTACTGGTTCAGGGAAATCTAGAGGTTAAGATGGCTAGCATCTTGAAATCAAAGTCAGCGCTGTTCTTGGTTGGCTATGCGGCCGTGAAATGTATTCAGATTGGGTCAACGGAATCCAGAGGAATTTGTTGTGTGATGGAGTTGCTTGTGCCATTGATTTGAAACTGATGCTTGGGACTGGTCAACCAACAACGGCTCTTGCTCTGTGCCAGTCATCCCACAATTCTAATCATGCCTCATTTTTTCTTCTATTTAATCTATTGTATCTTTGGTAGATCTTGTGTCGGAAGTCAAATAAATAGAAATCATGAAGTTTCCTTTTCAAGGTAAAACTCCAGATAAATGAAGCAGGTTCTATCACCAGTGGGGAGCATTGGTTATCATTGTTTCGAGAAACTTTGATAAACTGTGTGATGACCTGATGGAACATCAGTGGGTCAACCCTAAAGTAAACTACTGGGTCTCAGTGGGTCAACCTATGCAAATGTTTGATGAACATCTTGATTGCTCTGTAATGTATGCAAGTAAAATGGTCTTACACATCCATCTTCGCATGGTTTGACCTTTGGGTTATAATCATTCTATAATGATCTGAATTTCTGATCGTCTTCTTCTCCTGATCTTGACGATTTAGTGCCAGAATGGGCACATCACCTGCTCCTCGTGCTGCGCCAAGATGAACAGATGCCACTCCTGCCTCCTCCCCCTCGGACCGACCCGCTGTCTGGCCCTCGAGAAGGTCGTCGAGTCCATCAAGGTCCCCTGCCCGTATGCCGGCAACGGCTGCGGGGAGATCGTCGGCTATGCTCAGCGAGACGCGCACAAGGCGGCATGCAGCCACGCGCCGTGCCATTGCCCGATCGCCGGCTGCGCATTCACAGGATCCGTCCCTCAGCTGGCGCGCCACTTCCGCAGCCTGCACGCGCACTGCGGGTCCTCCCTTCCGTACAATCGATCGCTGAAGCTCTCCCTCGACGACCGGGAGCCCTTCCACGTCCTCGTCGGGGCGGACGGCATCCTGTTCCTTCTTCTCAACAACAGCAGCGCGCCGGTGGGGAACGCCGTCTCCATGGTGTGCATTGGGCCCAGCTCCCTGAAGGGCAGGTTCTCCTACCAGCTGAAAGCAAAAAGCGGAGAAAGCTGCGTCCAGTTCGAGTCGGCGGTGGCGGCCGTCAGGCGGCGGGACCAGCCCTTGCTTCCGCCGGATTTCCTCCTGCTTCCACTGGGCTTCTGCGGTGACCAAGGGAGGCTGAGCTTGGATGTCTCTGTGTGGGCCAAGGTACCGTGAATCTTCGCACACAATATGTGAATTTTATGTGAATATTTTTCCTTCGTATATGAAAATTATTGTTTCATAATAATAATAATAATAATAATAATAATAATAATATATAATATATAATATATAATATTTAAAGCTGAAGTCTTCAGGCTATCGATTTATTTTGGACGTGATTTTTTGTGGGGTTAATTTGTCTTCGGTCCCCGAAGCAAGCAGGTTGCCAATCACCGCATCATTTATCGGATAACATTTTACCCCTTGAAAAATTATTAATTGTGACGATAGACTGGTCTTTTTCTCTCGACCAAAGTTTTGGGGGACCAAAAATACGCAAGAAGAAGGGAAACTTGTTAATAAGCGGGGCTTTACTTTTCAGGGACCGAACAGTAATTAGTCAAAGTGTTCAGGGTTCATTTTTATGAGGGAGAGTGACGAAGGGGGGGGGGGAATCCGATAATAATTAAAAGAAACCAAGATTGAAAGGATGCTTCTATTCCAATGACATTTTGGATATCAAATATCAAAAATAGAACTTTTTAATTACCTCTGGGATTTTTTTTCTCTATCGTATGTTTAGGGAATTGGAGCATGAGAGAGGGAAGGAGAGAGAGAGAGAGTGAGAGAGAGAGGGGAGGGAGAGAAAGAGAGAGGGAAGGAGAGAGTGAGAGAGAGAGTGAGAGGGAAGGAGGGGGAGAAAGAGAGAGTGAGAGAAAGAGAGGGAAGGAGAGAGTGAGAGAAAGAGAGGGAAGGAGGGAGAGAAAGAGAGAGAAGGAAGGAGAGAGTGAGAGAGAGAGAGAGGGAAGGGGAGAGAGAGAGGTAAGGGGAGAGAGAGAGAGGTAAGGGGAGAGTTGCGATGGAAAAGGAGAGCACGCACGTGCTCTCGACCCCGTGTTTTCTCCCCTCCGTCCAGCTCGGACTCTCTCCATATCCCTCTGCGAACCAGTCATCACCAACAGACGCGAACGATCCCACGGAGTTTGGGAGATGGCGGAGCTCTCGGAGACCTACGCCTGCGTGCCGACGACGGAACGGGGGCGGGGGATCCTGATCGCCGGCGACCACAAGACGGACTCCATCGCCTACTGCAACGGCCGGTCGGTAATCATCCGGCGTCTCGACCGCCCCCTCGAGGTCTCCATCTACGGCGAGCACGCCTACACAGCCACTGTTGCCCGTTTCTCTCCCAACGGCGAGTGGGTCGCTTCCGCCGACGTCTCCGGCACCGTCCGGATCTGGGGGCGCAACGGCGATCGCGCCCTCAAGAACGAGTTCCGGGTCCTCTCCGGCCGCATAGATGACCTCCAGTGGTCTCCCGATGGGCAGAGGATTGTCGCCTCCGGTGAAGGCAAGGGCAAGTCCTTCGTTCGTGCGTTCATGTAAGCGATAATAGCGATGGTCTTCGGAGCTTTTCGACGGCCGCTCCAATTGATCGAGCCTTTCGTTGCAGGTGGGATTCGGGCACCAACGTGGGGGAATTTGACGGGCACTCGAGACGGGTGCTGAGCTGCACATTCAAGCCAACTAGGCCGTTCCGGATTGTCACCTGTGGCGAGGATTTCCTGGTGAATTTCTACGAGGGCCCGCCGTTCAGATTCAAGCTCTCCCACAGGTTCGTCTGCAATTTTTAGGAATGATGGTAATCTACCGATGACGATGATGATTTTCAGCTGCCGCTAGTGAAATCATGCTCTTGCTTACTACTCTGATACCCTGAAAACTAATATCTGCTCATAATCTCGAAGGAACTGTATATCGATTTTTCATTTTTCAATCAGGAAAATTCTCAGCATCTGGAAAATTTTGCCGTCAGGAAACCAATCAGATGTGGAGAAAGTTGAGAGATTTCCTCTCGAAACACAGGGCTACATTTTCTGGCTAAACAATTTAAAGGCAATACATAATCTTCGGAGAAGGAACAGTTAGTTTGACTCTAGAAGCATCCGTATGCAGTTTCATTGATGAATTCAGAGGACATCTCTTCTCCTGATGCTGGGTAGCCCGTAACATGATTTAGGAAGTACACTTTCTCATAAGTTTCTTCAACCGTCGTCAGAGGTAATCCGTGAAGCAAGGACTGAAGCCCAAGCATAAACTCATCAATATCCCTGCTCAAGTGGTTATTTGGTCTTCTGAAAGACAAAAAACATTACAGATACCTACTGAAGCCGTCAGAATGCAGAAACGGCTGAAACTGTCAAACACTAGACCCATAAATTGGATATTCATTTGTGAAAAAAATCAAAAAAAAATTGTGCCCTGGATAATTGTGCAGCACCATTGGTTACTTTGGGATTCCCTCCTTACCCTTCACATTTCCATATTCTTTAAAAAGAATTCGTTCATATTGTTAAAGCTATTGGATCGACTACCCAAAATCAGTCAGCTATGAGCGAACTAGGCCCATAAATACTGTCCTACACGGATTTAATTCTATGTTAATCAATATGTGATTGCTCTAACAGAATCCCTTATAGGAAAGCCTACTGTTTTGTGATTATTTGCGTGGAAAACGCTAAGAAGTTCTGTTCAGCCCAAGAGCAGCCATCAGTTTTAATATCATGTTAAACTTATTGAGCGGTCAAAGTGAAAATTAATTTGTTGTGACCGGAGTTAAGTGTATCTTTAGGAGCACATATTTATTTTAATGTTATTTAGTACCGGAATATAATGAAATATGTGAAATAGAAGAACTACTAATTGATGGTTAGATGACTTTCCGTCCTTTCAATCTGAATGGTCCGGGAGTTTTGCAGCCACTTCCCTGATTTGTGTGGTCTCTACATTTCCTTGGAAGGCTCAAATATTCACTCTTAAAGTAAATGTTGTGATCATGTTCCAAATTTGGCCATTCTGCCGACCACGTTTGCTGTAGGAGAGGGTGCATTGAAGAACAGTGTAATAGATTTAGTGAAGATCTGATGACAAGATGGCATTGCTGCAGAGCTTATGCCCGGTAAATTCAATGGATGATATTCCAAGGGAGATATGTTCTATGTTAGTGGCGTAAGATAGGAATTGCAAGCTCCCATGTTCATCTACTCAACAAGTGAATTGAACTCGCTTAAATCCTGTTTGTTTTCTCAATGAATGCTAAGTTCTCATCCCGTATCTTTTTTTTTTTCCTTGATACATCGTTCTAAGAACATAAAACATTCTGAAATGTCATGCTCCAAATTCTAGTGTAATATCTTATTTTATTCCCTCTTTTCGAGATGTTTTCTGTAATTTTTTATGGCTGATTGTGATATTTCTGCTGCTGCACGTGTTAGTTATTGGATCATAGTTTCTTCTCGATTCGTGTCCAGGGAGCATTCGAATTTTGTCAACTGTGTGAGGTACTCTCCCGACGGTACTAAATTCATCACCGTAAGCTCAGACAAGAAAGGAATAATATATGATGGTAAGACCGGAGAAAAGATGGGCGAGTTAGCTGGGGAAGATGGCCACAAAGGAAGCATCTATGCAGTTAGCTGGAGTCCTGACAGCAACCAGGTAAACTAGGCATTGATGCAAAATTTTACTAGTTTTCCAAATATAGCGTCAAAACCAAAAATTAACCGCAAAATTGAAATTTCCTGACAAAATCCTCAGGTGTTGACCGTTTCTGCTGATAAGTCAGCAAAAATATGGGAAATAACAGACAGTGGGGGAGGGAAGTTGAAGAGGACGCTGAGCTGTGTGGCGGGCTCGGGCAGCATTGACGACATGCTTGTCGGCTGTCTCTGGCAGAACGATCATCTTGTGACTGTCTCTCTTGGCGGAACAATCAGCTTGTTCTCAGCCAGCAACCCCAATCAAATGCCCATATCATTTTCTGGCCACATGAAGAGCGTGAGCTCCTTAGCCTGTTTTCTTCAGGATGGGCAGAAAGCCATTGTCTCCAGCAGCTACGATGGCATTATAATTAGATGGACTCAAGGCGTGGGATTTGGTGGAAAACTGAAAAGGAAGAACACCTCCCAGATCAAGTGCTTCTCTGGTGTCAGGGAAGAATTCATTGTTTCTGGATTTGACAACAAGGTTTATATTTTAGTTCTGTCTCATGCTTCTCATACAATTCATGCACTTGGGGTCGCAAATTGTCGTGCATTTCTAATTTCCTGGGTACTTTCGAGGTTGGTTTCATTCATTCGAGTACCTGCTAAAACTTGAATCTTCATATCATCCATTGAACTTCACATGGCACTTTTTATCTTCTTTTTTATTGTGTGCGAAATCTCTTGTTTTGGGGTGATGATTTTTCTGATTTATTTTGCAGGTATGGAGGCATTCTTTGTGTGGCGATGAACTCGGAGACTCAGACCCCATCGACGTTGGCTCCCAACCAAAGGACCTGAGCCTGGCAGCTCAGTCTCCAGAGATTGCCTTGGTCTCGACCGATTCCAATGTCACCGTGCTCCACGGGACAGCTGTTGTGTCGACCACCAAGCTGGGATTTACTGCGACAGCATCTGCCATTGCGCCTGACGGTAGCAAGGCCATCATTGGTGGGCAGGATGGGAAGCTCCGTGTGTACAGCATCCATGGAGGGGTGCTGGCAGAGACTGCCCTCCTCGAGAAGCATCGTGGTCCCATCACTGCGATCCGGTATTCCCCTGATGGTTCCTCCTTCGCCTCTGCTGATGCCAACCGGGAGGCCGTTGTCTGGGACTGTGTCTCCCTCGAGGTAAGAGTTGACTTTCCACGTCTGGTCATAGAAACGTCGAGCAATCGGAGTTTTCTGCTGATTACGGTCAAATTCCAGGTGAAGCTGAAGAACATGCTGTACCACACCGCGCGGATAAATTGCCTGGCGTGGTCGCCAGATGGGAGCATGGTGGCGACTGGCTCGCTGGACACCTGCGTCATTGTCTATGAGGTGAGCAAGCCAGCGTCCAGCCGGATAACCATAAAGGGTGCTCACTTGGGAGGGGTTTGTGGCCTGGCCTTCAGCGACAAGGACAGCCTGGTCAGCTCCGGTGAGGATGCCTGCATTCGCGTCTGGAGGTTGACTCCACCATCGTGAAGTTGTCTGAGATGGGTGGGTGTCTCTCTGGCGAGGCAGCTGCCCTCGAGAAGGCCTTCTTTTTTGTTCAAGATCGTTGAATGGTAGTTTGCTGCTAGTATGATCTGCAGTGCTAGTGGTCGACAGAATGAAAGGTGGCGCCGCCGCATGTTGCCGCCACTCCAGCTATCCGGCCAGCCATGATGCCCCCGAGAACAGAGTTCTCGGGTGTGTGCTTGCTGTCGTCTCCCCCCTGTATCATGAATGGTAATCTCTGCGCTTGGGCTTTCTTTCACCAGGTTTCTTTTTGTATGGTCAAAAGGATGCAAAGAAGAAGAGGAAAGAGAATGTTGAGTGTGACTGCCCACTTAGTCTTCATTTTCTTATGATGTTGATAATCTTGCCCTCAGTAGTGACGGACCCCTGTATATTATTTTCTGGACATAAATTAGTTGAAGTCTAGTGAGCCCTGGCCAAATAATTATCATACTTTCAGCTATCTTACCATTATTTGACCATTATTTTTAGGTCAAAGCGTGTTCCATTGTCATGCATTTGTAATAATCAAACACTGCACGATCAAACATAGATTTTAGTTGAATTAAGGGTACTTAGTTCCAAGATCTCTCCCATTTTTGGATAAATGGCTTATAGCGGCAAATAAATTAATGAAATATTTCATAGAAAAGGGTTTTTCAAAAGATAGGAATGATATATGAGGTGTTCTTTCCCTTTATGAGAATCAGGAGCTTTATTTTTCAATGATTGATGAAATAAGCAAGCGATTTCTCAAGAACATATGATGATGATACTGAGCCTCGCGCTGTTAATTCGTCTATGAGTTTTGACGACGATCACAACATCATGTACATACTCGTTTGAAAAAATATGGAGTTATGAAGAGATTAAATGCCATTTGTGTGGTTGATCTCAGAAGCACACAAACAGACGTGTTACGTGGCTACACAAACAGCTGATCTCTGCATCAGCTGGCAGAGCATCCAGTGGATTGGCTAATCAGTAGTAAGTAGATCACCACAGAATGGGACACAGTGGGCTCGATTGGCGGACTGCCCAGCACCACAGAAAGAAGGACCGTCCACTCTGTCTCTCCGCTAGAAATAAAGACCACTTAATAATAAATAAAATGGGCACATAATCTCGATGTTCTTCGTAATCTCGCTGTTCGTGAAGGGAGAAGTGGTCGACGGTCGGAGAAGTAAGGAGGCAGACAAAGGGGGGGAATGGGGAGGCGGAAGAAGAGCGAAGGGTTCAGAGCCGCCGTCGCGTGCATCTGATTAGCTTGAGAAAAGGGAGTCTTTTGAGCCTTAAAAATCGATGTTCTCGAAGGAAAAACCTGATAATTAAGTAGATATTTTATAGCTTGAGGCTGATGAAGGGTATTTAGTTTATGAAAGATGGGGGTAATGCCGTGGGTTTGGGAATAATTGTATTATTTTTTTATAAGAACATCATCTGGGAAATAATTCTGATTTGAATGGGAATGAGAGAGAGTCGGTGCCGCCCTCCACTCGTCTCCTCGGGGCTCCTCCTCCATACCGCGCCCTGTCTCAGTTGCAGAGTGATTTACGGGTGGTCCAAGTCCCCAGCTTCTCTTCTTCACTCTTTCGCGCACCAAGAGTGGGGATTACTGCCGAGGTCCACATGGACCAGGAGAACGCCTTAGAGCTGGTGAAAAAGGGGGCCACCCTACTCCTCCTTGACGTCCCGCCATTCACCCTCTTCGGCATCGACACTCAGGTACGAGGAAGATGAGAGAAAGGAAGAAAAAACGTAAACAAAAGAAGAAGCTGTCGTCTTTTCCTGCTGCTTGAATTATGCCTATCTGTTTGAATGATAACGGGCAATCTTACAGTGTTGTCGAGGGCGGTATCCAATTGGTCCTTCGCAATTCACATGCTTCGTCTAGGTTCTGTTCATGTTTTAGTGGCCAAACCAGAGAGCTGCCCTTCCACGAAAATATTATTGTCGTGAGATTCTAGTCTCCCTTGCAGAACAAATTACCATTGGACGTTGTAGTTCCATTGGAAAATGTAATGGAGGGATCATTCTCTTCATATCTGTGTTTTCCCGTTATTTCTTTATCATCTGAACGAACTGGATCAGCGGGCACCAACGAGCTTGTAGATATGCGGAATCATCTTCTAAGACCATGCCATAGTGAAGGAGAGCACCTGGGCCCGAGGTGCCCTTGTAAACAATGAGAAATAAAGATGAAAGCCACCGGCGAAGGAAGCATCCCTTTGCTGACTGTCTGGCTTTTGCTCCCAGAATCAAAATTTCTGTGGTGATGCTTCATGATGCACAAATGTCTGGAGTTTCTGACCAACCTGGATTCCATTGGAGTTTTACATTTGATCACGATCTTTATATCATTCCTTTCTTAGTTTTAACAGATTTCCCCCCCAGTAAGAATCTTAGATATGGCGATTACTAACATTTTATCATGTATGAGTCCTACGAAACTATTCTCTTGCTGTTGACCAAACTGTTTCATGAACATTATGCGTAGTTTTCCCGTGAAAATTGATCAATATTGTTCATAATTCAGATGCAATTCGTTAAATCAACAGGTACCTTAAGTCGTTGACAAGTGTTTGCGTTGTATTTGATCTGTATTTTATTTTCATTTTTATATCCTTCGTTTTAATTTCTGGTCTTCTCATTCTTTGCAGATTTCCTTTTTCTGTAGCAACATGGTTTCGCTTTTATATTTTAATAACGAACCTTTATGTTGTCGTTTTGTTTACATAGATGTTCTCGGTAGGACCTTTGTTCAAGGGTATAAAGATGATCCCTCCTGGACCACATTTTATATATTACAGTCCTGCAAACAGGTTAGCCTAATTTCTACCCAGTTCATTCAAATTTTTTTTTACTCGCCACTCATGAAGTTTAATTATTTTGGATCCTCTCGGACTCTATCTGCCAGATAAACGTTTGGAAAAATTGTGTATTTGTTTAAACTGCCTAAATATGTTGATGTTTTAATTTATTTTATTTTAAAGTGTTAATGCTGAGCAAATGCAAGCTATGAAAACTGGGTCTAAAGCAATGAGCGCCACCTAGATATGGATGGCAAGGTACATTTCTTGGTGTAGGATATTGTAAGGGCATTGGTTGAAAGACGGGTGTTTTTTTTTTTTGGATCTTGCCTAAGATGACCCAATGTCTGATGCGAGTACTCATTCTAACCAGGCATTTGGAAGAATAAAAATGCTCCTGAGTTTGTTCAGCAATGTGAAGGATGAGGGATAACTTGTTGTAGTTGCTATTAATCAGAGAGGTAACATTGTGCTTGGGAAGATTCCAACAAGAGTACTCTGTTTCATGGTTCCCATTAGTCAGAGGCGTAGGTGCCTTCATCTCTTACATTTTCGGTCTCTTCCCATCAAGAAAAATGGAGTATAGTATTTATTGGATTTGCACCATGGATTATATTTTTTTGCCCCTTTCAAGTGTAACAGTCTGGTGAGGATGCAGAAGTGCAGATAAATCTTTGTTATCTGAAAGTCAGAGGAGCAATTCATCCCTGCTTTATTTCCCCTTTAAAGGGAAGATATGGATCTTCTACAACAAATGACGCTGGTGACTCAGAGTCATATTTATGGTTTTTCATTCTAAGACAGGTTCTTCTAAGGCCCACGATATTCATTTTAAAACTGGAGTGTAATCATTGGTTTAAATGTGGTTGCAAGTGATTAACACAAGATGAGTCATTTAATCTTCACGTGCATAGGATATGTTCTGTAGACTGGTTCTTTTTTGCTGAAAGTATATAGGAGATACTCCTGCCTCTCCTGAGGACAAATGATCACTGATAGCAGAAGGCTTTAATTATACTACTTTCTTTATTCAGTATCCAAGATGGTCTTCTAACAAAAAACATTAAGCCTGTTCATTATTTCATCTGTCTGGTGACTGTATGGTCAATGCTTTCACCTGTGACTGTATATTTTAAACGGATATATATTGTTATTTACTGTATTCTCTCACAGGGACGGTAATGAGTTTTCTCCAATCATCGGCTTCTTCATCTTTACATCTCCGTCAGAGGTAATTATTTTTTTCATTCTTACTTACTATATTTTTATGAATTTACGATCATATAATCTTTTATAACATTGGTGTGTATCATTTATATTGGAACGAATTTACTAGCCAAGTAACACTAGGATTCATCAGCGTCTGACTAGGATTAGACCAAACTTGATCGGATCTGATATGATATGATGCAATGCTAGAGACGGTTCGAATAAGACCACTCTCCTTTTTAATTCATGACAATAGGTTAGGTTAGTTGAGTCCATCAAATCAAATTAGCTTGTTTCTCTAGAAATGATTGCAGCATCGAATCTCCCTGAAGCAAACATCAATTGCTTTTATTGGAATCATTAGGATATAAGCCACCGGATCTAAAAATGGATTGCAGGAATTAGGCTGGTCCTAGAGAAAATGAAGTAACATGGACTCAGTTTGGAACTTTAAACCACTGTGGGTAAAGAGTGCAACTCTTGCCTGATGTGTGGAAATCTGTGATGTATTCTTATTAGTTGTGGTTACATTTTGTACACTTCCATTGAACATTCTGACCCTTACAACATAGCCCTGTTTCCTCCCTCGTGTCCTTCCAGTTATGTCAATAAACATTGTGCCATAGAAAATGGAAGCTTTGAACTATAAGGGGCTGACAGAAGACTTCTCATTTAAGATCTTTCGCACAAACATATAGTATTTCTACCACATATTCCTCTTGCTATGTTCATATATGTTTTTTCCTTCCCAATTTATCTTGGCAATTAAGATTGAAAGAAATCTTCCTCTGTAATTTGGTGGCCTCTTATATTTCCAGGCTTCTTTTTTCTTGTACGCGACCTTTACAGTTACCTATTGGAAGATAATCTGATTTTATCCTAGGTGTTGCATTCAGTTGTACAATTCATGAGCCAAAGCTAGCTTGGATATCTGAGCCATAGACCTCGTCCCAAATACACATCATAGAACATAAATCTTTATGATTGCCGGGTGAGATCCAACTTGAGGAACAAACATCATCTAATTTGAACCTTTAGCCATGGATATAGAAACGACATCAACTAATGTGAGTGCACTGTTGATGATTGATTCCACGTGTTGGAATGTTTTGGTTCATTAATATGATGAAGAGAAATTGAATAATCTCTAGGTTTAGTACATTCATTTACTTTGCCATGAAAGAGAATACTTCATATCATGGTTGTCATTTGGTATGCATATTGGCAGAAAATATTTTTAATTGTCCTATCAAAATTTATCGATGCTTGGATTTAACGTTTTCCATCTTGCAACTGCCACAGGTCGTTGTCTTTAAATGGCACCCGCAGGAGGAACACCTGGTCAAACTCTCAGAAGAAGAGGTCTCTTCTTATTGGTTCCTCGTTTTTCATGTTTCATAAATATCTTCTGGTATTAAGCTCCGTAAACCTGGCCTTGATGCTAGCCCTCGGGTGGGCTGGAGTCACATGACGCCTCGTACCTATCTTCTCTTGATTGTGAGCCCATTTAGGCTTTAAAATTTTCTACCTTAGACCTTGAAATTAGAGTTCCGGAAAAGGGCATGGATAATTTTTGAACCACGGTTTCCTATGTAATATGTCACATAAAGAGATTAAACCCTGAAGATCATTTTTTTCTTCATTCTATGAATGATTTTTTATTTTTTTGTAACTACACAAAGTCCACTGTGTGAAAGCATCAAGTGCGAGGCCTGTGCTGAACCAGCATACAGCTTTTGCGAAGTCTGATTCTGCATACTGACGTTTGAAATAACTGTAGGGTCCACAACCCATTCAAACCGTCAACTACTTGCTGATTCATAGCTGCTAAATTATATGGATAATGATTTGAAACTTCGGAAATCAACTCAACAGTCTCAAATAGCCGTTTAGATTCATTAAAAATTGTGGAATTCGTTGTCTTTCAGCTTTTGTATCTTTCCACTTGAGAAATTTCAGGACTCTGGGTTGTTCACTACAATTCAATGACATTGGGGGTACATCATGTGCCTTTATCTCCATATACACAGAAACTAAACGATAAATTTTCCCAACTCGATTCTGTGAGTTTTCTAATCGTCATGATATATTGTTGGCGTTTTGAGTATGCTTTCTAATTGCTGAGAGATTATGGCCTCTCAAAGGGTTGAGTTGATTGTGCATGTAGGGTTCACTAACTATTCTTCCTGTGATCGTCTACCTAATCTATGGAAGCTCTTCTTCAGCTTGATATGCATTTTTGGTCTTAACCTTTTGAACAATGACAATACACTGACTTTAATGCTGCATTTTGACATAAAACGTAAACTATGAACCAATTTAGTTAAAATTTTCTTCCTATGCTGTTGTTAGAATTGAAATTTCTTCCGTTGTTTCACCTTTCTTCGTGAGTATCTCATCAGAATCTACGACTTTTGATTTTCATTTCTATTGTTTCGGTTGATGGAAAAATGATTGGTTGAAGATAATTTATGTTTTCTATTAGGGATTGGTTAGCTTCCTCCGTCAATTTTCTGGGTGCTTTTTTTTCGGGGAGGGGTGGGATTGATCTTTGACTCTTGTTTCCTGAGATGACTCCACACACAAACTGCTGTATGGGGTTGGGCTTGTGTAATATTTCTGAGAAATTCTTCACGCTGTATATCCATTCGGAAAAAAGGATCTGTTTCATGTCAAGAATAATATATCACGGATTTTTTTCGCTTTTGTGGGATGATGGATATGTCAACCGTTGGTGAAAATTGACAACCATCAGAGGAAAATATACAGAGAAGCCTTCTTAAAATAACTCATATCTATTCACTCTTTGGGACAATGTCGATTTGACGTGCCGCCTATTCTCAGCCAATGTTTCTCCCTTACCGTTAGCTGGCCAAAGACGACGATCTCAGACTCTTGATGGGATTCATAAGGTTGCCAATGTCGATTTTTTACTCTTTAAATTCCCAGAAAGTTAATAAATTATGCCATCTTTGGATTTCAGTTTGTTTTATAATGTGAATGGAAGAGACTTTCTACCGTTGTTTTAGTATATTGGGAGCTTCTTATCCAGAAAAACCATATAATTACTATCTTTGATAGAGCAGCTAATATGTGAAGGCCATTATATTCACCGGAGTTCTCTTGCTTTATGCAGGAAGGACGATATTCTGAAGCAGTGAAGAATCTGGAGTTTGATCGCAACCTTGGGCCGTATGCTCTGAAGCACTTTGGAGAATGGAAACAAATCTCAAATTACATCACAAAGGATACAGTGGATAGGCTTGGTAATTATTTCTAATGTCGAAGAGCTATCAAGAGGATTGTTAATTATATTTACTTGAGTTCAAGTCATTAGTATGTGATGAGAAATTAGCTTTTAGGTCTTTTTTAAGTTGTGTAATGCGACTGTCAAATATATAGCTTGTATGAGGTTAGCTTAAGAATCTGAGGGCTTTTCTGTCTTTAGCTCTGTTTTTAATGACTTGTTGTTTTTATCCTTTGTGCCTCTCTCTTATTGTAGGAGTATTTTTCTGTTGTAGTCTTTCCATAGTTTTCCCTATGTATGAAAAGATTGGGAGGAGACGACTGACCTATCTTAACGCTACAAGTGATATCTAATAAATGATTTGTAGGAATATTTCGTATCTAGTGAGTAAAATTTCCATAGAGAAACATTTTTTATACATTCATGACTGTTGCTGTGGTATTTGTTCAAGTACATAATCCTGCTATATTTTTTTGGTTGACCAACATGACTGTATCAAAAAAAATAGATTTGGGACTTCAAGATGAGATAAATATATTCCCATTCAAGATATCATCATTAATGCCCTTTATTTTTATGTACAACATTCAAGAACTAAGAACAAAATGGAAGAAAATAATATAATTTAAGAGTAATGCATTAATGTTGTAATTGAACAAGCTGCCAATATGATGGTGACTTAGGCGTCAAATAAGGTGGCAAAGGTACTAAGATGACTAGATAGTGAAATACCTTGCCCTCTTACATTGTCTTGTTGCCAGGGCAATGATTACGTGTTGCCTGGGGGATTACTAGATCCTGCCTTGGAAACAATGGCCTAAAGCCCTATTCTTTTTGATCTTCAGCCTTTAAGATTTAAGGTCTGGTGTATGGCCTCGGAATGACTCATGTGGATGAATGATTATGTGCCATGCACTCATGCCGTATGAGAGACAACTCCAAATTTTAACTAATTATATGGGGATTTAACCTATCTACATCCCTGCTGATATGAGGGACGCCTGTAGCCTCACCTACACTCCACCTGAGAATTTTGTCCATGCAGACATACAATGAATTTCACCCTCTTATCAATGCTTATTGCTGCAATGCCGTCCATATTCAGTCTTTTTTTGTTTTTTAAGTGAGAAAGTAGTTTCTAAAAGTCGATTATTTTTTCAGAACCGTCAGATTCTGCATGGTTTTTCCATATCTTACGTATTAAATCCAATTTTCTTCTTCTACCTGCTACTTCTAGTAGTGCTGTTTTTTTCTTCATTTCCAAACCCCCACCTCTACCCTCCGAATCATGCTGTGATTTTGCGTTCTTACATACGGATAATTTCAATCTTCTATCTGTTGATGTTGTCTTAGATTTCCCTGACTTTCACTTCGGTATTCATTGATGATGCTCCATAACCATTTTTCATTGATCTAGATTAACCTTATCTGGATTTCCGTCTCCTTGATCTCAGTATAAGGATTTTCATTTTTAGTCTGAACTTTTCACTCATTTTACAATCTTGATTTCATTTCCCTTTCCTATAGCACATGCAAACGTTGATCTTTCATGTAGATTGATGCACCATTCTATACTGCATGGAACCAAAGGAAATGACCTGTTATGGATTCTATAAAAAATATAAAAAATGCAACTGGTTTTCAGAAGAAATGTGTACTTAGAGAGATTTTAAATATGTAAAACCATTTGATAGTCTAGCCGGATCGTGCTTTAACATTGAATATTTTATTGATGATTCGGAGATTAGTGTTTTTTTTCCATTTCATTATAAACTTTGCGCTGGAAATACCGATGGACTTCGTTAAATACGTCTATGTTTTCCTATTTTTGGAAATCAATTTTTAGAAATGTTTATTTCCTTGCAGAGCCTCTTGATGGGGAGATTACCATTGCATATGAGACGAATTTGATTGATACAGTGCATAGAACATCTGCAGAAAAGAAATTAGCAGAGCAATTGAGAAATAGTAAGTTTTCAAAGCCATCAAATGAATCTCCCATGCGCGGATGTTACTATACGTCTATTCCAGCTGTTGTCAAATATAAGGGTAAAAGTAGAGAAGAGCTTACTGCGTTGAACCTTGACAAGGTAATGGCTGATTAATTCATACTTGTTACATTTCTAAGTGGCATATTTGTTATATTTGATAAGGATATTTAGTTTTAGCAAATGTTTGTTACATTGTGGTTTCTAAATATCCATTTTTATGACTTTTCTTATTGCAACTCTCTGAATTCGTATTTCATTGCCATTTCAGACACAGTTACTGGAAACTATTCTGACGAAAGAATTTGGAGGTGTAGAAGATCTACTATTGGGGGAACTGCAGTTCGCTTTCATAGCATTTTTGGTATCCTCTACTGATTAACTTATATCCGTGGTAAAACTAATGCTAAAAAGATTTTGTTTCTCAAAATATTCAGATGGGCCAATCGCTTCAAGCATTTTATCAGTGGAAATCATTAGTAAGCCTTATATTTAGCTGCACGGAAGCTGTAAGTATCGGATGTCAAGTACTTGCTACATTTTCATTTGACACTCATCGTTTTCTGGATATGTATTGATCAAATGACTTCTTTGACGTTATGTTCTTTTTATTCTGACGTTTGCAGCCCTTCCAAACGAGGACGCATCTGTTCTCAAAGGTATGATTCGGAAATCTTGCTCAAAATACTCATTTTCCTAGATCTCCCAGGAACTGGTTGCCCAGAATGGAAAGATTGTTTCTTCTCAATTTCTCAAAATCTGAGCATGTACTAACTGCTTCTAGAAAAGGGAACAGCGCTGAGCCTCAGCGCTGTGTTTCTTGGCATAATAAATTAAATCGCAGAAAGAAAGTTTGACATGATGAAGATGAAAGCCAAAAGGTGAGCATAAAGTGCAAATAAAGAATTTTTGTTTATGATGTCGGGAAGACATAGGAAGTTCAAATGTCAATGTACTATTAAGACGTATTGTTGTTTACCTTTGTCTTTTTTATTTATGTTCAGACCACCCAAGGGGTTTTTTGGTGTTCTATGGGCAACCTTTTGGCATTTATTAGTTACAGGTAGCTATATGCTTGCATTTTTATTATTTTCTACATCCTGCGGCTACATGCTGTAGTTACAGGGAGTTACACATGCCTTGTTCTTGGTGATATTATTGGGAGATACTTCTGTCACCACATTCGTACGACAAAATCCTCATTGATGCTTAAAAAGCTTTGCTTTACTGCCACTATTTACTATAATTGGGAGATCTTCTCAAGTGATGTCCTTAATGGATTCCCAATTGCCCATTCATGTGAGAGTTTCTTTTCTGTGTTTCAAAGAGGGACCTTTGCTATCGATTTTGTTGCTCTTTCTCTCTCACAATCGTACTACTTTTAGCCGGATTTATTTCTATTTTTAACTCTGTCTCATCAGTTTACTCTTTTTTTCCCCCAGTTTATTAGGGTAATATACTACCAACTGAAGCATGGCTTTCAAAAGAATAACGGAAGCAAGGGTGATGGAGATTTAGGTGTTTCTCTGTCGCTTGATGATGCATGGGCCTCAAAAGATAGCTTCTTGAGTCATCATTGCAAGGTATTATTTCCAACCCAACTTAGCATATCCTAGCATTGAAACCCATTCAAGCAGGTGGAAACATGGGATCGTTGACTCTGACATCATGTTAGGATCGTTGACTCATCCGATTCAAAATCAGTTGGTAATTTATGGAGTAAACCCATCTTTATAATTGCATGTTGGTATCTATAAAGACCAAAATGGAAAATATTCTAAGCACTGCGAGAGTTTGAGGGCGGCGTTTGCGCCACAAGTGGCCGGATCTCTTTAATATTTCTACCTTAAATTTATTTTATTCTCTTTTATTTTTCTTCTGATATGTGGCACAGATGGATGAGAAGTTTTCTTCGCTCTATAGATATTTGACCAAAGAGCGAATGAGAGGACTCATCACTAGCTACGGGTACTTCATACCCGGATCATTTGGTGGCGTCAAGGGTAGATTAATATCGTATTCTTGTTATAAAGTTGACCAGATCAAAGTCTTAGCTATTGTTATCCGGGTCCCGGATAATTCCTTCATCTGTTTCTTCCATCTCTGACTTGGGTCAAATGTCATCATGCAACAGAGAATAACGGATGATTTGTGAAGAACATTCTTCTATGATTTAGACGTGCTCTCTGAAATTCGGCTTCCTGCAGGACTTCTTCTCCTTGGTTGAGCAGGCCCCCGTCGTCAACGGAGACCTCCTTTCGTGGGTTCGCCGCCGGATCCCTCCTCCCCCCTCTCTCGCGGCGATCCGGCCCGTCGGATGGATCGAACTAGATTGATATTTTGTCGTTCAATCTCAATCAAGAATTAGTACTCCGACCTTGACCGCGTCTCATACTTGGGTTTTTTTCACATCGTGTAGACGAGGAAGCTGAGGGAGCTTCTTGAGAGGGAGCTCGGGTGGGATCTCCAGGGCGACCCAGAAGGCGACGTCGGAGACGAGGTTTGCTTCCCACTGCCCTCTGCGTAATCGATCTTCCGGCGATGTCTGCTGGCAGACATATATAATATGTTCTATTCTTTGCATTAAGCAGATGTCGTCTGAAAGCCAGTCGCCCCGTCCCCTATTTGTTTGTGGTTGGTTGCAGTATTCCCCCGTCGTCGTACTCCCGGATGAGCTCGGCCCCGGTGAACCATCATTAATTTGACTGATCTTGTCCCGTGCTGCCCTGGCCCGCCCCGGGAGCGAGCACGGCATCCCCTAACAGCGCGCTGCATGCTCAGGTGCTCAATGAAGGAATGTGAGAGGTGATGATGAACACAAACTCTCTCTCTCTCGATATATATATATATATATATATATAAATATAATATCTGCTTGTAAGTCTTCCCCGCTCCCACGTGCCGAGAGTTTTCTCCAAGAGTCAAAGGTGTGGGAGGGACAACACTTCGGGAGGCTCTCCCGACTGCGCTTCGCTGTTGTTAGACTGCCTTTTGAAGGACAACCTCCCCGGAATAGAATAGAATACTCTCATCTCGTCCCTGCTTACTCACTGCGTCTCTTTCTCTCTCTATTCTGTCCTCTATTCTCTCTCTTTCTGGTTCTGGCTGTCTGTCTCTCTCCGGCAGGGGGGGCCGGGGGGGGACTCATCATCATGTGGCTCGCCGCAATATCCTGCCCGATAAAGAAAGGCATGACTGCAACCTGTTCACCCCACCCACCACCACCACCCATTCACCACCTTCCTTTCAATAAAAAGGCAATTTTACCCGTTCACACGACCAACCCCACCACAAATCCCTCGGAGTTCCTCTCTCTCTCTCTCTCTCTCTCTCTCTCTCTATCTATCTTTGGTTCTTTGGCTCTATGGCCCTCTCTCTCTCTCTCCTGCGGCGGTTCTTGGACAAGCAGAAGGCGGTAGTCTGGCTGCCGACGGGGGATTTGTATAATGGAATCCGCACAGTGTGGGGGACATGACGATTACAGCAGGCAAGTAAAGAGTCGACCCGTTTCCTTCCGCCTAGCGCCACGGCAGGCAAGGCTAAAAAGAATGAAAAAAAAAAGAGCACGGCGTGGGGCAGCAGCCGCGCACTCATCGGAATGCGTTCCCACCCCCCCCCCCGGCTTTGAATGAGTGACTACAGGAAGTAAATGCCGTAGCGTAGAGAGAGGAACAGAGAGAAAGAGGTAGTCAACACCCAGAAGATTAATAACTGGGGGGCTATTCTTAAAACAGCGGTAAAAGTAGTAAAAGTCGGCGTCGAACCAGACCCGGACGATCGACCCATCCATGAACGACGAAGAACACAGCACCTACAGTCATGCCCGCTCTCCCTCTCGCTGGGGGTCAGGGTCGGTCCTCTTTACATTACATGACAGCGCAGCTGTGGGTGTTCTCGTCGCTGAAGAGATGGGCGCCATAGTCGCCGGCGCCGCTGCTGCTGCCACCCTCTGCCGAAGAGGAGGCATATTGATGAGGGTAGTAATGGGACGGCGTCGGCGGCGGCGGGCAGAAGGCGGAGGAGGCGTAGAAGCCGGTGTAGGAGGGAGCAACCAGCGGGGACCGGTGGTACATCATCTGCGGCTGCCCCTGCGCCTGCGCGGCGGCGTACCGGCCACCCTCCGGCGCCATCATCATCATCCCCGTCGCACCGTGCCGACCCATGTTCATGCCCCCCATGCCGCCGGCGGCAAGGTGCCCCTGCTGCTGTTGCGCCTGCTGCAGGTTCATCATCATCGGCGACGGCAGCCCATGTCCGCCCATGCCCGCGAAGGGCGGCGCCCCCGGGTGGTGGTGCTGCGAGAAGGGCAGCCCGAAGCCGCCGCCCATCGCCGGCGCCGGCGCCGGCGGGTTGCTTTGGTTGTGGTGGTTCATCTTGCCGAATCCAACTACCTTGCCGCCCCCCCCGCCGGTGGGGTGCTTCATTACTGGCTGGTGGCCGGCGACGGGGTTGCCGCCGCCACCGCCGCCGCCCTTCTTCTTGCCTACGGCGGCGGGGTTGGCAGGGGGGTTGTTCTTCTTGGGGGCACTTTGGTTGTTCCCCTCGCTGAGGAGATTGATCTGGTTGATCTTGTTGGTGAGGAAGGCGAGGTCGTCGTCCTCGTCGTCGAAGTCGTCGTCCTCGTCCTCCTCGTCGTAGCCGTCCTCGTCAGAGCTGAAGGACGGCGGTGCCGCCTTCTTGTGCTGGTTCTTGAAGGCCTGGAGCCCTTTGATCAGGTTCTGCTTCTGCTGGTCCTTGGTGTTTTTCACGGCGGCGGCCTGCTGCTGCTGCTGCTGCTGCTGCTTCTTCTTGCTCAGCTGATGCTGCGGTGGCGCCGCCGGTGGCTTGTTCTGCCCTGCGGGCTTCTGGGACCAGAGTTCCGCGTGCTTGCCGGACTTGACCAGCCTCTTGATCAGCGCCGCCGAGTCCACATTCCCTGAGACGGTGACCTTCTGGTTCTCTGCGTCTATGGCGACGGTGTACACTCCTGAACCACATGAGAATGGGGAGGAAGAAGAGGACGAAGACAGGCCGAGAACCAGTGAATCCACACGATGCAGAGCCGAAAATAGAAACCACTGCCAGGGCTTGACAAGCTTTTCCCATCTCGTGAAACCCAGAAGATTTTCAGGGGCTCAAGGTGGAAGACGATGAAAACGAAAAACCCTAACGTGATCTATCCAGAAGGGCGTCATCTACAGTAACTTAGAATTAAAAATAAATAAAAACCGAACAAAAGCAGCAGATCCGTGCTCATCCAGAAGATGTGAACCAGAGGAGGGGAAAAGTAACCAGAAAAGAGACAGGAGACCCCGGTTCCCCACCAAGAGAGAAGACTAGGATCTTTCCGCTCACCATTAAAGCCCCCAAACGATCGACAGAAATGCCGCTCCCTCAATTCATGGGCTTCGGGGGATCGTTATTAAACCGGGTTGACGGGATGAACTCTACCCATTCAGTGAAAATAGGGGGAAAATAAAAAGGCATTCATCAAGAGAGAGAGGGAAACGAACATGCAGAGAGGGAGATAGAGAGAGAGGGAGGTAGAAGGGGGAGATCGGGGCTACCTTCGATCTTCTGAAGCAGTTTCTTCACCTCCTGCTTGCAACCGTCACAGTGTATGTGCACTCGGAGGACGACGGTCTGAAAGAAAATCAACAGACGAGCGGCTCAATTTGCGCCGCAGAGAGAGAGAGAGAGAGAGAGAGAGAGAGAGAGAGAGAGAGAGATAGAGAGAGAGAAAGAGAGAGGGGTGGGGGAGGAGAGAGGAGAGCTCATGGGGGAGGGAGATAGAGAGAGGGAGGGAGAGGAGACGGGAGGGATGGAGGGACCTGGATCTTGAGGAGCTTAAAGTCTTCATCTTTAGTCATTTCCACTGCTGCCGTCGGCTGCTGCTGCCGTCGGAGAACACAAAAAACAAAAGGGGAAAATCTCGCTGCAAAGGAGGAGGAGAGAGGGGGGGGGACTAATGCGAAGCCACCGCCACCCCCACTTCAGTGCTGCTGCTCCTGCTCCTGCTCCGCCTGGTGGTAATGAAAAGGGGTTGTTGCATGGGAGCCCTCCCCCCAGTGCCCCCCCCCTCTCGCTCTTCTTCTTCAATAAGATTCTCTCTCTCCTCTCTCTATTCCCTCTCTCCTCTCTCTCTCTCTATCTCTCTCTCGTAACGAGCAAACCACATGGGCGCGTTCCTCAGCGGTCGAGTTAGGGAAACATTTAAAAAGGTGGGGAGCGTCTGCCACCTTCGCCGGTGAAGTCCATCCAACGACCAAGAGGACGGAGCCTTTCGGAGGGATATATCTAGAGAGAGAGAGAGAGAGAGATTGTTGTGCTGATTTGACGTCCAATAGTGGGTAGTGCAAGAAATTAGACTTCCGATAAGGAGATGAGCTCAACAGCGACTTGACAGGAGCGAGGCAGGGCCCCTCTCTCTCTCTCTCTCTCTCCCCACGCGGCGCTCCCTGCTGTAATCCTCTTCTACTCACACCCTTTACTACCACCACCCTCTCTCGTCCTGTCTGCTGGCCTCTTCCTTGCAAGTACGGTTTTCTCGTGAGCCGGAAAGAGATAGAGAGAGAGAGAGAGAGCGGTCGCTGCCTCTGAAGCTTCTCTCCCAAAACTCGTCCATCTTTTCTAAAAAAACATTCCATCCGTCCACCCCGCCCGTCACCTGCACCCTCTCTCTCTCTCTCTCTTTCTCTTCTCTCTCTAAATCTGTTGAATCCTCGTCGTTCAAGGAGGCTCATAAATCCCGGGGGGAGGGGAGGGGGGATGTATGACCGTGCGAAGCTGATCTGAGAACATCGAGCGACAGGTGCAAGTCGGCCCTTTCTCCTCCCCATCCTCTCCCTCTACGTGGAGATTCAGGCTGACCTCGACCCCATAAAGACGAAGCCGCATGAAGATTAGACGAACATAGAAAGAGGTAGATAGAGAGATACACAGAGAGAGAGAGAGAGAGAGAGAGAGCCGTAGAGTTCCAGGTTCCGTGCTCGCGATTCCCTTTGAACACCGCAAAAGCGGCGGTGGGGAGAGAGAGGAAAGGTGGGGGTGACCTAGGACGTTTGACTCGGCCATTTCCGGTCGCTGTAGGATGTGACTGACGGTGGAGAGCAGCCCGATCTAACTGCGACAGCCATGGCTGTCGCAGATAGAGGGAGGATACTGGTGGCGCCGTTACTCTCTCCCGCCCCACCCTTTAATGTATGCCCTCCCCTGCTGCCCCCGTGCTCGCCGGCGGAGACCAGTTAACTCTCTCTCTCTCTCTTCCTGGACGGCTCCAGACGAGTTGTCGGGACGCGGAGGAAGGAGGGAGAAGAAGACCCCAGAGATATTGCAGAGGTTATGAGGGTGGAGTGGACGGAGAGGACGGAGACGACGCCTAGTCAAGCCTTCTTGCGTCCTCGCCGGTGTCGTCACCTCCGGCGGCCATGATTGCCGCCCGCTGCTCTGCTGAAGCTCTCTCTCTCTCTCGCTCGCTCGCTCTAAGGGAAAGCACAGGGCCTGTACTAGTGGCCTCCCTTATTTACGACTGAAGCGCCGCCCATCGACGTGACGGTGCATGGTGAGCTAAACTCAGAAAATATTTTGCTAAATTTGCTACTATTACTGCGCGCCCAATGCGGCAGTAATCTGGGGGCAGGATTACACTTGACAGTGGGGTAATCTCGCCCGATACGTGTGGGAGCAAAGGTTGACTTCAGATCCGACGTGGCCGAGCTCAAGAGGAACGTCGTCGAAGTTCAGCCTTCGTGATTTCACGCATATATTTTCTAGACCTCAAATGCGGTGGTGCAATTTTGGAGAGAGAGAGAGAGAGAGGCTGGCCTGTACTGGTAAATCCCTGACGACAAAGACCGTTTGGCCTGGTTCTCTCATGCACGGTCAACACGTGTTGCACTAACTCGAAACTTTTTAGGATAGGTCCATAGTACCCCTGAGTTACGTGGCCGTCGGAGGTAGGGAAGGGAGCGACGGGAAGAAGATGGTCCACCGTCACGGACCCGAGATGGGCATTAAATGAGCATTTATAACCAGTTACAGGCCTCCTCGGGGAGTACCGTCGACGCACGTGAGATCTGCACGTGCTTCCGGCGCACGTGACACCCCCCTCCTCTTTCTCCTCGGATGCCCCCTACTGTCCTCGACCGGAGAGGACATGTCGGCAGCTTCCGAGTCGGAGCCAGCCAATCGGCAGGTGAGCTCACCGCCCCGACTAGCCGTTGCATCCCGACTCGCTCCTGGGGTGGGGCGCACGTGAGAGCAGAAAACGTGACCTGCCCCCACGTACTCGTCGCAGCAAGGTTGCGCCATTATCAACCTCCTCGTCGTCAGTAGATAGCACGAGCTAAGGGCTACATACAGAGTGAGAGATGGAGATAGAGAGAGAGAGAAAGAGATATGTAGATAACAGAGAGAGAGAGAGAGAAAGGGGGGGGGGGGCGTGTTAGGGGTTATCTTCCGTTCGAGAGGGCCAACAACTCCACGGTGAGTTGTCAGGATAGGGGCGCCGTCGGTAGCCAAATCTGGCCAGACGCAGGCAGCAGGGTCTCAGGGTCACATGGCGCCGGAGACCCGAGAGGACGAACGCCCCTTGGTGAGAAGAGGCGGGGGAGGCTCTGTGCTTCTCTCTCTAACTCTCTCTCTCTCTCTCTAACATTGGGTAGGGAGAAGGGGGGGAGGGGGGCAAATATAATTCGGCGCAGAGGATGTCGAGCCATGGGAGCCCCGGTGGGCCTTCCCGGCCCACCAATAATTCGCCAGGCAGCCCCAATCATAGACATCTTTTAGACTTTTCAAAGTCCTGTCCTGAATGGGCCGAGCCCAAAAATCGAAAAATTACTTTTGGGCCATTCCCCATTAGCAAGAGAGAGCGAGTAGCAACTGCTTAGATTCACGGTAGAAGCCCTCTTTCCTATTTGGAAAACATCCGACATGAAACGAGGAAAGAGGGCTCAGCTGAGAGCGGGGCTCTGCAGGAGCTTCTCCACCAGGATCCTCTGCTGCACGCCGCTCAGAGACTCCGAGCTCATCAGCGCGTTGGCGATGGCGACGATCGTCTTCGGAGAGGAGGCGTTGACCTGTGGGGGGTCCGCCGTCAGAGAGTCAAAGGGTTTGACCGGAGGGCGGTCTACGGAATCAGATAGATTTTTCATAATCCGAAGATCATACCCAAACGCGGCCGTTAAACCCGACGGCGATCTCGAAGGAGAGCCTCTTCCCGAGGGCCTCGAGAACAGGGCAGGCCGGAGATCCCAGCAACCTGAAAGCAAAATGTCTTGTTTTGAGAGGAAATTCTTGGTTGAACAGCGGAGAGTAGAGGAGACGAGGGCGAATCATCTCACATGCGGCACAGTCCAGTTGACGATTCGAACATGTAGCCGCCCTTCAGCGGGCCGAACTCCGCGGCTTTCCCGCCGGCTAGCAAAGCAGGGAGGAAAGGAAATTCGCCACAAGGTCAGTCAGTCAGTCAGTCAGTCAGTCAGTCAGTCGTGGCGAACTAAATCTCCCCAAACAAAAAATGGTTCAAGCTTGTAGTGACTACCATCAGTGCATGATAGCTCAGGATTCATGCCAGTATTTGCTTTCACCACCCTGACATAGAGAAGGGTGCCCACCTGTCATATAAATGACACATCCGTGATATAACCAAAGTTGTAGAGCAAACTGCGCGTATTTATGGAGGATACTAATCAATAAGCCAATCTACAACATCAAGATTATATCTATATATATATATATATATATATATAGGTTGACCAGCTATAGGGTTTACAGCATCCACACCCAGCAGCCTTTTCAACGTAGAGAAGGAGGTGGCAGATAAGTTCTTGAGGACAGACAGAAATGAGATTGGAAGACAGATCGCCCGGCCAATCTCAAGTCAGCTTCGACTGCCCAAATTCAATTACCCTTGACGCGCAGACGACTCTTTTTCCCTTCTCTTCCCTCTGCTCTTCTTATTTTCTTGCTGCTCTCCCTTATTACTGGATTCCTTGCTTTCTGGTGAAGATTATTCATCAGCATAGGAAGGTGGGTTGGCAAAATTAAATTACATTCTGTTGTCATGCTTTCGTCCTACAGCTTCCATCCTTAATTCTATGGTTACTTTCCCCAGAGCATCTTAGTAGATGAACTAAGATTAAAAAATAAATTAACGAGCATAATAAAGAGGCTTTTCATGCTACCTAATCCAAAGTCACAAGGTCAATGGTGGAAGAGCGAACGAGTTAATGAGAAAAACACTTTGGAAGGCGAATTAGGTACCTCAAACTTGGGTATGTTCCGTCTTGTTCCTCCTTCAAATGCTAGTACAGGTAGATAAGCTAGAGTGGGGCCCTTTATGTCCACCAAAAAGTTCTGACCATAGAAAAGCAAGACATAAAATATCATATGACACATGCTGTCTTATGGCGCAGAAAGATAAGCAAACAAGTGGCTTTGAAATCAACCACCGAATTTATAGGATGTTAAGTTCTAGGAATCACCTAGGGGCGTTCATAGGTTAAACAGAGAAACTAAAAATGATCCATATCTTTTCACAGACAAGGTAATATCAAATGGCATGGTATTAAATAACTATCAACTAATATCAGTTGCTCCCATCCCTTCTAAAAATGATGGCACCACACGAGGCATGAAAGCACGCTCTAATAAACCAAATACACTCTGGTGTGCTCTGAACACTCTGAATAACACTCACAGGGGACTCTGAGATAACTCCAAGCCCCAGGCCCAAGTTTTGTCTTCACAAGCTCAATACCCTTGTTCCAAACCTTTGATTTTCACTGATCAAAACTGGTATATTTCTTGAAAGTGGAAAGTACTGTGATCCATGAGCACTATCCAAAGACCACAAAAAAAAATTAATGTGCATCAGTCCCCTCCTTACTCGTTCGTCACTCACGCTATTTTGCCTCGTCACCAACCCACTTAAGAACGTAAAACACCTTATCCCTTTTCTTTCGCTGAGTGAGTTGAACTCCTGAGAGAAACCTTTCTCCATGTCTTCTCTTGCTAGTGAAGATAATTCTGAAGCAGAAAGAACTCCACAAATTCCAGAAAACAAGTGATTTTTGAGGTAACTAAAAAATGAATATGGAATATACCCACTAACTCCCATCATACAGACGTACAACACTTAGAGCTGACATTGGATTGAGGATTGCCAATTCTGGCTCAAATCGGCATGTTCAGATCATAATTGGCCGATGTTCCCACCAAATTGGACTCCCTCATATCTGATAAGGAATATGTCCACTAAACAAAAGAAACAATCTCAATGGATCCATCTTATGATGCAAATTATTTCATAATATTTCAATGGATCAGAAAACACCACAAGTTGTTAAAACTTAAACAATAAAAAAAGGGGAAATGGTTCACTTAGAGCCAAACAGTAAAAAGCCCAAGAAGGTAAAAGAAAAAAAATGCATTTTCTTCATCCAAGGTGGCAGTGTAGAAATAGCACAACATAAACAATTAACTCCTTCAAGCCTAAGAATTCAAGCAGAGCATGTGCAAGCCTACGTATCAAGTTTCTGCAACAAAATTCAAATGCAGTAACGACTACCCTCCATTAGACACCAAATATTTTGTCATACACAGCAGAGCTGACATACCACCACAAAAACGCCAAGCCTCTAAGCGAACTATGGCAAGAAAATCAAATGTTATAGAACAGATGAAGATGGACTCACATCTGGTCTACAGTCAGCCACGATGCCAAGAATCGTATCCCCAGCAGATGGTATGTACTGCACGACAATTAGAAAAAACAGTGCAATTCCGTGAATTATTTAAAATATCTAAAATAAGTTGAGTTAATATATCCAAAATAGGATATAAGTCATTTTAAAATAATTTTGATAACCATCTTTCTCCATTACGTGGATGCATAAACACTCACTCTTTTCTGTGAGTTCTCAATCCAATACTTGTTTGGCTTTGAGAATCTCAATCTCCCAGCCTTTATCACTGTGATTGTGTCACCATCCTGAAGAAGCACAACATTATAACACATAGAATTATATCCTTAGCGAAGAGGGAAAAAAAAAGGCCCTGGAGAACCTCAACCATGAGACGGATCTTCACCTGGCACAACCCCGAACCTAGTTTAATTGTCTGATTGGTCATCTTTGATAGGTCTAGAATAACATCTCCGGGAACCTAAGCATCATTAAAAAATGAAAAGAAATATTACATAATACCAACTTGACATAAGAAAAAATATGAAGAGCCACTGACCACCATTTTGTCAACAAGGTCTTTATTCAAGGGAGCGCTCGAAGATATCTCCTCTCCTTTCATCCTCTCTCACGAACTCTGGTTCCTTCTGAAAGTGTCTTCCCCAATGTCGGTCACACAAGAAGAACTTAAATGATTTACATTTTTGATAAGCATGCATTACTCCACAGCATATTGATAAAGCAAGCAAGGGACCAGGTAAACTACAAAATGAACGGGAACAGCAGGAGTTATAAAGTGACGGATTTTCTAACTGTCTTAGAACATCTAAATCAACAAAGAAAATTTGGACTAACATCTCATCAAATGAACAGGTTTCAGACGTATGGTTTATGAACTGTCATTTTGGCTTCTAAGAGTTTCTATACATATTTAACAGGCAACTGCAGTGAGTGTGATTACGTTTCGATCAGTCTGCTGAGAGAGATTAGCAAGGAAGGGGTGGGCATCAGTATGTTATGGCCTAGGGGGATATTAAACATTTGAGTTCGCAGTTCACAAGTTTTTTATGATTATAGATAGTGGGAGACACAAAAGAAAAGGTACCCTAGGATGATGGTGACCAGATGTCACAGGACAGCAAACAATAGGAAACAACCCACGAGAGTCTTATTCTAGCGGTGGTGCCACAAGCGTCACTTGAACAGCTGATGGATCTTCCAACTCCCTTCTACTCCTGTGTTGTCTGTCCATTAGCGAAGAGACTATATGGAGTAAGAGAGATTGGGAGCAGGAGGAGACCAGATCTTTGCCGGGAGATGAACCAGAGCAATCTATTCCATCCAAATTCGAACCAACGAATAGAGGGATGAAGGAATAAGTGGAGCCAGGGAAATAAAATGCCACACTGGCTTCTGATACCAGCTCTTACTTTAAATCAGTTTAATATAACTGTTTCAGCATCATCAATCAGAGCATGCAGGTGTATGCTCTACAATCAGCATTATCAACTCATAGTTGGTGGAATTTTTCTTTGGCATTAATACACTTGACCACTTAAGGACAAGCTGAT